GTTATTCTTCGCTTATATTAAAGTAAAAAAACTCCCTGCTATTAAGATACTTCCGATCTCTATAGTAACTCCCTTATATAATCTTTTAAACTTCTCCTACTCCCTTAAGTAGCTTATTATTCTAAGATTAGAGTTAAATCGAATAGGGAGCTCGGCTTTTAAGGTAATCGTAGAAGTTATTAGATTAGCTTCTGATCTGTAATTAATAAGCGCTATTATAATTAGAGAGCCTAGTCGGACTTTAACCTTCGGGCTCCTAATTACTAAGACTTAGGAGTTCTCCGACGTCTTCTTTATCCCCGCTGACTTTATTAATACTAGGTTAGTCTAATTACCTTTAACTCCCCCCTTAGAAATCTAAGGTAACTTTATTATAGCTATATTTTTAAAAAGTAGTTTCTATAGAAACTCGGAGCACGCGAGTACTTCCCTACTAGTAATACCCTTTAGTTTATTATCTAAGACCTTATTTAATAGCTCTAGAGGCTACGCCCCCTACTTTAGGATATCTAAGTACTATTCTACTTTCCTAGTAACTCTTAGACTAACTTTCTTTAACTTTTTAGTTTACTTCTTATCTATCTCTATTTTTTTAATAATCTCTCCTTACTATATTCCCTCCTTTAATACTCTTTTAATTAGATCCTTCTACTTTTACTTTCTAAGTTATAGAACTTTTAGAGCTACTAAGTCCTTTTCTTTCTTAACTCGCCTCTTTAATACTTTCCTAGGGTTTACTTATTTATTATCCTTTCCGCTTTTCAGTTTTTTACTTCTAGCTCCTAATATTCCTATAGCATCTTAGTCCCCCTTATCTTCTTTAATATCCGACTTATCCTAAGTTATTACCCCTACTACTATTACTTTCGCAGGTTCAGCCTTATTCATAGGGTACTATAGCACTTACATTAGCTATACTATTAAAACACTCCTCCTAGCTTATCCCTCACTAGTTCCTTATATTAAGGTTCCCCTTTAATTAGCTTATATACCCTTTATTACTAGGACCCCCTTATATTACCTAACTAACTGCTCCCTGTTACTTATGCGTCCGTAATATATCTAGCCCTAATAGTCGTGTATAAGCCCCTTTTCTATATCTATTAGGAAGTCTAGGTAGTCCTTATAGAAATACCTATTTTCTAAATAGTAGAAATATTAGTTCTAGCGATCCTTATAAGTACCTGCTATATATACTCTAATTAGTGAGTTATTTAGACACTAGGATTAGCCCGAGTAAGCCCCCTACAGTAGTCTAGATAGATTAACTTGACTACCGGGTCTTACTAAGTAAGCTCTTAACTGATTTCCCCTGCCAGGCGAGCTAAATCCCGATCTTCCCCCGGGTACCTGCGGAGCTTATAATACTCTTATAGCTAGTGCTAATATATTAAATACCTAGGTTATCTCTTCTACTACTTCTATAGATATAGTCTTTAGGCTAATAATAAAGGGAACTAGCTAACTCTCTGCCTTAAGGGTAATAAGTACTTAGCTAAGTGAATCTACTAATTTATTAAAGCTCTCTTATTTCGCGCGATTATCGGAAAACTCCCGGACTATCTTATTAGATATATAAATCTTAGTAGCTATCTTAACTAAGTTATTAAACTTAATTATACTCAGCTTATTAATATTAACCTTATTCTTACGTATCACCTTCCTACGAACGTCCCCTAGTAGCTTATTCAAGAACCATACTCCCTGAGTATAATTTTTCAACTAGCCCTTTTTTACTAGGGTAGCTAATATTATAGTAAATTATTAAATAAACTACTTTATATCACTTTCTATAGTTTACAGTTTTAACTTCAGAGCCTTAAGGAATAATTAGGAGTTTATCTATTAAAAAGTATCCTGATCCTTATACTTCTCTAAAAGAAAGACTACTAGCTCTTCCTAATTCTTACTTATCTACTCTAGTAGCGTCTTAATATACTAACTAATAGTAAGATTATAATATCAAGGAAGCTGTTTAATTCAGTTTATATCCTTTAATTAGGTGTTATCGCACTAATTAGTATACTATTCTAAGAACTTCGTAATATTAGCTCCCTTAAAGTATAGCGCGCTTAGTATACCCGGGGCCGGTATAACTGAAATATACCTGACTTCTACTATCCTAGAATTCGTAGTCCTTGATTCTTAATAGCTTTCCTCTTAGACTTAAATATATTCTACTATATTACTTTCTTCTATACCTAGCGTTCTCTAGTTCTTAGGATCTCCTAGAAATATAGTTATATCAAGGAATTTAGTAAACGATTTAAACTTTTAGTACTCGCTTATAAGGTATAGTATACCTAATATTACTAGAGTTAAAAGTACTAGAGTTACTAGTAGAAGCGTAGTAATTATACTTCTTATAACCTCTAGACTTAGCTCCCTTAATTACTCTAACCTCCTTAACCCTTTTTCCTTATATCCCTTTTTCGCCCTGCTTCAGGCCCCTTTTTTATATTAGACTCGCTTTTTTTTTATATTTATCTATTCTCTACTTGTTTTCCTTATATAAACTTTCTCTATTACTATAGTAATCTCGTCTTCTAAGCCTATTGTAATAACTTTCCCTTCTGTGCTTCCTTAGCTCTCTCTACTTATATTCCGCTGTTTCCTAATATCCTATCTGCTAAATAAGGGCTCCCTAAGCCCCTTTTTTCTAGCTGTTTCCTATGTGTTTATCTATTACTATAACTAAGTTATTAAGTGATAAAATTCTAACTCCTACTTTTACTACTAGCTTAGTTATATCCTAACTATTCCTCTACTTTACTTCCAGTTCCCTGTGTAAGTTACTAATATAAAGAAGTGAGGTAATGCTATTAAAGTATATAGTAAGCAGGGATATAGAGGATTACTAACTAAATAGGTAGTAAGAGTAGAAGAGAGAAGATAATATATTTATTATACGCTATTACGCTTATCTATATAACTTTACAGAACAGGCTAACTATCTTCTGACCTAGAACTACACTACCCTACTATACTACCTTTCCCTAGATAATTTAAGGCGTTAGAGACGTAATATTAAAGATAAATTAACTACAATCGATGAACCTTTTATTCTCTATTAAGTTAATCTTTTAAAAGAGCTTATAGCTTATTTAGAGCCTTAGTCGTTAAAGGCGCGGGGGAAAAAAAAGCACCGGAAGACGTACTATAATAAATCGTTATCTCCGGAATAATATCAATTAGCTTAATACCTCTCGCAGATACTATATTAGCCTCTAAATGCCTTCTTATATTAATATCCGCTAATACCGCTCTCTCTGATATAGTCTCTATACGCTAGTAACCCTCTAAGTAGCTATTCGCTAGCCCCTTACTCTTAGCTGAATATAGCTCCTCCGGTATACGAATATATAGCTCTAGAGCCTTAATTACTATATATTTAACTGTAGGAACGAGTTGAAAGTGACTTTATATCGATAGTAGATCTGCGGGAGTCGAGTCTATTCCGTAATAGTAGTTTAGAGGTAGAAGAGGTATTATTTACTTTAAAATCGTTTCTTTATTAAGTTATACCTCTAATTACAGCTTTAGTAGCCTCTTACTTCGATTTCACTATTAGAACCTTCGTAGAATAAGAATACGATATTAATATAGTTAAAGATATATTGATTTTAGAGGTAATAGAGCTTAGAATAAAAGGTAATATTTTAAAGACGATTCAGAAGTAATTAAAGCTATTTAAGAAGTAGTATAATTAACAGGCTCTTATTTAGGAAAATAATAAACTTAATAAAGGCGAAGATAAGAGTAATAATAGAGAACACGAGGAGTAAGTTTCAGTAGTATTTATAGCTATAGTTTCTACATAGTTTCTATTTAATTAACCCTTATTCTATATTAACTTCGTTACCTTCTTTAATTAATACGCCTTAATAGCCTGAATAGCGAAAGTAGCCTCTAGCTCTACGTTTAGCGTTAGCTCCTACTCTAACTAACCTTATAGCTATTATTAAAAAGCCTTTAAATTCCTCCTAGGTATACTTACTCTAGCGCTAGTATCTCCTAATCTATGATTTTAGGTCTATAAAGCTCTTTTTAATAGGGTTAAAAAAGGGGTAATATAAAGGGAGATATTCAAGTTAAAGACCGAAGGCTATATAAAGAGCTAATACTTGAGGGTTATTATAGATTAACGTGTTATCTATTATTACTACTTTAATTCTAAGCTCTATATATTTAAGTAAGATACTCTTTTCTAGCTATTTAGTGAAGATTTCAGCTGTAATTAAGCCTTAGTATATTAACAGCTAATAATAACTATAAAGTAAGTACGTAGGGAGAATTAGGGAGAATTAACTACCTTATCAACTATTTAAGTACTCTCTGAACCTCTGTAGAAGCTCCCTTAAGAGCCTATCCTCTACGCCTATCTATTATACGCTTATTATAAGCTAATTCATTAATAAAGTATAAGTCCCGGGCCTCCTAAAACACTATCTTTCGCCTCTAAGCCGCGATTAATTCGTCGTTCTTTTAACTCGTAGAGACCTTAAGTACTTTCTTAGTATAATTAAGCTTTTAGAGAGCCTTAGAGACCTAATTAACTAACACGTTAACTTCGTAGGCTTCCTATAGATACGCTGCGATTTCGTCCTAATATAAATCTAGCTCCCTTTTAAGTAACGCCTTAATATATTCACTTATATTATTAGTAATAATAAGTAGAGGGCTACGGCGATAATATTCCGAAGGTAATATCTAACGATCTAGAGTCTGTTTCTACTTGTATATTATCTTATATATTATTCTAAACTCTCTAGTAAGAGCTTATAGGTTAATATTAACTTTATAGGATAATATTTAGTTGATATTTAATACTTTCTAAGCTAGCAGGTTCAGAGCTATAATATCAGATAGCTCGCAGGCTTAGGTTCGAATATTTAAAGTAAAAGCTTTAAAATAACCTAATTCCGAAGAAAATCGATAGAGATTTAATAGAGTTATAGAGGTTACAATTCTAGGTCATTATATTTTAGTAGGGTCTATAGCAAAAGTCGGTGAGTCGGCGTTATTTACCGAAGAATCACGCTAAACTGAAGAATGGCTTATAGGCGAGTCCGGCAATGGAGGGGTCGAGCAGGGATCATCACGCCAAGGCAGACGTCCAAAGGAGTCAACCTTCATCAACCCCTCCACATATCAACAGCACAGCTAACACCCCTCAACAACAACGACAAATTTTCCCAAAAGAAACTGGATGCCCAAGATGTCAATGCACTCAATAGCCAACCTCCCCCGCCTCTCCTCGACCGACCTCTCCAAAATTCTCCTCTCCCAAGCCTCCTCCAATGTCGACTCCTCTACCCCTCCATCGAACATCGCTATCATTGATGTTCGAGATGACGGTCAGTGTCTCCCTCCTCCCAAACCCTAAACCCAAGTCCAAATCATACACAGCATTCGGAACTATGAACTGACCAAAGCAGACCATATCGGCGGCCACATTAAACACTCCATCCACGCGCCCTCCACAACCCTCGACACCAAAATCCCCGAACTAGTACGCAAGCTCAAAGATAAAGACACCGTCGTCTTCCACTGCGCGCTATCGCAGCAGCGTGGTCCGTCCGCAGCCTTGCGCTACATCCGTGAACGAGATAGACTTCTTGGTCTGAGTGCGAATCTACAGAGCGGGAGTGGGGTTGGACAGGTGTTGAAGAAGAATAGGGAGGAGCAGGCGACGGGGCAGGGAGAGGGGGAGGGGGAGAGAGAAGGGGGAAAGGATGAAGCGTGGGAAGATGTTGAGGAGGATGGTGAGAAGAAAGAGCAGAAAGTTTACGTGCTGGATAGGGGATTCGTAGGGTGGCAGGAGAGGTTTGGTGAGAATCCTAGGTTGACGGAAGGGTATAGGAAGGAGATTTGGAAGGAGGGGTATTGGATGTGAGGAGAGGAAGTATGGATACGAGCATGGTCAACGGAGTTATTATTGGCGACAGGAATATGCTTCGAGAAATACTCGAAACAGGCGTTAGAGAGGATTTGCAAGGGCCTACTGTTGGGAGGCCAAGACGAGTGGAGTGAAGGGCTGGTTTCCACTACATTGAATCGGCAATGAAGATGTGACTATTCGGTATTAGACATTAACATGGCTATGAAGACTTTTACAGATAATGCAGCAGTACGGGTCTCGACTTTGAGATTATCGGGGCGGCCAGAGTGTGTTCGGCGACAATTTTCCTGCATTGCCTTCATGTTCATCGTCCTCTCTACTATGGTCAACTTTTTCATTTATCATTGTAAGCGATGAGCTCCTGCAGCATGGCTATGACCTATCTAGCTTCTCCAAACACATGAGTCCATCCTGGATTGATGGTTTTTGTCTGATCGTACATATAGGCATACCATAGGACAAGGACCACAATATTAGTTACGAAGAAGCAGAGAGCGAAAGGCTCGCCGCTCAACTCAAATCTGTCGATCTTCTGCTTGATCTCCGGCTCAGATACCTGTCCTAGCTCCACGTCGTTCATGCTCTCGCTGACATCAGCTTCAGTCACATCCCGCTCTATAAGCGGCTCCATCTCGAAGATTTCGTCACCATTTAAGTCCGCTACTCTTCCCGCGAATGCCTTCGCTTTAGTTTTCATCTTCTCTCTCGCAGGGTGCCATGGTACAAGCAAAACACTCCCAATTCTCGGCTCTCGTCTGAATGCCCACTCCAAAATGAATTGCCAGGCGGAGAAGTAACATACGACACAAATACAAACACAAGCACGGAGCCTGTACTCTGGAAAACCATATAGGCTCTCTTGATAATGTACTGGCATAACCAGCCATGCTCCCATGCCGAAGAGAATCCAGGTCCAGAGCTTGCCAGCGACAATCTTCCACCGTGGATTCGCCCACCCGAGCAAGACTTGAAGCTCAAGAGTAACGACTGGTGGCATAAGTACCAGGAACATGAAGGCTGTCAAGATCGACATGGTCTTCAAGAGCGGTGGCTCGCTACAGTATGTTCCAATTCTCCCCTCGAAGCTAGTCACAACTTGGGATATTTGGTTCGAGGCTTGAGGCAGGGTAAGTAGCAGCCTGCATGAACTTGAGAAGACGTATAGCAGATTGCAAGTCGAGATGACAGGATCCTTGTTTTAAAGATGATTGCGTACTGATCAGGGTCTCATTGATGGTTGTGATGTCCGGTATTGGAATTATTGGGAGTCGGGCCGCCAAAGCAAAGGTATTCTGTACCTCACCGATCTTGATTGACTCTTCCATCATTTCCAAGCTCCCCATTGCAAGGCTGAGGAACAGCACTGCAAGGTTGTCGGGGATTTTGCAAGCTGAATTTGCTCTGATGCTGATGTTAGCTGTGAGCCAGATACTTTCGATGGCCCAGACAAGTAAGCCTAGATGTACCATCAAGGCAATACCAAAGGAGACTGTTGCAATCATTCGCAGAGCCCGGGTGAAACCTCGTCCTGCGGCATCATCGCCAAGACTCCCTTTGCGATCAACAGGTTGGCTGGCTAGAAAAAGACTCGTCGAGACTGAGCTGGATTTTGCCTTAAACAGGGATATAGCCAGCGATGGTGGCATCTCCCACTTTCCAGCAGTTCCCCTTCTGATGGTCCTCAGGCTCTTAAAAGTGTGGTCTACTGCTGACAATCGCTTTCGTAGAACACTGAAAGCAGTCAAGTTGAAAAGCTCTATTATCAAGAATGATACCAAGAACATCATGCCAAATATTTTCGTCCAAGGGGTTCCAGAGAAAGAAGCAAGTTTGATACTCGGCGGCAGAACACCAAGTATAAAAAATAACCACCGGGGCCAGACGGAACTCAAATAGGTTTTGTCCTTGTCATCTTCTTTACCATCAAGTCCAAGGTCGTCGATCATATTCTCAGAACGCTCATAAACAACCACGGCAAGCGCGGAAGAGAGTGGGATCCAAAGGTGGATCATCGTCGTCAGGAGTTGCACAACCATTGCGACAGCATCGCATGTGCAGACTATTGGAGAGCTGCAAAGGTACAAACGAAAACGCGTTGGAATTGAGGGCTCTATGTATCCCGACGGCTGCGCCATGGAGTTGATTGCCAATGCAAGGATTGCAAAAACCAAGACTTGCCATTCTACAGGCTGTATTTCCTCACCGAATACAATTGGAGTTGCTAATGAATGTTAGGTACGTAAAGGATGGAAATGTGCTGAACGAACTTGAATTGTAATGACAGGCACCAGCTAGCTGAGACACAGATTCGGCCAGGTCCATATTGAATACTTTTGGATCAATGTAGCATGGTTCCATCACCGTTACAATGCCTGCTCGTGTAGCAGATTCGGTATTGCGAAGTTCTCAGTCCATGAATCTGTTCCAGAACATATGAAATAACGCAGCGTCGACGTCAGGATTGGTTCGGAAGTCGTACAGGGAAGCGGAGAGGTTTTATTTCGATTTATATTTTGCGACCATGTTCACAACGAGGCTGGGGTATCCACTCACAGGGCGAAGAAACCCTGTAGGTGCATGTATCTACGCCCCCTGGATGTTCTTGTATAGACCCATTTAAATCAACATCTAATAGAAAGAAATGAAATCGCGAATTCTGGGGCTTCCATGTCAGTCTAGAAGTAAGGCTCAGCCAGAATGATAATTTACAAAACCACATTCTCCACGCATCCAAGTGCTCAAGATGGAGTACATATATCCTGTAAATAGAGCCAATGATAAATGTACTCAAGTCAATCTCCAAGATTCGTATCCCGTATTCTATGTACTCGTCCAAGACGGTGAAAATTCTAGAACTCTTTGCTTGAAACAAGTCTTTAAATGGCTTAGAGAAGTGTAGAATTGGTTCAGAGTCTGCTTACTTTACATAAGCTTCAAGCAACAAATAAGAAGCGAGAGCGACTAGAACGTGCATTGTAAAGAAGGCATATGCATTGAAACGACGAGTATCGCATATCTTTCTCAGCGATTTTAGTGCTCTCTATATATATTGAAAGACAAGATAGAGGACCAGCGAGAATCCAGCTTTTGCGAGTTGAATTGAGTTCGACGTCATGTATTGCTTTAGCTTACCATTTTCAGCCCTATGCTAAGAGTGCTTGGTGCTCCTTTTTAGGACCCGTCCAATTTATCTCCTCTCGTCCAATTAATGGTACGAAGTTCGTTCTTAGCCCTTCTTAGCTTCATACGGGCTACCTACCTTCAACGACCGGAGAGCCTCAAGTGTGTACTTTCTTGGCTAGTATCCATGAAATTGCCCACACACCAGCTTCCAGAGCTTCTAGAACTCATCACTACACTTCCACACCATGATGTACGCGCAGAGAAACGCACAAATGTCCAGAGACATTCTTCTCTCACTGTTCTTCTGGCGTCCTTCACAACTTCTCCCACAGCCTCTCCTGTCCAGCAACAACACAATCTTCCACAATGGCTGTCCTAAAACCCACTCCCACAGCCACAGTTCCAGCTCCTCCAACCTGCACAATAATAGCCAAAAATGAGGTATACCACACCTACGTCAGCGAGCGCTGGTCCTACTGTGCCATCAAACAAACCTACAATCCACTCGGCGCAAATTACACCCTCTCCACAGACCCAGGCTACTTGACTCCCTCGCCAGCTCCAACAGCAGTCAACGACAAACCAAATAATGAAAATAACAACAATACGGCATATATCGCACTGGCAATACTCGGCGCCCTACTCCTCGGCTTCTCTGCCTACATTATCACCTCTTGGACCACCCGCTGCATCGAAAACTGTAAACGTAGACGCAGAGACGACACTCAAAATGCTACACATCCCCCTCCACGACGAGGAGGAACCGTGATCAGAGAAGCAAGAGCTTGGTTCGGCCGCCAACACAACTCTCTACTTAACCGAGTCCGACCACACGAAGACCGTTCTTTAGAATCAGTTGTTCGTAGAAGTCCTCTCCAGCGCGGTCTTCATCGTCTACGAACTTTCGGGAAAAGCATGCCCCCTAGCGTCTCTCCCGTCGGTCACGCCGCCCTGGGTCAGGGTCAGGGTCGAAATCCAAGACCTAGAAACGAACCTCCTCCACCTGGTTATCACGATAGATATCAGGACGTGCTTTATTTCAGCGAGACGGAGAGCGAGAGTGAGAGAGATGTAGATGTAGATGTTGATGTTGAGATTGAAGTCCATCTCAATGGAGATGGGGATGTCAATGAGCTGTCTGTTCTCAATGATCCCTGGCTAGCTGAATTCATGAGTAGAGATCGAGATGAGTGATGGTCGTAAATATGCTGTCGGCGGTTGGATATGAATGTTACCAGGGTACGGTTGTGGTAGCTTTGATCATGAACTACCCCTGTAGATGGGACGAGGTCAAGTTATGGGTGCTGGCCATATTTACGACTGTTGGCATCGCAGCAAATCTACCAATGCAAGGGCAGCACAACTAAGATCCCAGGCGCTTTATACAAGATGGTGGCTCATATCTCTGCTCAGAGACGAACACATTACATCTCAAAGCAAAACGAAAACCCAAGCAGAAGGAAGAGAGAGAGTAAGTGACGTTCCAACGGAAGAAGACGTTGTGGAAAGCTGAGTTCTGTAGGAAGGATGTGAATATGTCGGGGAAGACTACCTATCGACCTGTTCAATGGAGTTGCAGATAGTGGCGAAGTCGGAGGCGTTCTCAAGGCATTGATGTGAAGGGAGGCAAATAATGAAGTGACTATTTAAAGAGTTAACAGGATGAAGAATGTGGACGGGCAATAAGTGGCGGGTGATGGAGTTCGAAATCATGCTAAACGGGCTGGCTGATGGTGAAGCCTGACAATTCGATACTAAAACGTTTCCGGATGTAAATGGAAACCTGAATAGGCTGTACATATACTGTATCATACAAAGATATCGTGGATATGTTCAGAACTATGATCGCTTGATGTTCTCGGAGTTTTTCTTCCATGCTGTGTCTCGCTCACGCCTTTGTCTGAATTGAAGCCTCCCAATGGAGATTGGATCGATGCAATGCGCAAATATGCAGGAATTTCAAAAATTGCGAGGAGACCAAGCCCCAACTCCCCATGGCCAAATCGAATCACGACCTATCATCCTTGCAACATGTAACCATTCAGGTACCACCACCACCGCATGTATGATTTTGGGTATTAACGCTCTCAACAGCCACAACCGCAATGACAACCAAGCCAATAACTCCCTACTGCCCAATCTCTCCACCAATACCACTCAAGTACCCACACCTCGTCCTCTGATCTCCAGGCACGCTCTCCATCCTCACCTTCTTCGGATCATTCGGAAAAAGCACGCGCTTCACATCACCCGTCCCAAAAGTCTCCCACCTCGGAGACGCAGAGAGTTTATACGTATTCGGATCCTTGGAGCGAATAAACGACGTCCAGTATGCCTGGATGGTAGGTGTCAGAGCACTATCTGGTGCAGTTGACGTTCCCCAGATACTGGGTGTTGTTACGGCGTGTGTGACGCCCAAGCCGGAAGCGGCGTTGGCAGGGGAGAGGACGTCCCAGCTTGATATAATAGTTAGTGAAGTGTCAAGTTTACAGTGGAAAATAATAGTTAGTGAGATGTCAAGTGTACAGTGGAAAGAGGTTGGAACAACGACAGGGAAAATGGAGTGAGCGTACTGATAATTCCAACTGGACTGCATTCCTCGCCCTAAAATCGCAGAACTAATGTATATCCCCGGACAGATATACCTCATATCACCATACGCGTTCGCGCCCGTCTTCCAATACGTACCCTTCCCAGGATACTGCTCTGCTTTCGGATACAGCACATCAATTTTTGCGAGCTGGCTAGACGTCAATTTTGGGAAGTTGTCCTGAAGGAAATTATTCACATCTTGCACACTGCTCAGATTCGCGGGCGTGAACACCGTCCCTTCGTTAGTAGTTGACCCGAATATTGATGGCACTTTCACGAATTTCCCCTGAGCAAACAGGTTATACGTGTAGTCCGTCGTGAACACCCCATCGATAGTGTTGCTCCACATGTAATTGGGCAACCCGCCCGGTCCGTTGGGATACGGTAAGTTGGGGTTGTTAGACGCGATGGTCTCAATAGGGAGAGCGCGGAGACATTTCAATGTATCCGGTGATTTGGCGCAGCCTACACGTTTGACCAGAGCGTCGTATTGGTATTGAGATTCGGAGATTGTGAGTTGATACCCGAAGGATTGAGATTCTGCTGCGGCGGCGTGGAAGAGCTTGTCGTCTCTTCCACCATAGGCGGTCATGTGGAGGTCGACGGAGGCGCCGCCTGCTGAGGCGCCACCGATGGTGACGTGTGTTGGGTCACCGCCGAACTGAGATGTTAGTCTAATCATTCGATTTTGAAGTAGAAGGGACTCACAAGGTGGATGTTCTTCTGTACCCATTGAAGAACTTTCCTCTGATCCAGGTTGCCATTGTTCAAATCCCCATTGGCTTTGACTTCTTTACTGGCGAGGAAGCCATACGGACCGACTCGGTAATTGAAGGTAACGACGACGATATCACGGTCTCCGGCATTGATCAGTTTGTTGGCATTCAGGTTGGGGGAGCCGTTGGAGTTGAAGCCGCCTCCTTGGAAGTACACATATACTGGATGTGGTTTGGAGTTGTCGGTCGGTGCATAGACGTCTAGGAACAGACAATCTTCTGACTTTGTCGTATCGAGACTTGTTGATGGTGAACCGAGGCATACAGATCCATGCTATTCATGTCAGCAATGAATCGTGACTTTTGGGAGAAGCATACCTTATTTGCTACTTGAAGTGTAGCATTCGCAGGAGGGTCCCTCGGAGCTCTAAATCTCAGATCCCCAATTGGAGCAGCAGCATACCGAATCCCAAACCACTGCGTAACGCCTTTCTCAGCGCGCGCTCCCTCGTACTTCGAGTAACCCAGGTCAACAGTCAACGGTACAGAACTGCTCCGTCCATGTGGATGAGAATGTACAAGGCCAAAATACAGCCCGCAAGCGAGAGCAGGTATCAACAACATGATGGACAGCAGTGACACAACGCACAGCCAGAAAAGACGAGGGCGGTTAGCTTTAAGCTGCCCAAGTTTGCCCTTGGGGTTGAGGCGGGGGATGTACCCCGCCATATGTAGTTTGACAGAAGTGGAGGGAGTAGCCATTTGTTCGGTAGTATTGTGGGGTATTGACAACAACCAGCACTCGCTTACGGCAGTTCTCACGGCGATCTGACTCGTGGTATTGTTTTTTCGTCTTAGTGAAGAATGGATATGGCTAGTCCCACAGTGCAGCACTCCCAATCTTCCCTCCAGTCCCGGTCAACTTCTTGGGATGGATGTAGCTGTGCTGGCAGCATTCTTGCAGCACAGTTGGATTGCCAATTTTTAACTGCAACATAGTCAGTACAGATTCCCTTTCTGTAAGTCTTTATGTTTCGTCTCACGAGTTGAATTTCAGTATTCAGTACCATATTAGACATGAGCCCATAGATCGTCGTCGCTCAATTGAAACACTACTGGATGAAATCCGGATTCTCTGCATGGGAAGTACGCGTCGGCGCTAGAATAATGACCGAAAGTCGGGGTTGAAGATGTACGTACGTCTTAGGAGAGGGTCACAAGCTTGAGATTTCTTCCTCCAATGCAGTAGATGCAGAATCACCAAAAGGGTGTGAGATCCGAAAGCTAACGCGACTGGCGGTAAGTGGAGGGTCGGATGACAGAATTCTAATTGGGATGTAGTTCGGACTCCGGACGAACAGCATAAGTGGGAGAGAAAGAGACAGGGAGGGAAAGGGAAAGGTGGAATACAAATATTAAGATTAAAATAAGCTTCGTTGGTGGCTGGGGGGCGCAGTGGGCCAAGGAGTTTCCTGGTTGTTGGTACTGCCAAACACGGGAAGTCCTCGCTAAGGCTTCGTATGCCTAACTTCGTAAACCAGTGCAACTGCTAGCCGGTGAGATGAGACCCAACCGAGCCAACCTGATTCTAGGAAAATCCCGACAATCATTCTGGTGACAGGAAACTTTATGGAAAAAATTGTAATGGAATGACTGCTCTTGACTTCTTTTCCAAGAACCTAGAAGTTTTCATCTTGGATCAGACATCATATGGTGCAACGAATACATCCCATAAGAGTTGATAAATGGAGGGTCCAGACCGGCAAAATGTGTCGGCAGAAAGAGTATCTTGTTGGGAATTACATTCCGTACAACGTGTAATTCAATTTGAAGGCTTTCAAGATGCCACTGAATGAAACCCTTTACTCCAGCAAATAAGGCTTCCTACATGCGCTCCGAAAATAACTCCGTCAACCGCTGCCAATTCAAGGGTAATAATGATCCATGGTAAACGCCTTCCAAAGGATTCACAACATACACGCCATCTAATCCACAGCTCTGTCCTACACATCGTAAGCGCAAGTACATTTCATCGTTACATATCACATTTCTGCTTCGTTTATGTCGTGGCTGGAATCATCGATCCCACGATCCTATCACAACGGCTTTACCTGAATGATTTACCTCCTGATCGATACTCTGCTCGACCAGGAGTAAAAGCTGGGTGGTCTTGATGACCAATTCTGTAACCGTCAGCAGGAACTCATCAAAGAAAAGACGAAAAGACGAAAGGAAGACGAGACGACAGAAGAAAAGAAGAACATGAAGGGAGAAAACATACCCTCATACTGCAGCGTGTAGCTCACAGCCGGATCCTCATCCCTCCCCACCAACACCGGCGCATCCTCCTCCCTCTCCACAACCCTCAACCTCAACCCCACCGTCTCACTATTATCCACCCAACGCAACCCCTCACACCTCCGCCTCACGGTCTCCTCACTACCCTCTCCATCATCCGCCGAAATTCCAGCCCTCGCCCGCTCCGCAAGCCACTCCCTCCAGATCCGCAGTATGCTATCCCCGATGTTGACGGAGCTGAGAAAAAGTCCTCGCTTTGGCCCGACTTTGACGAGACTAGTGATCGTCTGTAATTGGGAGAATGGCTCATGCGATTCCAGGTGTATGTTTTGGCATACGAACTGGTCGTGTTCATCGACTAGGCCGTTGGGGATGGAGAATGATCCGCCGGCTGGATGGGACCGAACAACCTTCTTATCACTGTCTGGTTTCAGGGGAAGGAAGTGCGAGTACAGAGATTTCAGCTTCCCCAGTTGACCAATGGCATATCCCTCTGTCTGTGAGAGGAACTCTTCATTGGAGCAGGAGGATGAAGAGTTGAGTGGATGTGTGCCCAGGAAGTCGCAGAATAGGTAGGGAGTGGAGAGTTTGGTGGAGGGGTGGAAACACTCTAGAATCAGCTTGTGGTCTTTGAGTTGTGCTGTTTCGAGGAGGCGGTGGTGGAGGATCCGGACGATGAGGGAGTGGAAGCGGTGCGACACGAGGGTCATGGGGAGGAGTTCGAGGGTGCGGAAGGTGGAGAGGAGGGAGATGAGGATCTGGGAACTGTCAGATTCGCGGTTCAATGGCGGGATAGGAATGCAAACCTCGTTAGGTATCGAGTGCATACCGGTGGATTCGGCCATTTTGTCGACTTGTAATAGTACAAAGAGAGAAGAAAAACACAGAGACAATCCCGAGGAGAGGAAGAGAGTCGAGGGAAGCCGTAGTATTTCTACTTCCAGCAAAGACGGCTATGCGGCTTGGAAAGATAGAGCCGACTCGGATATCGATCCGTGTGATGAAATCTCTACAGTACTGATGTTACTGATATGTTTCGATTATCATCGGGTAGCATTCTGACCCACCGGTCAGCAAACGTTCTGCATAAGTTACTGGTTTCAGGACAGGTCCATTACCAGCTGACGGTCAACTCGCGCCGATTGTTACTCATTAGAGGTACCTGGGAGAGCCACTTAGGACTTCTGGCTTCAATTGTCGTGTTCAGGAGAGCGAAATGTACGCGTAGACAGCGTCGTAGATGGATTGCAATGATTTGATCCCAGCGTGATTCATCTCATGCGCCATTAGAGATCGGAGCGATGATGGAGGGTCGCTATCCCACTCTCATGCCAGCTCTTCCAACAAGCGAGCGAGTTTCGATGAGAGGGTGTGAATTTGTGGGATGAATAGATGCTACGAGTAGATATGACACAGGTATTTAACGAGGGTTCTTGGAGTGCTTGACAAATACTCATAGCGTGTTCAGTCTAATACATTGATTGGTGGTGGACTACAGGCGGGGAGCGCGACTGGCAAGGCCTTTGGCTTGTATGGCTACAAGATAGGGCCACTCCCTATAGAGATAGTGGGGGCGTGCACTTACCAGCGTAAAACAACGCGCTGTGGAGCTACCTAGGCATGCCGAGACTACTAGGATAGTGTAACTGAGCCTGCGAAGAGCTTCAAGCTTGTGAAGCCAGAGGAAGGTGATACTTTCAGGGAGACAGATCTGCGGCTGGTTCAGTGGAGTTTTTCTTAGGAGATATAGCAGAGCTGTTAACCTGTTAAGAGATAGAGCATGTTGAATTTGTTACTGTTCTCGGGAGGGGAGAGCTCCGGTGATATAGTACAGGTACAGAGTGCACGGTTGAAATCTTAACATTACGGAGGGAGATGGATCATGAGGAGGGTTCTTAGAGCTTGAAGGCCCCAGATACGTGAGTTAGGCTATGGATCAAGTGGAAGATGAAAATGTAAATATCCTTGTAGATCTGTTTCTGAAGATTGATTTCGCTTTAGATATTGCCCCTCTATCAGGTTCTCAACTGTTAACCAAGAAGTTTTGTGACCACTTCCGCGAATTTCTGTGGCTTTTCAACCATAGGCAGATGGCCAGCCCCATCGATAACCTCGTATGCAGCGCCATTACTTCCAAACGAAGCAGCCATTTCTTTCATAGTACCAGGCAAAACTCCGTCGTCGCTTCCAACGACAAAAGCACCTTTGACTGTACTGGTCTTCATCTCCTCCTTCAAATCATACTCAAATAGTGCTTCAACACTCTTCTTGAATCCTTCTAAACTATTGTTCTTCACCATATCCTTGACTTGCAAACAGGTCTTTTCCAGCTCACCACCATCATAACTCTCCTTAACGAACCATCGCCTCGTGGTAATCTCAGCAAGCTCTTCACCTACAATTTTCTCTCCACTTGTTGTAGTGGCTGATTCTTTCTCTGATAGCGCAATCCTCTCGCCCCAAGCTTTAGAATTTCCAGCTGGCGATTTACTACTCGTGTCGCAAGAAATGAATGAACCCACCCGATCTGGGTACTTCAGCGCAGTATTGAGTGTCGTACATCCACCAAGCGAGACTCCAATCACAGCTGCAGCTTTCTTGACTCTTAGAGCATCTAACAGTGTTATGATATCAGCAGCAAGCACATCGACTGTGACCTTCTGTGTACCGCACTTTGAACTCCGCCCTCGAGTAAGATATCGCAGAATTCTGTATTTCTTATTCGTCGGGACAGAGAAGAAGGATGCCAAGAAACCATCCCATATCTTGTAGTCGACCAGAATAGAGTTACTGAGTACGATCAATGGTGCATCTGGATCTTGCGATCCCTCGAGTCGGAAAGGGAGTTCCACTCCATCTTTCGTCGTGATGAATGATTCAATTGCTCCAGCTCCACCAACAGATTCGGGTAGTGTCTTCGTGAGAGAGGACTTGACGTCAGAAGATTGCCACGATGCGAGATTCGGGGCCAGATATCGCGGAGCAGGTCCAAAGGTATAGTACAAGTCATAGACTCTTCTCCCCTTATTTCGGACGCTCTTCTCCCCAATTTCTTTCGCCCATGGCGTCGAGACTGCAGCTTGGAATTCTGACCCTCCCAATCCGTTCTGGGGCTTATATTCGTGCAACGCCAGATATTCGACGGATGCTTTCGGATCGATTGAGCTCGTTACAAAACGTCGTGTCCGTAGCCAGCCAGGTACCTTCGACAGCATGTCCACATGCTCCTCTTGATACCACTTCTCAACTTCTTTCTTCGCCTCTTCTCCCGGGAACAGGCTCAAGAAGACTGCTACCATGACATTCCCTTCCCCTTGATTCTCTACCTTTTCCAGCACTGTATACTCCTTGCTCTCCCACGTCTGTAAGTGGTCGTAAAGTCTTCGATCGACCTTGATCTCCTTCATGGTATCTGCCTCTCGCTGACTCTTCACCGGTTGGTCTCGTAATCGCAGATACGCATCCTTTGTCAATTCGTCCATATCCGTAATATCATACACTGCCATCCATTCCGGCTTCGCTTCTGAAGGTGTCGCGCCCTCCAGGTCGTTTGCGCGGTACCGGAAGCCATTAGTGACAAATGGCAGGCGAAGACGAGTAGGACCATGTTCGTTGTTGTACCAATCGTGAAATTGAGAGATGGGAAGAGTGGATTTGGGCTGCATGGTAACATACAGGATGCCGGAAGTTGGGGCCATGGTTGCGGAGGTTTGTGATAAATGACGCTAGGTTCTGGGACAATTGTTATTTTGCAAATTGATAAGAAGAGAAAGGAAATACTAGGAATCGAGAAAGACGAGGAGAATAAAGTACAGGAAGAAGGCTTAACCGTCCACTAGCCGTGGGGACTCGTCGTGGAGTCCTTCTGGCAGGATGGACTTACGGTTGATGTGGGGAAGCTGTGGACATCGGCAGACAGGTCGGGTCTGGCAGCACTGCGGGGTCGTGGAGGGGCGAGACTTTGAGTTGACAAACAAATAGACGCAGCAATGGACTTTGCCTTCTCGGTCATTGCTAAGGAATTATAGTTTCTCGCTTTGACATCCACTTATGAAAATCTAAGATGGGTTCATTGCGAAAGTTCATTACTAGGCCAGACATTGACGGATATTTAGACATTCAATGGGCCCAACAAAGCTACGAGTGGAAAGGTGTAGTTACTTAGATGATTGAAGCAATATTACTAAAGGACATCTATCTCTATTGAATTCCCCTTACGCAGTATAACTTCTGTGAGATATGGTAAGTTGTGAATAGTGAAGCTGGATCTGGTTCCCGGCAAAGACTTCATCCGCCTGACATTCCAAACCGAAACTCTGATCCTCATGTCATTATTTACCTGATCAAAAGCCAGATCCTTAGGTACAGCAGCATCACTTAGGTCATAGAATCAGAATGTTCCTGTAGTACGCATTGAAGCTTCTCCCTTTGTGCTTATTCGATTCTTGAATCATGCTCCGTTCCATGTTTATAATTATCTTTCCTGTTGAAGCGAGGGCTGTGCTGACTCATCATTCTCTCAAGTCAACATTGAATCTACTGCAGGGGCGGAGATCACGATAAGCATCCCTGGACCTTGGCGTAAACTTGCCTTATGTCCGGTCAGAATCGAATAATGTGAGGAGAGTGACGGCCTTGTTCTTTGAAAGCTCGCCCGTTATATTGTGTTTTGATTGGATGTGACTTGTTTCTGCTCAATAGTTCCACTTTGTATGGCGTCTTGAAGGGAGCTATTCGAAGTTGCTACATCGGTAATCCCTCAAACTCACGAGAGTTGATACTTCATGCTGTCTTGTGGACTCTTAGCCCTATCATGCCCGGTCCAGAGCCTGTAGAAGTGATTGGAATCATTGGAAACGATGATTTCCACAGATATCGGTACGCAGCGCTTCAATGAATTCCTTTAAAGTCCAGAGGATCCCTAAAATGATGCTCGACAGCCGCCATTTAGTACCAGGTGAGAAAGCTTATGGGGTTGGGTTTTGTTGACACAGGGGGGGACATCGCTGTAGCAACGCGTCTAATTGATCCAATCACGAGTCGCACATAGCCAAGCTTCATGTCCCCTCAAAGACAGCGAGCTACATCCCTCGAGGTATTATCGCATGGAATGTAATATCACGAACTCGCCTCCAACGTCACACCTTGCTGGCGCCTCTTTTCTTGTGTCTTACGCGCTCCACCATTTGATCTTGATTGCCTAGAATCAAGGTAGCTAGCTGTCTCCAGAGCCTCGTTCGGTCAGCCTCGGCTTTTGTTTGCACGCCTTGAACCACCGCGCCCCATCGATCCTGAACATCTCCAAGTCATCATCAACGACCCGATTCCATGTTACACAACCCCATCCTGCCTACCAGATGAGATCCGTCCTAGCATGAGCACAAAGATGGCGAACTCTCCTTCTGCGATGCCCGGCGCATTCAATTTCCACCCTGCCAGCCGCGACACCGCCCCTCCACGCCTGTCCGGCGCAAAATCCCACATCTTCCAACCACCACGCACACCCAGCGCATCGGCATCGTCGTCTCTAATCCTTACTCGAAGTACAGCCAGCGTGATGTCGATATCGTCCGCGGGGGATAGAAGCTCGAAACTGGGACCGCGCAAGCGGACGTTGGAGGATTACCATGAGGGAACTGGGGTCGAGACACCACGGAATGGGTACGTGATAGATAGCGAGGATTGGTCTACTATGGGAGATCTGGGTGGGCGGACGCCAGGGTCGCCGAAACCGTTCGTAAATACTAGATACCAACTTGCTGGAGGCATGGATACGCCGAGTTTGGCTGCGCAACATGGTATCGATATGCAGAGTCAGTATGGAGATTTGGGATACAGAAAGAGCTTGGCAGATACGGATAGGACGTCTAGGAGAGATCTGTGGGGACAGCAGGGAGATCCAGGCGATTACTTTGGGCGCGAGTGGAATGGTCGGGGAAGATACAGCCAAGGCTACAATGAGAGTCCGCGCGGAGAAGGCTGGAGCAAGACGGCAATACAGGTTGCAGGCGCTGTTGTTGGGAAAGCATGGGAGTTTTGCAAGAGTAGCGCAGCTGTGTTTCGTGGATTCCAAGCTGGTGGCGGCACACGGTATCAGATCAACCCATCGGAGACCTTTGAGCCTGTGGAGCAGAGTATGTGGGAGGAGAAGGACGACATTCAAGACAGAAGGGCAACCCCACTACCGGGCCAATATCCTATAGAGGAGCTGGAGTACATACCTGATTATATGGATCATCCAACACCCGAGCATACACCTCCACGTCCATCGAAGCGGCGACAGATCAGTGCTAACCAGGAGTCTGCTGTGAATGCCAATGAGGAGCTTGCAAAGAACTGGGTTGTCGTCCCCCCTACAATCACGCCCTCAAAAGCCCCAGTACAGCGACGACTCTCCAGATTCAGCCAACCAACCGCTTCATCCAACTCCCGCCGCTCCCTCGCAAGCACTGCCCGACCTGCATCTCGCGCCGGATTCGGAACCCCAGTCTCAGCCCGCAGACCCGGCCTTCCAAGCCAAACCTCCCGTATCTCCCACGCCGGATCCCCAGCTCTCAACCCAAGCCGAGGAGCTTCGTATGCCTCTCCACGCTCACCTGCGAACTCAGCAAGCCGCATTCCCCGCGCAACAGGCAGTCCGCTCCGCAACGCCAGTGCCCCATTACAAGATAGTCCCGCAGCGAAAGAAGCCAAGCGGTGGGCGGCGCAGAAGAAGAAGGAGGAGCGCGAGGCGGATGAGAGTATTCGCCGCTTGGACGCTCAGCTTAAGGCTATGATCCGTGAGGGCAAAGAGGCGCTGGGTACGAAGATTGAGGTGGATATTGAGGATGATGATGATGCGGATGTGGGGAGTGGTAGTTCACGGTCACGCCCTGGGAATAGTAAGAAGTGGGCCTTTTAATCACCTGTGTTGGCACACAGGCCATCGTTTTGGATGGATTGGGAAGGGGGCTACTTTTCGCATTGCGCATATTTCGGATGGATATTTGGCGTAGTTGTTTTTCGGAGCAAAAACGTCTTCACGTTGGAGAGAAGAGGAAGGAGAGATCTGGAGCCCCGAGAAGGTGCATGGGAGGGAGAATACATGTATATGTTTGTTTTTATGTTTGATGGGACAGGGGAGTCTGGAGCGTGCTTTGATACCATTCGGCTTTTTTGTGTTTTGCCTCCTAGCTGACTTGCTTGCGTTCTCGCGTGGGCTGGACTCTGATCCAGCCTTTGTGTAGTGGAAAATTTGATGATTGAGATTCTATGTTCGTGTTTTTTGTGTTTGTGTTCAGGACGTGAGTAGTGGATTTGAGTGTTCTATTGATCTGTGGTGTAACAATTGAATAGTTTCATGACTTCATTGTGAGGTTTATTGAGGTAGATATTTACCGAAGCTAGCGAGTGCGCGTCCATGCACCCTTGAGCGCTTCTCTCTCTCACACACTTCAATATTCCATCTCTTGTCCTCGTGTGTTTACTTTTTCCCATGCAGCAGTAGGCTCAGTTCACTTTACTTCCCCACCCCTATTGCCCTCTAGCTCTGGTCTCAATGTTTCAACTCGCCGCTTGCCTTTCGGACTTCATGCCCTGCCATCCAAAGACCCGAATCGCAGAAGTCATTCAGTCACCCGGGAAAAACTTTTCAAGATGTGACCGACAGGAAGTGCCGCCTGTTCGATGGCGTTTGGCGAGATTTTGAGCTGATCTCTTATGCTTTTGACTCATCGTGCATTTTGAACTCGGTTTCTGGATCTGCTAACTTCAGCCTAGAAGCAAAACGGTATGAAGTTTGATGGACGAAAATGCACTCCGTTATGGAGAGCATCTGAAGCAGGGAAATGTGAAGAACAGTAAGTTCCTATTCCGCTTTCGAATATTTTAATATTTCAAAATGGCAGTCATTCACAAATAAGATGAACTCACGCGTGGTAGATTCAAAATCTCGGCAATGCTTCTCAACCTATCGCTGTCGTACCCAATCAAGTAAACAGATAATCTTCTTAATGCACTTGAGTGGATAATTTTGGGACTTATTCAACAAACAGTTTCCCTGCCACAATTCCGCAATGGTCCAACACAACCATGGTTTATGGGCAATATGTAGCTGTCAATGGTCAGGTCAATCCACGCCCTCGGTATTGTCGTGCCAAGACAATACCTAGACTGTAATACGGCTGGATAGTCGCCGAGTCTAGCGTGGGAGACGAACATATGAAAAGCGTTTCTTGTCCTCACCTGGAGACCGCTTCTGTCCTCACTTTCTTCTCTCTGTCGCGTTTATTCCTTGATGGATGACAATAGTACTTGGCTCCTTGGAAAGGGAGACTGGGTTCGGTTGAGGCTGCTGTAAGTCACGTGTGGCCGCCTTCCTTCTTCAAGAACGAGTCGTCAACTCTACTTCTTCAGATATTCGATCCAAGGATTTTGAAGTCATACAGTTCAGGCTCGTGCCATCTCGTCCAATTCCATTGTCAATTTTTCTCGTCCTGGAAAAGATGAGCGCTTAGAGGTCCTGGAATCAGAGTATGCAATGTCAAATTCAGCGATCTGGCGGTGAAATCGCAAGTCTGAGGTTAAAGAAAGAGATGAAGTGTAATGTAGAGAAAGCACTTGAAAATTAGAAGCTAATGGGAATCAGCAGGATAGATTGAAGAAGCGATAAGATGCGGAGAGTTTCAATATCCATCAATGTATCGAGATGGAATATGATCGCTCTTCCAGACTGTCAGCACACAGGATTGAGACCCGACGATATCTAGCTACATGAAATGGCAGTCTCGCTGCACCCAGCTAGCTGTCCGACGATCTCACCTGCGTCAAATCCATTTGGATTCAGTGCGGCGCAGGCACTTCAACTTACCAACGGGGAACCAACGGAAAGTGGACGAAATGGTACAACTACAACGTTACTCGGGCCGAACACGATTCAAGCAGGTCAATATCTCTCAGCATGGGACGCCCTTCTTCTGGAAAGAGTAGAGACCGATCTATCTGGCTTTGCCACAAGTAAGACAGACAGGATCTCCATTTCAACTGCATGAAGGGGGGCAGAGTCGTCCACAATACCAATTCCGTGGTAGATGCTGGATCTCGTACGAGCCCTCGAGTGAACGCATGCTCCGGCCCTCGATTCATGCTCCCTGCAACGCAAATCAGGATGCAAGGCTACCAAGTCCAGGCCGTGTTCATCGTTCCAGCACTGAGGTTCAGATACCGAGGAGCATGGCGACAACTACGAACTTTCTTATTGGATGTTTTATGGAGCTCGATTTGCGATAACATTTGACACGCGACCACCGGATCTGGGACTGGCAGCGGTAACAACATCCTGAAGATCCATTGCTATCTTACAACACTACCTTTCGGAATCTGATGAAGACAATTCCGAACACGGCGCGATGGAGGCGATTCGTTATTCAATTAACAAATCTCTTGCGATAACAATTGACTTCCAGATAAGCTCTGATCGCCGTCGCGATCTCTCCTCTCCAATCGTTCGGGATTGCAAATTCTAGCGCTGTAATTGCGAATGCCGACCTAGAGTAGTGAGTGGCGTGCGCTATGGAAGCTTCGAATGTTCCAAGAGAAAGTATCGAGGTGCCTGGGCGCACAGAACTCATGGCCACCCAGACGGGAGGTTTTGCGCCACGCCAGGTCAAGCTTTGCACGGTTCACGCCAGTCCAAAGCCAAGATATTGCCGAAGCAAAGAGAGAGTACATCGTGACATGAAATTGATCATTTCACAAATTTTTGATACTAATCGAGTTTCTGGATGTTCTGTCCTGCAACTCCTTCTGGTCGATCCATGACTTCTCGCATTTCAATTCATCCACCAACCTGCTTTTCCTCCAATCGCCAGCCCCGGCGTCCATTCCATGTGCAGTGGCTGATCTGAGGTTAAATGGTTTCCAGATTGAGTTTGCTTTCTCATTCGTATTTCGGTCTTATCTTCGTGCACACGGTCCACCTTCGATACCGACCTTCTTATTTGGGACGGAAGTCCGCATGGTTGGAACCGTTGCGCAATCCCCTCTTTCAACCGCTGATACCACTCTGCGATGGCCCTCTCAATCTATCAGAAGTCGGGATCACAAGTCCGGGCAGGACGGACGAGGATTGAGATAAGATCTGCAGGAAAAGTCGAAAGGAGCAAGTTCTTCTCATCACTTGGACCACGCAGGTATTGGTGGCGAGACGTATGCCAGCGCTCCTGTGTTCTGTACGAGGTATGATATGCTGAAAAAAGAGCAGATGAAGCAAGGGATCAGCTGGGACCGGCGAGATGAAAGCTCGAACGGCGCAGAAAGTGGGTATATCCTCAGTCTTCCAGAATGCAGCCCGAGCTTCTCTTGCATGTCCTTCCCTACCTTCCTAATACTATCGACCACCTTCCCCGGATAGCTGTCAGCTAGGGGGAGGCCTGTCCTTGCGCATTATCGCCATCAAAAGGCGTGCGATAGGGAAAAAGCATATCATCCACCTCAGTACATTGCAGCAATCCACTGTGGAGGGTGTAGGAAGGCATGGGCACATGGGGATTTGGATAAACATCCTATAAAGAGGCCCTCGCCAAGGTGCCAACGAATTTCCAAGTCCTGGCTGTATCTTAGCATTGCTTCTAATCCCCAAGACGATCTGCTCTGTAGTGGCATTGCTTGCCCCAAGACTTCGCCATGAACGCCGACCAGATTATGCTCGGCGGGGTCAACTCGATTGAGGGAAAAGTCTCGACGCTTCCCAGCCACGATGCCATCAACCAGAAGATTCGCACCTCGGTTGCGGTTGAAAAGGGAGGAATTGAGGGCGAGATCAAACAAATTTCCCCAGAAGACCTCTCCGACACTGGCAAGGAGAGCGATACTGATGACGATGCTATCATTATCACTGGAGAGGATGCCGCAAGATACTTGCTCCCGATGCGCGATGATTTCGAGCCCGCCTTAACTTTCCGTGCCATGTTCTTGGCTACGCTCTTGTGTGGATTCCAGGCTGTCATGTATCAGATCTACTCGGTAAGTGTTTTTCACTTGTGGAATCTACGGTCTAACGATTTGTAGTGGAAACCAACTATGATCACCATTCAAGGTACATTCATTGTGCTCATCGCCTATTTCGTCGGTAGATTATGGGCCAAATTCCTTCCTCGTGGTGATAAATTCGAGAACAGATGGAGGGCAAAGGGCGGTGTTGGCAAGGTTCCCACATGGATCTCAGTCATGTCATTCTTCAATCATGGAGAGTGGAACTTGAAGGAGCATACCATTTGTGCCATCACTGCCACTTCTGCATCTCAGGCTGCCCCTAGCATCCAGGTTTTTGCGGCTCAAGATCTCTTCTATGACATGAAGTTGGATGCCACCACCGTCATTCTCAGCACATTGTCCATTGGCCTGTTCGGTTATGGTCTTGCGGGTGTCATGCGACCAATCTGCGTTTGGCATGTCGATGCCGTCTACTGGAGTACGCTTCCTACAGTGAAGACTCTTCAAGGTCTTCACTGGCAAGAGATCAAGTCATCGAAGCCTATCAGATACTTTTGGTATGCTTTCGGAACTATGTTCGCCTACGAATTTTTCCCAGCATACATCTTCCCATGGCTCAACTCTGTTTCCATTCCTTGCTTGGCATCAATGAAGGCAACTGGAACCACGGGAGACACCCTCAGAAACCTCTTTGGTGGTGCCAGCAACAACGAGGGACTTGGACTTTTCAGCTTGTCATTCGATTGGCAATACATCACCTCTTTCAATACCTCGCTTCCACTCAAGCTTCAGATGAATGCCGCTATCGGATACGGTGTCTGCTTCATTGCCATGCTGGCAATCTACTACGGTAATGCTTTTGGTTCCAAGAAGCTTCCGTTCATGTCGACTCGACTTCTCACTCAAGAGGGAAAGACTTATCCTACCGCAAAGGTTTTTGTTGGAGGTGTTCTTGATAAGGAGGCTTTGGCTACCTATGGTATCCCAAGATTGACGGGAACTTTCGCTTATGCTATGTTCATGGCTAATGCTGCTGTAAGTCATTCCCATCGTGTCTGGGATAAAGCTGACTGTATTAGATTGGCGCCATGATTGCCCATGTTGTTCTCTTCTGGGGTGGTGATATCAAGCACGCTATCGTAACCTCAAGAGGTGGGACCTACGGAGACCGTCACCATCAACACATGGCCAAGCACTACAAGGAGACTCCATGGTATTGGTATGTCGCTTTGCTCGTGTTCAGCTTTGTTCTCGGACTCGTCGTCGTCATCAAAGAGAACATCACTCTTCCAGCTTGGGCCTATATCGTTTCCCTCTGCATTGGAAGTTTCATCGCTCCTTTTAGTTGCTTGATCTACTCCCGTTACGGAAACGGTATCGCTACCAACAACTTGTCCAAATTGATCGCTGGTCTTATGCTTCCCGAGCGTCCTGTTGGCAACATGTACTTTGCCGCCTGGTCTCACAACGTCATTGGTTCCGCTGTCCAACTCTGCAATGATCTGAAACAGGGCGAATACTTGAAGATCCCACCTCGTATCATGTTTTTGACTCAGATCTATGGAACCATCGTTGGTGGTTTCATCAACTATGCCGTCATGATCTCCATTGTTGCTGGAAACCGTGATCTGTTGAGAGATACTGATGGAGACTCTTCCTGGTCTGGAGCGACCATTCAATCGTATAACACTAATGCCACTTCCTGGGCTTTGGCCAAGTATCTGTACAAGACTGGTGCCACCTACGCTATTGTACCATACGGTCTTCTCATTGGTGCTGGAATCGTGGCCGTTCACCGAGTTGTCGTCTACGTAAGTTTACCCAACCTCCTTTAGCTTTCTTTACTGATTTGTTTTCCAGTTCAAACCCAAAATCGGCCGCTTCAGCATTGGCGAAATCAACTTCCCCCAATTCATCCAATACGCCGGCTACATACCATACAACGCTTCCCAGACCTGCGTCATCTTCTCTCAGATCCTCGCCGGCTTCTTCGTCCAATTCTACCTGCGCAACTACCGCCCGCGCATCTTCAAGGACTACTCGTACCTTGTCACCGGCGCTTGGGACGGGGCATCTCTCACTGTGCTTTTTATTCTGAGTTTCGCGGTCTTTGGTGCGGGTGGCAAGGCGATTCCGTTCCCAAGTTGGTGGGGCAATAATGTTAATGGGAATTATGACTTCTGTCCTGTTAAGGGAGGTTAGATTATAAGTGTGTATTTGATGGAAGTTTTGATGATACCCTTGGGAGGAGGGGAAACTAGATCTCTGTTTGTTCGCGGGCAACTACTTAGTGTGTCAAGCAACTGCCAATAAACTCGTGGGTATTCCTATTACCTTATTTTCTCTGCAGGCGATGTTCCTTGGGTCAAGTATGTGAGGCCTTACATGTTGTAATTGCCGTGAGATCGAAGCCTTACCACCCTCCGGCACAGCTGTACCTGTAGGTGGAACAAGCAAGCTTAACGTGGACATGTAGCAAATAGCAGCATATAGTTCAGGGGACCAGTCTTTTCTTTCCTTTTTCTACCCTGTCTCTATTTCACGACTGCTCTTCTGCATGTATTTTGCCAAGCTTGCATCAGCACCCAGTAGTAATAGTTACCTGCCACCGTGAATGGTCAGTGCCGTTCGCGGCGATTGCTACAGCTTCGCAAGTGGACCATGCTGTATAGAGTTTACTATCTTTGCATTTGCTATCCGGTAATGCGGCCAGTTCGACAAGCTTACTTCCTTCCGGCTCTAGTGGCTGATGTACCTTGTACAGCGATATACTTGAAGCTGGGGCAGATCCCAGAACAGAGTGTAAAGAAGGCATGGCAAATTAGATGGACCTGTATTGGATACTATGGATAGAAAGCCAATGGAATGCCTCAAGAATCTTTGTTTCCTGTGCTTCTATACATGTATCCTACCTGGTACATCACTGCAACGAAGCATAAAGAGGACCAGAAATCAAGAAATTGGGTGAGGGAAAGTTGAGGCTATATATTCCCCATGACGAAGCGTTTTGTGAGTATGCCATTACTTATGCTCATTACACATGCTCTCTCATCTCCTACTGCACCAGCCCCTGCACCCTTTTTATCGCTGCCTCAGCATTCTGCACTCCATCCTGAAATCCAATAGCTTTCGCTAAAGCCTTGGCTTCTTCGTACTTCTTTCTCGCCTCCTTCACATTTCCATCCATCTCTGCAAACTCGCCCAGATTATGCGTAGCTACTGCACAACCAACATCACACTCTTCTGTTCGGTCGGGAGGCGTAATCTTTGCTGCTACTGCTATAGCTTTCTCGGCCCATAGACAGGCGTTATTTATTAGTGTTGGCCGGGAGCTAGTTGGCGTGTTAGAGGGAGAAATTTGTTGTGCGAGTGAGATGGAGAGGTTGTTCACTAGATATGGTTAGTACTGAATAGTCCGTTAAATAGTATTTGGCTCACTTAGTACTACAGTATGACAGCTTGATAGTGGCGACTGGGTTAGAGCCTGGAGGAATAGAGGAGCAGCGAGATAATGCTGGTTCTTCTCCTCGTAGTGGTGTGCGAGTGCTAGACCGAGTTAGTAGTCTGTCCATCCAGTCCAAGGGACAAGTACACTAACCTTCAAAACTCCCACCCACCTCTTCAGCACTGAGCCAGTCTCCCTCTCCCTCTTTCACACCCTCTTTCTCCCTCCTCTGCTGCTCCTTCAAAACAGTTTCTACCGCCCACACCAACCTCTCCTCCGCGCTCTCCTTTTCCAACACATACTCATTCGCATACAGTTCCCCCAGTTTAACACTGACCCCTACTGTCTTCCCTAATATCCTCGTCCTCTTCCCCTCATTCCCCTTCACACTCCCAAACCTCTCTACCCATTTCAGATTATCCGCTTTCACAATCTCCAAAATATCAATCGCCTTTTTGTACTGCTGGACCCTTTCCATGAGCGCCGCAATCTGCACCTTGACACCGATAATCTCGTCAGAAAAAGGGTCCATGCCGACTTCGTCAGCGATGCGGAGGGCTTCACGATAGTATTTGACGGCGTTCTTGGGCTCGAGAGAGATGTTGGTGTAGTAGAGGGCTTTGCGGAGCTGTTTTGCGACAGGCTCGGGGTACTTGTGAAAGGCGCCGATAATGTAGTTGTGGTAGATGTAGTTTGAATAGAGGAGAGTTCCAGCTCCAAAGAAGATACTGTTTTATTATCAAGTAATTAGCCACTAGTTCAGACGTGTTTGTTAAATCAAACGTTGGACTAAGGAGAGCACATTTCTGGTACGTACAAAAATACAGCGCCGGACACGGAGAAAGGATATGCTCTGAACAGCTCTTTGGAAGCCTTCCAGAATGGCCGAGATGATTTATATCGTCGCTGGCACATCCGCTGCGAGAGACAGTTCTGGCGTAGAGCTTCGTTACGTTGCTGTTGGAGACATTGCGCCGCTGGTCGGAGCGCGCTTCTGAATCGCGGTGTAAACATATTAATGGTCGTCTTGCATATATTTAACGATCAACTTAGTTGTTGGCTGTAGGATTTGTTGATAGCAGAGCTCAATTGCTAGTGGTTATGCTAGAAGACTTCTGGATAGCTTCTTGCTCATAAGGTTAATCTGAGCTTCGATCTCAGAAGCTTACTGGCTTAAGGCGCCAAGCTCAGGGCGGTGTAGAGCTGCAGAACCTAATCAGCTGTATATCCAAAAGTAGCAAGTCCGGTAATAGCCTCGTCGTTTGCCCCTCTGTTTGTTTATTCAGTTTAATCTGTCTGAACATCTCCGCTCCTGGTAAACCCAGCACAAGATGAAATGATGAAACCACCAATCGCGTCCAGTTGAAATAATACATCTCCCATCTGTCGTCATATTTGTCTCACTACTGACCGCAGCCAGGCTTCGCTCTCAATATCAAATAATGGGTCTCATTCTCTAAGACATCACGAGGTCTCTCTTGATATAGAGATATATGCCTCGACAGATAAATGCCAAATCTCGAAGTGCCAGGTGCCTTGTCATAATCCCCGCAAGTGGTTGTGCAGGCTGCTGGTTAACGGTTCGAAATATCATTCAGTGCAAGACTTTTCAATGTTGCGAGATCTCAACCCATTTGATCAGATCAGAACCATAGCAAATCAACGCCGGATCCTCTCAACTGCTTGCAACCCAATCTTCGTCGAACTAAACCCGATCACAGATCCCTTACTCAACCCTCAACAACCTTCCCCTCCTCCTTCACGGGGTTCCCCTCATCACCGACCTTCACGAGCCTCCCAACCACCAAATACTTCTCCTCAAACCTCTCCTCCCATCCTCTCAACGCCTCCATCTCCTCATCCCCTAGCCCGTTCAAATCATCTAACGGCCCCTGTAAATCCTTCGTCAACATGTCCTCATCAAAACTCCCACACGCCAGGCCCCTCGTTGCATCTCTGCCAGCGAAATTCGCGTACGGACCGCCAGGACCATAAAAATTGCGGCCGGACGTGACATCAAAGACTTTGCCGCGGACGGCGAGGTATACGGGCATGTCGTTGAGACCGTTGTACGGGAGGAGGGTGGGTGGTGTAAAGGTCCGGAAGACGATTGGTGCTGGGGCTGTGGGGAGAGTGATTGGTGGGGAGGGTCGGAGCCGGTAATAGAGTGTTAGAATGAGGAGGGAGAAGAGGATTAGGTTGAGCGGCGTAAAGAGGGTTTGGCTGGAGGGAGAGTCAGATGGGGGTTGAGAGGAGGAGCGGGACGAGGCTTACACTTCTGGCGAGGGTGTTGGCTTTGCGGCTTCTGTTGAACAAATGTTAGATTATGTTGCTTGTATAATATGGTCTTACAGATAGAGCGAGTGCCTTACCTTGAGCCATTCTCTGCTCGACATAATCCATGTTGTATTTGTAAGATCTATCAGCCTCGTTTCTTCACTCTGTCAATAGGTCCGAGGCTTCCGCTGTACACAAGAGCTCGGACTGCGAAACAGTTGAGATCTCTTACTACGATGCGAGAAGATTGAAACTTGATAGGTGTTCTGTGCTGTGTACGTTGGGGTGTTGTTGATTGTTTGAGGAGGAACTTTATGTGAGATTGATCAGATTGCGAGTAGCTTCCATCAGAACAGCCTGGCGGGACAACTTCGGCCTGAGACGGCGGGAAGAGCCGAGAATAATGCATCCAGTTGGACCCCTCGGTGCAGTGAAGGGACCTCGGCAATATTCTGGCGATCCAGGTATTAAGGTAGGTAACATCAACACCAGCAATTATCCACCCTGGCTATCTATCTCAGTGGATCTCCATGTACAACAATATGACGACTAAGCCACCACCGCCTTCTGCCCCCTCAAATTTGATATTCGAGCCAATTCCCGCTTCTGTAAAAGCACATTTTGACAACATCCCCTGGACAAAACAATACACATCAGACCCTACCTTAAAGCCTTATACAAGTACAGGGCGCGTACCAAAGACACATAATACGGCCGATACATTCTGTGCTATCACTCTAGACTCTAAGGATACCGTTACGGCATGGCAAACCTGGTGGAAACCTGCACCTGCACCTTTTCCCACCTCGAAACCATCAAAATCCGATCCAAAAGCAGCCGACCAGAAATTCGGCGAGAGCATCGCCCTCGTCTCCTTCGCTAGCGGCTTAAACGGCCACCCAGACACGATACATGGAGGTTTCCTAGGCGTTCTCCTCGACGAACTGATTGGCAACGCAGTGGAGTATGAAAGGCCGCATGACAAAAGTGCAATGACAGCGTACTTGAAGGTGGATTATAAACGTCCCGTAGCAACGCCTGGAACGCTCGCTGTGAGGTCTTGGGTTGAGAAGGTGCAGGGGAGGAAAATGTGGGGTAAAGGGGAGGTGCTAGATAGGGAGGGTAAGACATGTGCGACGGGTGAAGCGCTTTTTATTGTTGTGGAGAAGGTGAAAGGAGCCGGGGATGGGAGTAAGTTATAAGAGCTATTTGATAGACAGGCGTTCTGCTTAAGATACGAGAAGGGTAAAATTACTTCAACATTCTAGGCAGACAGGTAGATGAAGTAGGGTTCGACAAGAGTATTTGATTCGGAGAAAGTGTCCGGAAACAGCTCATGAACCGAAAAATGTACTTTGCGTGCTAGAGCAGCGAATGTATGCGACGAGATGTGTCAGATAGAATAGATTTAGACCTATGTACGGCATTGAACTTGAACAAAGCCTTTTCTTTGTTCGACGTTGTAAGCACAGAGTGTTAGGTGCTAACCTAACCGAAACTTTTCAAAACAGGTAGTAGCGAGAGTGTACAGGTTTAGTACATAACCAACAGGAAATCCATGTCAAGGTACTATACACTAATAATGTCCATGCAATTATTTAATTACTCATACACTGTCGATCCTCTGCACAACAAGTGCGGTAGCAGCACCACCTCCGTTGCAGATAGCTGCAACACCATACTCACCAACCTTTAATTGATGGAGAAGCGTTGTCAGAATTCGAGATCCCGAACTACCTAGTGCGTGGCCTAGTGAAATGGCACCTCCAAGTGGGTTGACTTTTGCGCCTTCCAGACCGAGGATCTAGTTGCAAGTCAGTAATGCATAAATCGTCTGACATACAGTAATTGGACAACTACAAGAAGATAGATGAAGACATACTTTCTCGTTCGCCTTGATAACCGCCGCGAATGCCTCATTAAATTCCCAAATTGCTACGTCCTCCTTCTTGATACCGGCTCTTTCTAATGCAAGAGGGACTGCCTTCGCAGGAGCAACTGGGAAGTCAACAGGATCGATAGCTGCATCAGCAGACCCGCAAATTCTCGCCAAAACTCTAGAGCCAGCACCGTATTCCCGTGCAATAGTAGCATTTCCTAGCACAAGGGCACTAGCTCCATCATTTAGCGTTGACGAGTTGGCTGCTGTGACAGTGCCGGTACCATCTCTCACGAAAGCAGGCTTAAGAGAGGAAACTTTGTCGAGTTTGATATCGAGATAGCCCTCATCTGTGTCGATAATTGTGTCGCCTTTCCTGCCCTTCACAGTCACTGGTGCAATCTCATCTCTGAAAGCATTATTTTTCCACGCTTCCTGTGCCCGAGAGTAGCTCTGCTTCGCGTAGTCGTCTTGCATTTCGCGTGTGATATTGTGATTTTTTGCCGTCGTTTCAGCACACACGCCCATATGGAATTGGTTGTAAACGTCCCAAAGTCCGTCTTTCAGCAAACCGTCCTCCATTGTCACATTGCCAAAAGCCGGCAGCCCGCTCGCTCGAGGGGTGTATAGTGGTACTCGTGTCATGTTCTCCATCCCACCAGCAATCTGTGCTTCGGCCAGGCCCAGCTGGATATTCTGCGCCGCAAAGACCACAGCTTTTAGGCCGGAGGCGCATACTTTGTTGATTGTAATAGCTTCAATTGTATTCGGCAGACCTGCAAAAATGGCAGCTTGCCGAGCTGGGGATTGGCCTACGGAAGCTTGAAGAACATTGCCCATGTATACATCTGTTATCTTGGAGACTGGGACTTTGGATTTCTCGAGGGCGGATTTGATCGCCACAGCACCAAGTTGAGGGGCCGAAACTGTGGTGTAAGAGCCATTGAACTGTACCTGTCAGATCACTACTTTCTTGAAGAACAAAAATTTATGTATAAAGGACGACAAGCCTACCTTAGCAGTAGGCGTTCTAGCGGCACTCAAAATGTACGCTTCTTGAATCTCTTGTTTGGCCGAGGCAGAAGCACTGAAATGCCGCTGTACTTGCGACAATCGCTGTGTCGAGGCAGCCGGAGACCGCAAGGAAGCCATAGCTGTTCTTGCTGTTCGGAAAGACATGTTGAACTAGATAGTGAGGAGTATATGAGTTTGAGACAGAACAAAAAGTGAGAGGAAGAGCTGGGAGAAATACCTTAGGAAGAGGAAGAGGAAGAGGCAGAGGCGGAAAGATGCCGCCTCTACCCGTTCAGTTCCAAGCTCTAAGCTCGGGCTCGGCTTGTGACAGAGATCGGCAGGGTGGGGGTGACAAGGCGGGCGAGGCGGGGTGTGCCAAGCGTCATTCTGATATTCCATTGAACTTCAACACCAGCGAACTGCCGCTTCTTCTTCTTCTTCTTCTTCTTCTTCTTCTTCTTCTTCTTCTTCTTCTTCTTCTTCTTCTTCTCTACCCCAACCACAACAATGTAATCCCCAAAATACCCCAAAAAGCCCTCAGCATGCCTCTCCTATTCCTCGAAGCCTTCCCAAGAGAGATCCGTGACCAAATATACACTTATTGCCTCGCCTCTCGCTCAGGAGCAGTGACTCTATCTCCATGGACCATCGACGTCGCACGCTCTCTCTCCCTCCTCCGAACATGCAAGCAAGTCCACCGAGAATGCAAAGACCTCATCTGGCTGCACAACCGACTCAGTCTTCGCGAACCGACCCAGCTCTCCCAGAAGATCAGAGGCTTGCTGAAGCACGGCCACGCGCGGCGCATACGGCTGCTCAAGTTGTCGCTCGAGCTGCTGGATCGCGACGAGCTGGAATGGTTTGCGAGTTCGGCGAAGGCTCTGGAGGACTGGTGTCGGTTTGGCAGGTTGGAGTCGATCACTGTTGTTTCGGAATGGGATAAGCCGAGGGATGTCCGGGAATTCAAGGAGATACAGAATCTGAGGAGGTATGGCGAGGCTCTGGATGGAAGGCTGTACAGGGACTCCAGTACCTGGACGAGAATGGTTATTAATACTGGGTGGCCGAGATTTTGTCATTGGGGAAAGCAGAGATGGCTGAGGGAAATGCTGTTGGATCCAAGTGGTATCAATGAGCTGCTCTTGGAGATTCATAAAGCTTTTGGTGGCCAGCTATACGTGGATGGACTGCTATGCTTCAGGAACCAGGAGCAGATTGCTAAAGACTATCATTTTGATCCGAGGAATGGCGAGATACTTATCGTTCCTGGACCGATGGTTCATAGGCAGGCAGTCAATACGAAATTTTGATACCAGGGCTGGGTTTCACAGGTGACAGTACCCCATCATCAACTCAGGCTTCGTTCGGTCGATTTTAATTGATTTCAAGTATTGTGTTCTTTATTCTCGTCTCTACATCTCTGTTGGGTTCGTGGCGTGCACGTCTTGCGCCTCTTCCTCGATGCTGTGGAATATTAAGTTTCTCCTTCTTGCCCTGTATCACTCTTACCCTGAATTTGCTACTAAACCTCGCACGTTGTATCCATACTCATATCTGCTACAGAAATATCGCAATCCACACTTTCTTTTCTCTGTTCTGATCAACCTTCCTGGCGCTAGACTGTCATATCCTGCTTCCACATCCTCTCGAGGTATGCTTATGTGATTATGCTGCCTATTGCATGTCCCAAGAGGACTCTGTTGCCATCGAGGTTGTTTTGCGGAAACAAGACCTGGTGCAACGGTCAGAGGCTGTGGAATGAAAAGTACGTCGCAGGCAGATGGTATGTCTGAAGTCCTGCTTGTTGATTCTTAAGCCTCACTTCTAAGCAGCATGCTAGGCGATTGACGACTGAGGATTGTGGTGATATCGAGATTTTGAGCTATGAACAATACCAACTCCCTCTAAACGTCCCAATGGTACAAGTGTATACCAGAAGTTGTGGTGAGGATTGAATCCAATGGAGTTTCTCAGTACAGTCGCATACAGACAATCGCCATGAACCAAGCAGGTGGTTCCAAAGTTGCTTTGATCTCGATTCCCGAATTGTTTTGTTCGATAAGCTTTCTTAGAAGTTTCGTAGAGGTCGAGCGGACGAACTATACTGACGCGATCAGACGCGGTAGCACAATCTTGCGAGGAGGCTTTTCCAACGACGATAATTACAGACAGAGACCTTCCGCAATTGACATGTACGACTTTACATTGCTCGTCAGAAGCACGCGGATTCTCTAAGCAGCTTCTTGTACATTATGCTTGAGTATATCGATGCTGTTGTAATAGTAGGCGCTTGGGCTCGCTTCTGTATTCGCATCTTAAAACACTACACGCCGCGGACGATTTGTGCATTTAGAGCAATCCATTGGTCAATCAGATGCTTCAACGGAGCTTGGAGACGAGTCATGGGTCCTGTACCCTGCTTTCAGGTCCTCTAAGAGTCAGAGCTTCAACCTTCATGGTCAGTTCACTTCATATTTCTATCGAATCCAGTTCCACCTTTGCGAGCTTTGACAGTGGGAACGTGGCGGGGAAGTTTGCATCGAAAGTATGTCTTGGGATCACCCAGAGCGAAGACTTATTCGATAAATCCAAAGTACTAGTTCTCCGGTGGACTTGAGTATGGCATTGGACTCACGGTCTGGCGATCTTGTCCCAAAAAGTCGGACATTAGTCAGTGATGCGACTGAATCCTAGCTGATGGCATGGCAGTTTTGTTGTTGTTAATACACTATCTGGGTACGTGTAGCTTCGAGTTGCACCTTGTATTCAGCAACGGCATCCTAAGAAGAATGTTAGATCTCAATGCGCCAACTCTTCTTCTACCGACCTGCAGAAGTTGAAGCAATATGCGAGGCCCGACACCTCTGTGTATATCTGCACTCCTGCACATCGCAATAGCTGCGGTGAACAGAACAGAAGTGGAAGCACGCCTACCTAAATGTTCGGTGAGCTTGACCCCCCAGCAGCAAAAGACTTTTCGCGGGCTAACGTGCAAAGGTCAACTGTTTCCATGTAGCCCTATCCACTAACCCAGATCTCATAAACTCGCCTATGAGATCCTGTCCGAATGTTACTCTCCAAAAACCACTATCAGACTGTCTTCAACTAGCGTGCGGTTTCGAAGAGCAGAAACAATTCTCGCTCGTCACCAACGACATTTGTAAAGGCCAGCCAATACCATCTAGAGGCCTGGGGGCACTGGTCATAGCTATCACTTTGGGACCGCTCACTCTATCTTGCGTCGCAGCTCGATTTTATTCGAAAAGAAGATTTTCCCAGCCGCTGGGAATGGAGGATTATTTCATATTAGGAGCAGCATCACTGTACTCAGGAACGATACCTTTGTATATTGTCAGTAAGTGCCGCTTTCAAGTTCCAGCCCACCAGGTGCTGATCAACTAGATACGATCCTCGGATTTGGAAAGCATTATTGGAATATCGATCCGCTGAAAATACGCGTTTTACTTGTTGTGAGTAAAGATTAGCATGAAGTGACTGTTAATTGCTAATGGACTAGATATTTTACATTGGAGAGTTGTCCTATTTGACCACTATGCCTTTAATCAAGCTGTCTATTCTTTTCTTTTATGTGAGTTAGCCTCAGTCACTTTCTAGCGTAAACACCAGCTGAACGAGCCCAGCTGAAGCTCTTCCAAAGCCCTGGTTTTCAGACCGCTACTTGGTTCATGATCGTTTTTGTTGCTTCTGCGGGCATTGCATTTGTTGTGACGGGAATGGTACAATGTCTACCGATCAGTGAATCCCACCTGTCCAACAGAGTCTCCTCATACTGATATATCACAGGCGGTTCATTCGATCGAAGTATCCATGCGACGTGTCTCGATTTGAATGCTGTGGCATATGCTAACTCGGCAATTGGCATCTTCCAAGACGTCCTCATCCTGCTCCTCCCATTCCCCGAAATCTTATTTCTGAACATGCCACGACGGAAGAAGATCCTCTTGATCTTCATGTTTCTCCTTGGGACCCTGGCTGTCCTGACAAGTATCCTCCGTCTGCCATCTCTCCACGCATTCGCAACCTCGACAGATCAAACTTGTGAGAAACCCTAGTTCTCACCAGGCTGGAGCCAAAAAGCTGATATCATTCAAAAGGGGACAATCAAACCGGCTCTCTCTGGTCTCTTGCCGAGCAGTCCGTCGCCATGATCTGCGCTTGCATGCCCGCGATCCGCAGACTCCTAGCGAGCCACCTTCCCAATATATTCAATCTCGATGGGTTCAGTAGAGACGCTAATAACGATGCACGGAGGAGTCCGAGGAAACCACCATCTCTGTTCCGTTTGACGAGTTTGTTTTCAAGTCAGGGGACGACCATTACGGCGGGGAGTCAGGCGCAGGATTCGGATAATTTATGGATACTGGCGTCAGAGACGGGTAGGGGTATTCCATTGGAAGACCTAGGGAGTCCTTTTAGATGCAGCTTTAATGGCTTGGGGCTGCCGGGGAAGCCAGCACCGTCAAGTGTAGGGAGATAGCACTGGAGCGAGCAGCAGAATCATTGACCTTGACTTTCCTACCCAATCAACTTCATACTCTGTTGAACGATAGTAGATGCAATGAATGGAATTTGTGACATGAAACTAATAACCAAGTTGATTGGAGGTGACTGAGCAAGACGCGCAGGCTGGGTCGTGTCTCGTGAAGCCCCGATTTTGTTTGTTTCCTTCCACTCGGCTAAATATGTCATTGGGTTCAGCTTTTCCTCGAGACTCTGAAATCATTAGACAAACGTGAATCAGAATTACAGAATCTTGTAATACCTTCCCTTGGGGGCTTACAGCTCAATTGTCAAGACACAATGTATTATCGATCCTGTCCATCGTTACCCAGATTGGGTATGGCTGTTAAGGCCCACCTTGCAGATCGGTGTAGAAATCTTGCTCTCTGGGATCTACAAGCTCTGCAAGCATAAATCACTCTCTACTCCACACTAAATCTTCTATACCAATCTTGAAGGTGCTATCCGTGTGTTTCCAAAGGGTTCTCGCTGAAGCTACAAGTCTTTCGTTCACTCCTCCAAGCCTTGGCAAAGATTAAACTTCAGTCTCAAGAGGTCCAGTTGCCCATTCCGTGATAAACAGATCACGTCTTGAATGCAATCAAGAAATGGTAACTCAATGTGCTGGCAAGCTCACAAAGAATGCGGTTGAGGTTTGGAGATCGTGCGTCCAAGGCTGACATCCCGAGGTTGGTTCATTCCCGCACAAGGCTGAGAAAGGTCCCGCGAGGCGGGGATCTCCGACTTGCGCCAGGTGGGGTGGACCTCAATTGAAGACTCAGAGATAAAGATTTCTACTTCTTCGCATTTATGTACACATCCTCTATATCAATTGATTAGTGTTATAGCTGTTTTTCGCGCTCTTGACCTCAATCTCTGCGCATCAAACGCCGACGAACAATTACCACCACGTTAATAGCTCGAGTACAAAACCTGCCCCTCCATCGAGATCAACAGCCTCCTCCTCTCCATACAACCGCCTTTCTGTTCTCTCCTCACAACTCCTCCAACCATCGAATACCTCCACTTGCAAAATGAGCAACCCTACTACCACAACCACTCGCCCCCCTATAACTTGCCACGTCCTCGACACTACAACTGGCCGGCCCGCAGCCAACCTCTCTGTCAAGCTCTCTTGCGTCTCTCTCCCTGAGATCGAATTTGTCGGCACAACTAATGCCGATGGAAGGATAGCAGCGTGGGCGAATACGCAGGGTGAGAATGGGAAGGAGGGAGAGTATGTAGTGAATAAGGGAGGTGTGTTAGGCGCGTTGGGGGCGATCATTGAGGAGGCTGCTCTGGTGGAGGAGCTGGGTGCTAGAGGTGAGTTTTGATTTTGATTTGGGATCAGGAGATTGGTTTGATTGTGACAAACGGTGATTAATTAGAATAGGACCCCCTGGATCAAGTCTTTGGAAATTACGGTTTGATACTGGGGCGCATTATGGGGTTGGAAAAACCTTCTTTCCTGTCAGTTGTTTTCCCTCTTTGTGATTGCTCTTTAGAATCGAAATCCTGACATCTTCGTAGATTGTCGAACTCTCTTTTCTGGTTGTCAAAGGCGAACATTTCCATGTACCTCTCCTGCTCGGTCCATACAGCTTTACGACATACAGAGGAAGTTAGATGGTCAAATTGACGAATGTATACTTCGGTTGCACAGCTCAATCTAATTCCATTTCGTCTGTGTATCCTGAACGATCTTGGCCAACTAGATCGCTTGTGACTTGTTCGAGAGACATGGCATTGGGTGTCCAATCCATACCATCTACAGGTCGTTCACTAATCTCTCTGAGAGCTATCTCTAGTCTGACCCTCGCGCCGTGGGCATCGCTTATGCTTGTAGTATCCCATTCCTTTAGCTCTAGCCATAGACGATGGAACTTGTCTTGTCGAGAACTATCCGAGAACATCGCCATCAGGTCCTGAGCTTGGAGAGACATCTTTCGTATCTCATCGTTATCACACAAGTGCCGATGTACTGCCGAATTCCTGATCCGCACAGCGTCCCCTAGAGCTGCTTCTAGTGTATAGTTTGACATTGGTCTTATTGAATTCGAAGGTAGGATTGTTGGGAGGAATGCTTTCCAGACTGATAATTCCACGGCCTCAGCACAGTCCCATCCTTTCACGTGTAGTGCCTCCGGTATCCACCTCGTTGCGAACTCAAAGCAGCTCTCCTCCAGCATTCTCTGAATCATAACAAGGATGTAGTGCTGGACTTGATATGGGAGCCCTAGGTCCGAGGGTTTTGGTGGAGGTGTCTGGGATCGACTTGGGGTTTGGATAGGTTTTTGAACTGTCTGTCTCTTGTTAAAATATATACGGAAATCTATGTTTGTCATCCACGTACTCTTGTCCACACTTTCTCATTGGGATTGCTCTGCCATTTGGTGGCATTCCGTGGCGCCCATCTACTAACCGCAAGCCCAGTCGGGACTGAAAGAGATCCGGCATGAGCAGTTGCTGGCACTACTTCGTTGCGGATCACTTCAACTTCAATCTGGGAACTTAGAACCTGCAGACTCGGTAGTGTCGTGTGCTGGAAGATCTCATTCTTCTGGGTCGGAGCGCTAGTATTATCCGGTTTTGTAGAGCATCGAAAGCAGCTGGTACGCCACTGGAAGTTGGAGAAACCACACGATCTACAATTCCAGTCTTCCGGACGCTGGTTCAAATACCCAAAGCTGCCACCCGACGTAGCCCATCTGCTTTGCTGCAGTCCATTGTCGCCCATGGTCATGTTGACGCGTCGTGAAGTGGCCGAAGTTGTTGCTTGTCTATCTGAAGACAAGCTCCGTGGTTGGCTATATAGATCATTGCGAATTGCAATCTGCGAGGCTGACTAGGAAATCATTGTTGGATTTTATGGTGTATAGTAGACTGGCGTCAATGTCAATGTCAAAGGAATCAAGACGCGCGGGAAAATTGGTCAGCGCTTCCCGAGTCAGTGCCAAGCCTCGCTTGACCCTCCCGATAGAGGGGCCCAAATGGACTGCACTGTCAACAGAACGCCCACGACCAAGTAGATGCTGTCTAGGATGGACGCTTTATTATCTGCTTCCCTGGCCCGGCGCACATCCAGCACAATTGCACCTTGATCGTGGTTCTCTATAACGCCGCGAGATAATCGTCGCCAGTTTCTTCGTGCACAAGTCTGGCCACCCCAGCAATAGCTAGTCTTCGAAACACGAGCGACTTGTCAACAAGTGTAAGAGACTGATTCATGGGGCTAATTTTGCTCTTGCTCCTAATAATCGCGTACAACTAGCTTAAAAAATTCTAGTAGCTCAGTCAAGGTTGCTCTTTGGCTGATACCTTCTGCCTGTCGCACCTTGGAATTAACCTCGTAAAAGAGTCCTCTATTTACAAATGTAAACGGCATTAAATTTAGGGAACTGACTCCGTCTTGCAGGTATCTTTGGAATCACACTTAAATATAAGTCCTATGAGTACTTGCCACAACTATGGTCTTCCGTCTTTGATATCTGGTTTCAACACACATATCTGCGACTTTCGCTTAACAGCCAGGAGAAGTAAACAAACCCCATAGTAACAGCACCACCAGCCTTGTATCTGGGAAATGATCTACGCTCCTGTACTAGTTAATTCAATTGGTATCACGAACAAATACAGGTATGCTGCTTTAGATAGCTTTCAAGGAACTTCATCCTGGGCATTGAACGTTGCAAGATAGAGTCGGATAATCAAAATCCGAGATAGCCTGAACAGAGCGAGGATTTTAACGTTGAGTTGGATTATTGGATTGACTGATGTTTACTTGCTACGTACTCTAAGAATGATTTGCTTGATTTAAGAATGCCAGCGATATATGCATACTTTTTCTTTTGAACGAATACACTCATAGCTCGGATATTGGACAAAACGTGGATCAAAGATCTGGATAGACCTGGTATTAAGATATTAGTTTCCGTATTTATTGGAACAGGAATGGTTTCCTTTCATAGTGTGTAGCTGTTTGTACAATAGCTTTTGAGGCATTTCATAACAGACAGTAGTATGTACAAAACCACATAGCTCAATTGTACAGATCCTTGAGCTTCAAAGGCCTATCTCCCTTTCAGCGGACCACTCTTCCCAATGGGTTGATTCTGGTCCAACGCAAGCTTCTGTCTAGCCGCAGCTTTCTTCGCCTCCAACTCCTTCTTTGCCGCCTTCTCCATAGCTAATAACGGGTTGACATATCCCTCCGGTTTCTGCTGTCCGAATCCCGACTTCCACTGTCTTTTCGGCACACACGGTAACACAGGCTTAGGAATCGGTATGAACTTCTCCAGCAGTACACCTTGTAAATATGCCGCCCCACTGCTACTGATCCAGTATATGAGCAGAGCAGACGGGACATTCAGCATCATTGGACCGAGACATATGGCTAGGAGACTAAAAGAACGGGTCAAGCGCTTAGTCCATATCCCCATGTCAGCGTAGGTCTTGCGCGCGCCGCCAAGGATATTAAGTAGGACGGTTGCAGAGAGGATGAACGGTAGGGCGAGATGCGGATCCGCAAGGAGAAGATTAGGGAACCAGAGGGCACCTTCTGTAGCCAGGGAGGCCTCCACCGGGATACCAACTGCTGTGTCCAGCAATCCATCAGCCGTCACAAAAGTACCAGTATTCTGTATTCCTGCCTCCACAACCTCGTCCCCGCCCATTATCATGCCCAGAATCCCCTGGTTCGACCCACACATCTTCCTCAGGGTCTCCATGACGCTCAGAAAAACAGGAATCTGCACCAGAGCAAAGTAGCTCTTCCACCTCTCGCAGCCATACCTCCTGAACAGCTCCACCCTCTTGCTATATATCTTCTTCAGGAACGTCTTCTGTGCTTGCCCCGGGCCGAGATGTCCGACCTCGCGCATGGTTTCGTGGCGGAGGTGCGGTTTCCAGGATTCGATGAGGGGGACCAGGGAGATTTGCTTGATGTTAGAGCGCCGGTTGTAGATGGCGATAGGGAGCATCAGCGATATGCGGAGGAGTATAGCGAAGAGGGGGATGGTGGTTGACCAGGGGAGGCCGGTAGTGGTGTGGAGGGAGAGGAGGGCGTCGTGGGAGAGGTGGAGGGTGGATAGGAAGAGGGATTTGCGAGGTGGGGAGGCGTGGAAGAGTTGGGTGTGGCTGTGGTTGAGGGGTAGAGAGCGAGTGCTGGTTCTGCAACTGGGTGGGAGGAGAAGGAGGCGGTTAAGGGTTGGGGAGGTAGATGAGGAGGAGGGTCGAAGGAGGGTGCGGAGGAGGAGAGGCATCGTAGCTAGCTATCTCTATCTTTTCCTGTTGCCAGATGCTTCGTACTCAAAGTGAACAGATCAAGTGAACGTCGAGTCAGGCGGATCTGGCTATAGCGACAAGTAAGGTATCCAGCCCATTGCTACGGCGCTGCCATCATGAGGTTGAACAGAAAATCATCAGAAGCTCGGATCTGAGCGCAAAATGTCAACAGTCCCTCCCGCTGCCCTATCGGCTGATCTCTGGCTAGCGATCATGCATGCGAGATAAGGGAGATCCCGTTGTTCGCGGTCACGTGGGCGCCCTGACGAGGCTAGGTAAGGTATTTAGTGGAGACGAGGCTTTGGATTGAGCTTCAGATGTACTTTTGTTCACCAAGAAGAAGATTATGCGATCTCGTCTACATGACTTGGATATCTCGATTCGACATTTATTTGATTTGATTTGTCTTTTAGGAGGTGCTGCGAATGTGCCTTCCGCCGCAAGCTTGACTTCTTCCACGTGGAGCTTCAAGGAGCTCCAGGTTCGACTTACCTAAGTAGAGCTTCGGAGCTGGGCACGTTGTCAAGAACGCGACCATGAGGGCTATAGGGAAGTAGCTACTTGTCCAAAGATTATCTGTTCGCCGTTTCTAATGTGTATTTACAGATGTGATTCTCTTTCCTATACTCCCTACCGTCATCCTCCTCCATCTCGTTGTAGCACCCTACACCAAAGTCGAAGAGTCATTCAACATCCAGGCTACGCACGACATAATGAAGTATGGCTTTCCGTACAGTAACAAGAATCTCCTCCAATCCTTTGACCACATTACATTCTCGGGTGCTGTTCCCCGAACCTTTGTCGGAGCTCTCGCACTTGCTGGAAGTGCGCAAGTCCCAATACGGGTCTTTGGGGAGCAATATGCGCAGCTTATTGTGAGATGCTTGCTGGGGCTTTTTAATGCCTTTAGTTTATACAATTATGCTTGGGGACTGAAAAAGGCGTTCGGAAGTGATGTTGGAAGGTGGTACATACTGCTGCAGGCGAGCCAATTCCATGTCATGTTCTATGCATCGAGGACGTTGCCGAATATGTTTGCTTTTGCACTCAGTAAGTCTTGTCTCTACTTTTACTGTGTAAGTCTTGAGCTGTCGGGGTGCTGAGACGTATAGCTACGACGGCGTTCAGTATGTTTCTACCTGTGCCAGGGAGAAATGCTTCGAGTGGACAGTGGAATTACAGCCTAGGCATATTCTTGTTTGTGATAGCTGGTGTTATATTTCGATCAGAAGTTGCATTATTACTCTTCTCGCAACTGCTGGTTTTGCTCTTGCAATCACAGATCTCAGTACGAAGCGTGATCCCAGCAGGAATATGGAGTGCCATATTCGCTCTAAGCGTATCCGTCCCGATCGACTCGCTTTTTTGGCAGAAGCTGATCTGGCCAGAACTGGCTGGATTCTATTATAACGCTATCCAGGGTAAGTCTGCAGACTGGGGAACATCTCCTTTGACCTTTTACTTCACGAATTCACTTCCTCGCTTGTTACTCAACCCACTCATTCTCCTCCTGGTTCCGTTCGCTTTTGTTCTGCCGTCGACACGATACCCAGCACGAAATCTGGTGATTCCATCACTCCTGTTCATCACCATGTACAGTCTTCAGCCACACAAGGAGTCTCGCTTCATTATCTACACTGTTCCCCCGCTCACAGCGGCGGCATCGCTACCAGCGTCTTACATCTGGACACGGCGCTCGAAATCCCTCATTTACAGCTTCGGCTCTCTCCTTCTACTCTGTTCAATCGTAGCCAGCTTCCTAGCATCAACCGCCATGCTCCTCATCTCCTCTCTCAACTATCCTGGCGGCGACGCCCTCACCCAGCTGCACTCCATTATCAATCGGCAGCATCCGTCTTCCTCAACTAACACCACCACACTCAACATCCACATGGACGTTCTCTCCTGCATGACAGGGATAACGCTCTTCCAGCAAACACTCCATCTATCACCCACCCTGCACCTCACGTACGACAAAACCGAAGACTCCCCCAAACTTCTCGACCCGGCCTTCTGGGCGACCTTCGACTACGCGCTCATGGAAGACCCCGGCAAAGCTATAGGCAAGTGGGAGGTCGTGCGCACGGTGTTCGCATACGCCGGGATCGAGGTGCTGAGACCCGGAGACGGCAGTTCGTTTGGAGAGAGCCTGGAGAAGATCTACGCGGCCAACAATATCACCGCCAAACATTCAGCAGCAGCAGCAGCGAATGGAGAAGGAGAAGGAGAAGGAGAAGGAGAAGACAAGGGAGAGGCACCACCTAGCAGCGAGGACGTCCGAGAAGAATTCGAGATCTTGGAAGGAGGCGGAACCGAGAAAGTGGCGTGGGATGAGGAGAGGGAGAGGAAGAAGCGGGAGATGGGCGATTTGAAAACGAGATTGATGTTGGAGGAGATGGGGAGACTTGGTACGTTTAGACTTGTGAGGGATGCGGTGAGGGTTGTGACAGGTGGCTATTGGGTCGGGCCGAGGATGGAGCCGAAGATTAGGATTCTGAGAAGGGTGATAGAGGAATGATGTGACGGCACCGACGTGAGTTCATTTAGCAGCTACAATGTGAAGTAGAAAAGACATTCATGGAAAAGATCTCTATGGAAAAAGACTTCTATAGTGTGGCGCGCTACGACCCGAACACCCCCACAACAAGAGAGGTGGCAATTTAAGGTATAAGGAGTACTTTGATACAAGGAAGCGGATTAAGCAAATCTCGGGATATCACATATCTGAAGTACAGGATATGTTAAATAAGGGGTAGAGAAGATAATAGATTAGATCGAATCTTTTAGTGTTGTCAATAGTATGTATTCAAAGGAATAACAATTTAGAATCTCTAGGTACTACCACCTGGCTGCACTACTAACCTGACTTCCCTTCACTACGCTACCTAAGGTAAGCACCAAAATCAAGTGGCCCTGCCACACCACCTATATCTAGTCATGCAAAAAACATTCATATAGACTTTTTCATCAAAAACGCCTTGTAACGAGTCCCTTCCCAATCTATTCAGTTCCGAGGCAAAATGCTCATTTGTCAGGCAGCCAGCCAGTCAAACAAACAAACAAACTCAGACGAGCATCAGTGATCTACAGACGATCCAACAACCCTTGGCTCTCCAAAAGCAAAACAATCTGGTGAACCGCACTGCGCACACTCGTCTTCTCCAGATCGACGGTCAAATCGGCCTTCTTCGGAGTCTCATACGGATCATCCACCCCCGTGAAGCCCTTGATCTCCCCACTGCGCGCCTTGGCGTAGATCCCGCGCTTATCCGTCTTCTCCGCGTGCTCAAGCGACGTAGCAACATGGATGAGGTAGAAATCCCCATACTTCTCGACGATCTCGCGGGCGTGCTGGCGGGCGTCCTCGTACGGCGCGATCGGAGCCGCGATGACAGCCGCGCGAGAACGGGTGAGCTCCGAGGCGACGAAAGCGATCCGGCCGATGTTGCGAGTTCTATCTGCGCGGCTGAATCCTAGCTCGGAGGATAGCTCGGCGCGGACGGTCTCGCCGAGGAGGAGAGAGACGGAACGGCCGCCTTGTTGGTTGAGAGTTACGTGGAGAGCGCGTGCGATGGCGTCCTTGCCGCTGTTTTGGTAGCCTGTTAGGAAGACGGTGAAACCTTGCTCGGAGCGAGGGGGGTGGGATTCGCGGAGCACGCGCACGACTTCGGGGTAGGAGAACCATTCTGGGATCTCGCGACCGGTGCGGAGCCGGTTGCGGAGCTCAGTGCCAGAGATATCGAGGGTTCGAATTCCGGCTGGGACTTCGTCCTTGGGGCGGTACTCGTCGCTGTCTGGGAGGTAGGTCATCATCTGGAAGGGAACGACTTCGATGCCGAGCTCATCCTTGTACTTCTCAACGGCGTATTGAGCATCGTATGGGCCGTAGAATTCCTCGCCCTTGCTGTTCTTCCCGGGCCCGGCGTGATCACGACCAACAATGAAGTGGGTTGCTCCGAAATTCTTGCGGATAATAGCGTGCCAGATGGCCTCGCGAGGCCCGCCCATGCGCATAGCAAGGGGGAGGAGACCAAGGACAGCCATACCGTTGGGGTATCTTGGGAGGAGAGCTTGGTAAACACGGACACGGGTGAAATGGTCGATATCTCCAGGCTTTGTGAGACCAACGACAGGGTGGATGAGGACGTTGGCTTGGCGGGAGCGGGCAGCTCGAACAGTCAACTCTCTGTGGGCTCTATGCATAGGGTTTCGGGTCTGGAAAGCGACAACCTTTGACCAACCAAGCTTGTCAAAGTGAAGTCGGAGCTCTGCGGGGGTATCTATTGCAGCTTTTTAGTGGTTTCTCTGCGGCAGATTTGAGGCGATTCTTACATCTAAGGGCAACGTAATCGTAATGCTCAAGGCGGCGAATAGCATCAATCTTTCCACCAACATAAAATTCCCGAGCAGTGTTATGAAGATATTTTACAGCTGGGTGCTCCGCATCTCCTCCAAATACTAACTTAGCCTCCTTGTCCCTATCAAATTATTAGCTAATTTCCTGCTACAGCAATATTCGCAGTGCTTACTTATCAGGTCGGTAGACATCGTCAACAGTGATGATAGCAAGGTTGCGATCATCACGGAAGTCACGAAGTGTAAGTCTCGCCCCGGCCTTGATTCCCAACTCCTCGATTTGTTCCTTTCCAACGTCTAAGGTAATTGGCATGGAGAAGAGGTTGCCATCAGCTAGGCGGTTGTTCTCCACAACGCTGAGAAGTGTCAGTTATGAAAATATCCAAGCAATCTAATCCTAGAAGTCGTACCCATTGTAGTCCTTCTCATTCAAAAATCCTGCAAAAAATAATTGTCAGTGACTATTTCCTGGTGATTTGTTCTTGGAGGAGGAGTTGCGTGGCTCTGGTGGTGTATTTTTACCCCACTACGCCAGAGAATGAATGTACCTTCGAGGGGAGAGAAACCACCGCTGAGGATCAATTCCAGATCGCAAAGTTGTCTCTCACTAAGAACAATAGCAGGCAAGGTCTCGGCCTCTGCTGCGAGCTCGTTGTGTCTGGGCAAATCTCTTGCAAGAAGATCTCTATCGGCATGTCAGCACCCGCGAGGCAGTAACAGACAAATGTCTATTAGTAAGTAGGGGAAGCGTACTTCAGCTCTCCGCCGTGGGGTGAGTTGGCCATAGTTAGTTACGAAGCTTGAATGGAGAGAGGAGGATATCGAGAGTCGAGAGTCGAGAGTGCAATTGAGAATGCAATTGAGAATAAGTTGTACAAAAGGAAAGAAGTGCAGGATGCGGAACAGAATCTTTCGTACAAATTCAACCAAATGGAAGATGCCCTCTGGGCGGCCTCTGGGGAAATTTTATTCGCTTTCTGCCGGCGGCGGCTCGAAGACGTCAGAGCACGCCATTGCACGCGTTTCTTGTGGAGGCGACGGGGGCGTCAGGGCGCCCTAGCCTAGGACTCCTAGGGTAAGGTACGGAAGTACCTTAGGTACCCTGTACCTTCGGTAGTGGGGCAAAGTGTTCCTTGCAGGTGCAGGTGCATAGCGCGCCCGCGTTGCGCCCGCGCCTCCCTCGCTTTCCAGTTATCGTGCCTCCGTGCGCATGGATAAGGTTATTTCTATGATTTGTAGAAGAACGGCTTGGAGTGCTTGGAGAAAGAAAAAAAAGGGAAAGACTTATGACAGGCTACGATGGCAAATCTCAGCCACATCTTGCGTAAACACTGTCCTACCAACAGGAAAAAGGGCCAAGACCCTACCTACAGTACCTAGGTAGGCAATATAATATTGTGGCAGGGCCACCATGAAAACCGATTAGCACCTACCCTATTTACACGACTATTTACACTTCTCTCTCCGGAATATTTAGGTTTGGCCAGTCAGGTATCTACATCGCTTTGAACGCCCGAGCACTTGTAAAATGAATTCACGCGACCAGGCTTTCGGCTGAAGTGAGCATCGCCTGGAAAAGGCCCCGCGTCAGCTGTGACAAGCTGAAAGAATGCGTCGACCTCTCAAGATGTAATATTCCCGCGCGAATGTACTCCACGTCTGCCTTGGCAGAGATCTGCTTGGGTGCTTTGAAGACGTTGCGGTAGAGGACTGACAGCGCAGCTAGGAAATAATCCGTCTGCAGGCTACACGATCCTTCAGTTGAAATTGTTCGAGATTACTTTCCAGCTGACTTGACTTACCAAAGTGGTGTCCTTCGGGCGCAGCGACTGTCATCTGCCATAGTACTACTTCGATCAGCACTGCGCTAGAAAACTTAGTGACAAAGAAACATACTCATTTAATGTTTTGACAAATGACCGTGCAGCTGAGATACAGATAGTCTCACTGGCCATGATGCGTGGGCTCGACCGCGAAGCTGACTGATCCTTGCTGGCATGGGCACATGTGAAAGATGCCCAGTGCGTTGCTCGTAACATGTTGAAATATTCCAGATGAAGAGATGTCGCGAGATGCTTGATAGAGTTATGTATTATGATATCTTCTCCCGGTCGACACTCTATAGGGAGCTCGCTGCACCAGGAAACTAGTGATGCATCGATGGCGCTCAGTTCACTGAGCATCGCACACGTCGAACCGGCCTGGCTGACGACACGACAGAATCGATGCTGGATCTGTCCAAGAGTTGAGCTCCACATGTAGAAGTGTGATGCGGTGATTTCGTCGCTTGATGGCGATTGTTCTGATCCAGCAGCAAGCGGGAGCAGCTGGGTGTCGGAGCATGATCCAGTCACGCATGGCGGCCTACCTTGATTCATACTTAAGAATCTATACGCAGGTTATTTATCGCGCCTCAGGCAATTTCGTGGGGAAACTTGCCCGTCCAATCTATATGCCACCCACCAGAGCTGAGATCGCAAATGTACATCGATTTTACTCAGATCGAAGTCCTCGGGACTTCGACGATGCAGTCCAATGGACTGCGCAATACGAATTGCGAGGCCACAAAGCACCCATGCGTAGCCACCTTTGCTGCAATGCATATAGAAGATGGTCTCAACGTGTCAGCGCAATTAGCTTCATGGGGCACATCTTTACATACATGGAGAAGTAGAATCTGCACGGTATTGACAGTGGGAGTAGCAATGCATTCTTGCAACCAAAACCAACATTGCTGGTAATGATTGCGTGAGATTTGTTCTGCTTCCTGCGCATCTCGGTCTGAAACATTTCTGCTGATCTCACCGATGGCAAGTATCAAATACAACCGCGAGTGCTGGATGTAATCGAATTCCTGGTCACATGACTGGTGCAGCTGATCCCAGAATGCTCGAAAAGCGGCTTCGTCAACGATAGGATAGATGGGGTGCACGTTCTCAAAATATGCTAGGGTTTGTTAGCTGGGAAACTGTTCATCTGGCCTAAGCGGAACATACAATCAATAGCTGGCTGAGTAGATTCCTTGTCAGGAATACTTGGTACCTGTCCATTGCTGCTGCGAGAGTAGCCCGACTCGTCAATATGTATACTTGATTGTATCAAGAAATCCAGCCCAGCAGCGCCCAGGAGACCGCGGCTACTCTGCAGAGCTTCACGGATGCAAAATGCGATAGTTGCTCCTATCGAATTGAGACCTTGATGGGATCAGCAGAGCTGCTAATACAAGAAACAATTGCTCCGTGTTGGAACGTACCAATAAAGTTGCTGTCCAATGTATCTTTGCGGATGAAGAGACCTGGGAGGATCTTTGCAGTAGGCGTTTCTTGGGGATCTCTCCGAGCTAGCGAATCAACACCCCACACCTTACCACCCGCCTCACGACTCCCACGTAGCGATGCAGGTGAAGTACCTGACTGTGCCGGACTCACACCAGGCGGCATCAAAGGAGGCACAGTATAATCTGGCGCGGTAAAAGGTAGGGGTGATAATCCCTCGAAGAAAATGTTGCCCGATAGATCCAGAGACGGATTCCAAAATTGCATAAGATCATTATCTACGGCATTCTCGGCGGCGCTTTCTGAACTGTACACAACTCCAGTATTGATGTTTACAGGACTCACATTGTCTGCCCGCTGTCAGCCTTCTGAACTATGATGCCGGGGACGAAGACAAGCATTAACCTGAAATATCCACAGCTAAATCGGCATGAGGCTCTGCTGAGGGCAAAGAGGCTGATAGCGCGAGCACGGATCTTGGGGGCGAGAGCAGCACCGGAGGCTGAGAGGGAGCAGAGGAGGGCTGGCTTGGATGGGCAGCTGCTCCGTTTGCATTCCTCGACCTGCCGTCGGTGGTCGAGTAGACGCACTCGGTCCCATACAATTGGCAGTTATTGCATGGAAACTGTGTCGTGGTACTACAGCGGAGCTGGCAGAACACCCGAATGAGTTCCGTGGTACTGACAACAGTGGCGACTTACTCGTTTGCGGCGGCATGCTGTACATGCCCTTCCCACGCGCTTCCTTTTGGTCGTCGTAGCAGCCGACTGGCCATGTGCTGGGGCGAGAGGATCCATGCCCTGGAAAAGAGAGTAAAATGCTAACAGATATGTAATGTTGCTTCTAGGGCCACGATGGCGAGCAGCAGCCAAACTAAACTTGTATCTACTCTCCAGTAGCATAGAACTATGTGTTGCGGTGTGGACAGAGACGGAGTTTACCCAGTAATACTGCAAACACGGCATTGAATACGGGAGTTACTAAAGCAGTTGCTAACAGGTAGTGTCCAAAATTGATTCGTTCGCTTCAATCTGCCTGCCAAGCGAGCTGGGTATCCCCTCCACTGCCAAATAAACATCCCTTTTCCCAGGGCGTAAATGCCTGAAGAAATGCCCTGTAATTAAGCGAGGAACGCTGAAATACGCCCTTGTGCCCCCGCAGGATAGGTAACTTTCGTACCCCGCTTCAGCGCTTACTGCCCCTGGGGAAGTGCGTGCTCGGCATTTGCGGGGATAGGAAGCTGACGATTCGGATCTCGCCCTTCGAGCATCCGTTCCGTGGAACCAGTGTCCAATCGGAAATGGCTGGCCAGACCTGAGACAGCACCAAGAACATTATCAAATCAAAGTACATTTGGTTGTCCTGTAAATCCGGGGAAGTATGGGGTTTTGTATACAAACATCATTTGCTCGCAGGCGGAGCCTCCGTCTGGGCTTAATAAAAAGAATTCCCACACATACATAACTGCCCTCGGTTTCTGTGAGAGTGATTCGCCAGTTTTGGACCTTTCTGCAGCGCCACAAACTATCTCCCTACTGTATACACACACATATGATCTCGACTTAACAGCTTGCAAAACAAACAAACCGAAACGTACTGAAACGAAACATTCGAAATACACACCCCCGCCAAGCATCCCTCACTCTTTGAGCCACAATGTCGCATACCATTGCTGGCGTCCCGATTGCCTTCACCGACACTCGTCGGGAATGGCAGCGAATTTGGCAAAAGTTCGACCCGGCAACAGTCACGCTGCCTAAGGGATGGGAGAGAGAGCCAGGCTACCGCCCCCTCCCTGTCGACACTGTCTGGCATCGAGACAGCGCCATCACCTTGAGGGACGGCGTCAAGATATACGCCGATGTCTTCCGACCAAAAGATCTCGAGGGAACCACAGTTCCAGCCATAATCTCATGGGGTCCATTTGGTAAGACGGACAAAGGCATGCTTAATCACGAGTGATTTTTTTCACGACCTCGCTAATATTCGCATTCAGGCTTTGCCAATACTGTCAACCTGGAAGTGGGTATTCCCAGAAATAGTCTCAGTGGACTTGAGTCATTCGAGGGATTGGACCCGGCAGAGTGGTGCCAGCGGGGATACGCTATTGTTAATATCGATGTTCGTGGCAGCTATAGCTCTGAGGGAGATCTTTTTGTTCATGGGAAGCAGGTACGTACTTAGACCTCCACTAATTCCGGTCCACGTGACTGATCAGACTCCCAGGAAGGTGAGGATAGCGCCGATGCAGTTGAGTGGATTGCACAGCAAAGCTGGTCCAATGGAAGTGTTGGCATGGCGGGCAACTCATGGCTAGCTGTAATCCAATGGTATGTTCATTAATCTCCAGAAGATTTGTCAGAGATTGATGAAAGTGACAGGTTCACCGCGGCTCAGAAGCCTCCCCATCTCAAAGCAATTGCACCATGAGAAGGAGCTTCTGATTTCCGTCGACATATTCTTTCTCGTGGTGGCATTGGCAACATTCCTTTTTTGACATTTTTGTTGGGAAACTTTGGCGGTCAGTCATCGATCGCGTAGCGAATGTAAACACAAGGCTAACAAGGTTTTGATGTAGGCTTGAATAAGCGTGAAGACATTTTGACAGAGTTGACAGAACACAAATTTTGGAATCCGTACTGGGAGGACAAGGTGACGAAATATGATCAGCTCGATCTACCCATGTATATCACTGGGTCCTACTCGACTACCTTGCACGCCGAAGGCTCTATCAAGGCTTTCAACTACTCGAACTCAAAGGAGAAATGGTAAAATGCGCACCAGACCAACGATACGAACCACAGCTGACTCACTATACAGGCTTCAAATCCACCCCACTCAAGAATGGCACGACTTGTATTCATCCGAAGGATCAGACGATCTCCAGAGATTCTTTGACCGCTACCTAAATGGAAAAGACAACGGCTGGGAGGCCACTCCCCGCGTGAGATTGTCCCTGCTCCGTTATAATGCACCTCCAATCCGGCACCGACCTGAAACCGATTACCCACCAAGACGTGTCCAGTATGAGAAGTTATATCTGAACACAGAGAATCAAACCCTGGTTCAGCAGGCACCGGGCGCTCAATCGAACTCGATCACCTTCGCCGCCAACGACGTTCAGGACGACGGCAGCCACTTCACACTTACCTTTAACAAGTACACGGAGCTCATCGGCTTTTCGAAGGCTATCCTGTACGTCTCCACCGATGCGGGCGACGATCTCGACGTGTACGTCGTCATCCGCAAGCTCGACAAGGACGGCAAAGCTCTCATCAACAACAACATCCCCCATAAGGGACCTCGCTCCCGGCACCACCGAAGCCAGCGTCCCCAACACCAACATACACAAGTACATCGGACCCAACGGCGCCCTGCGCGCATCCTGGCGTGCTGTACTTCCCGAGGAACCTGGGCTCACCGCCGAGGCGCGCAAGCTCACAACCCCCGCTGAGACTATCCTTGCCTTCGACAGGGAAGAAAAGCTTCAGCCAGGTCAGATCGTTAAGCTGGAGATCCAGATCTGGCCGGGAGGAATCGCATTTAACCCGGGAGAGTCGCTGCGATTTGAGGTGAAGGGCAATGAGATCCTGCTACCTGAGATCGCCGTGCTTCGGGCAAAAAAAACCCAAACAAGGGACGGGCTACCATTTATAGTAGCCAGGAGTACCCGAGCCATGTTTTGTTGCCACTTGCCCACTAGACTTAGGATCTTGGGAACCGCTATAGAGTAATTGGATGTTGAAGTAGGTTATTTTACTCATGGACTTGAACGTGAACATGCATAGAATAAAAATAGGGAGAAGCAACGAAATGCGATAAAGTACCTTGAATAACATTCTAGATTACTTCTTGTTGTATGATCCTTTTGTTACATGACAAATATATGATCAGAAATTTTGTGCTCAAACGGTAGGAAGTGTTTACTAGTGACGCTTTTTGTGGAACAAAACAATCTCTTAATAGCCGAACACGTGGACGAGACACAAAACCACATGGGCTGAGTAGCCAATTTAAAACCAATGGTACAGCTCACTATTTTACACATACATGATTAATCTAATACCAATATTTGGCGTCCTTCACATCCGAGTAACGATTGTTCTAAACTCGACCATCTTTGGTAAAGGGCAAGATGACGTGAAAGAAGCAGAAAGTGTGACGAGTCAGGGGCAACCAGCTGGCTAGGATGGCTCGGTTAATGTTCCTAATTGGGAAGGTATAACTCTTGTATATTACCCCTGTATCTCCTCTACCTTCTTTTTATCTTAGTTGTAGATTCTAAGAGAATCTTGATTACCTTCACTTGATATCTTTGATATATGAGACTTTTATTACAGCGTCATTCCGGCCTTTTATAAGGCAAGCGTCACAAGAAGAGTCACTTCAACGAAATGCAATGCAGCCCGATTATATAGTTTCTCATTCAAAAATCGCTCGAGATGAATATTTATATAATTTAACGTCTAAGGTCATTACACCATATCCCTTGTTCTCTACTCCAGGTAGTCCCTCAATTTTGAGTACGCGTCGCTAAGCGAGGAGACTCGGCTGACAATATGCTGATCGGGGCGAATCAGTACACCCGGCTCAGCAGAAGTGAAGTCCATGATTTTCAACCAACTGCTGTCGTCAACATCGAAATCAACCCCCTCTCGAAATACGGCGACAGGCGCTGTCGGGTGCACCGAATCTGCCTTGTCGATTGGGAAGTCCTTCGACGCAAGTACTACGAATCCATCTCCGTTGATCAGATCCAAGGTTGAGCGGTGTTGACCATCTTGGACAACCCATCCGTGGGGAAGCCTTCCTCCAGGCTTGGAGCTGGGAATGAACTCGTTGCAAGGACGGTCAGTAGGTGTTTCCGCGCCGTAGACGTACCCAATCTGCAGATTAATCGAGTCGAAGTGTTCCGAGTTATCCTCTATCGCCTGCTGAATCAGCGCGCTTGATTCTGGATTCACCATGACCGACTCGACATCTTTCAGGTCCAGGTTGGAGGTCACACTCATGAGGGCGTTAATTTTAGTCATATTCAAGGCGCTTTGCTGGGCATTCATCACGGCCACCGGTCTCCTCTCGATACCGTAGCTATCGAGCAATGCATCCTGAGCCCAGTTCTGCTCAACAGCATGAATCTTCCACACGAGATTGTGTGCATCAGCCACACCGGTGTTGACCCCTAGACCACCTGTTGGCGGAAACACGTGTGCAGCGTCTCCGATGAGAAAAGCTGCCGGATTGGTCGCGGAACGATACACCTCAGCCGCCTGTGGCTTCGTGCCCCAGTGGGTAATGGAAAGAATGTCATACGGAACCTTCTCTCCGATAGCCTAGCTGGACATGTCAATGCGCTTGCCAAATATTGATTCATATGGGAGATGAGTGCTCACGTCGTCAACCGTACGCCGACAATACTCCTCCGTGAATGTAGAGGTTGGTGTTTTCTCTCGGTCGATGTTTTCAACGTAAACCCAGCTCTTCGCCCGGTCATAACATATGAACGTTCTCTGCTTATTCGGTCCAAAAAAGAACCAGAGCGTTCCAGACTTGAACTTTCTGAGGTCCGCATTTATGTGCACCGACACGTGAGGGATCTCGAAATCCGGAAGTCCAGGAAGTGGCGAGAATGGCACGCCGAACTTAGCCCTGGAGCGTGACTTTGCTCCATCGCAGACAAATATGTACTTACTGACGATTTGAGAGGTATTCCCAGTGCTCCGATCCAATAGTAGGGACACTTGAGGCCCGTCTTTTTGGCTCTGGATGGTCTCCTCAAACTGAACTCCCTTCCAGAGCTTGGTAAACTTGCTTTTGCTGACCGCAGCAAGCAAAAACTCTTCAAGAAGCGGTTGAGCAATGTTGAAGAGTGGCTCGGGCGTGATTGCTCTGGTTTCGTTTGTCTGTCGCTCGTAGGGCAGGTGTCCAAACTCCAATCCCGTCATGTTAGGGGCAAATCGGACCATGTCACCATCCTCGTTCGATACTCCCACCTTTCTCAAAGCCGCGGTGTCGAGGCTGGCTTGGCGTAAAATTTCCAATGACCGCGGATTGATGGCGTGTGCTTTGGGTTGACCAAGCCGCTCATGGTGTCGCTCGACAACTATAGATTTGATACCATAGCTGGCGAGGAGGAGGGCGGCTGTGAGACCGACGGGGCCTCCCCCAATAATCAGCGTGTGTGTTTCCTCTCGACTAGGAATGGCCATTGTACAGTTTCGAACGATATCTTAAGGGTGTGCTGGACAAGTCTGATATTACAACTTTGGCAGGAGTTGTTCAAGTAGATAATCGTTGGTAGATGCTTCTCTTTGTGTGCTCCAATAGGAGAATTGTATGTGCTTAAGTCCTTTGGCCACTGGCTCCTAACAGCGTTAGCGGGGGAAACTTTACTACCCCGGATGTATCGGAGCGGCTGTATTTGACCAGCATGTGTAATCTAATTCAATTTTCTCCAAAAATTTCATCTTCCAAAAGTAAATGATTAATCTACTGTCTAATCCCCCATGTTGAGATTGATACTTCCGTGAAGGCTTACTCGGCATCTCTATCATTAATTATCCGCAGAGAAGAGTGTAAGATGAAACTCTCATAAGACGCAAACTCTCGTGTGCACTTAGGTTCCCTAACATCATTTGTATTCTTATTTACAGTATGATATTTACCTCAACATCATGAATTGAGTTTCGCCAACTCGGCATTCAGCTCAACCACAAGCTGCGGTACGTTTAACCGGTCTGGGAGGAGCCTTCCATTCCATCTTGCTACGTTCTGAGCAATCTCATCCAGAGTCTCCAGAACTTTTGGTGCATTACCAAGCTGGATTGCAGCCTTGCAATGACTCCGTGCCTGTCGAGATGCTCCCAGAGCAATAATCGCACTGACCACGACGAGTTCTCGTTCTTGAAGGGGCAGGATTTCACAACCCCCAATAGCATACCCAAAAACACCGCTTGTAGCCAGGTACGCTGTTGGTTCTTTAAGTCAGTACAACATCTCTCTGGAACTCGTTGAAATTGGCTCATGGCTTACACAAGTCTGGAAAGTATTGGGCAACCATAGCAGCAACTTCAGGATTGCCCACTCCCCGGTAGATTTTTTGATGGACCTCACGTCCGAATTGCTCATAATCAGCATTATTGAATGTGGGCCTACAACAGCGGATCAACTTTAGCGGACTTGTCTTTCCAACCTACCTCAAGAATGGGAAGACTCCGTACCTCTGATTCACTTGTACATCAGTGATATTTGCTTTCTTCAGCTCGGCAACCGAGCCAAATATAGCTGGCATGACATTTGGTAATCCAACAAAGCCCATGGCTAAGGTGAGTGCCTCTCGAATAACTGCGAACAGTTCCAAGACATGAGCCTTATCAGATGCTACAGAATCACTGAAGAGCGCCCCGGCTGCATCGCCACGTCCTTGGGCACAGAGCATTGCTACCTAGTACAGAGTGAGTGTAGGATTTAAAATCTGAGGTTGGATTTATTTGTTACGAGGATGCCACTGGTTAGCCCAGAGGTAGCATTTGGCAAGACTTTCTGGAGTTGTGTTTGCCACTGTCCGAATAGAGCCCCATCATATTTCGCTGCGCCTTTGGCTACATTTGCCTGGGTGTATTTCTTGCTGAATTCATCAGAGTCTCCCATGTTGTGTGTATTGGATCAATGGATAGACAGACGATTCGGAAGATTCGGGAACTTGATGTTTTGATGTGCGTTTTATGACTCTTGGCATATGCTACGTCAATTGAATTATCATTTGTTTTGTTTTTCTCGCCGGTAAAAGAGTTTCCAATTAGTTTCAGGCCGGGTTTTCGGAAGCCCGAAGACAAGACTTTCCGAGTACTGTAGCTACAGTAGGGAATCATGGCCATCCCTTGCACCCACGGAAATAGCCCCAGATATCCGGGGAAATATCTTAGCACTAACTCGCATCCCACGGGATACATTTTGGGCATTAAACATTTCTCTCGGATTAGGATAGCAGCTGAAGTGAACAAGAATCTTGGATTGGGCCTAGACCTCCTCTCTATGGGTCTGTTTTTGGCTTTGCTTTTCCTTTCATCCACGTGGTTGATTGCGTGGCCTAGTCTCCTGTAGACATTCGCTTATGTGTGGTGTAATGCGACACCATTTCAATCTAGCTGGAGGAAAATCCCATGCCCGTCCGTCATCATCTGAGATATTGGGCATGTTTCCCTGCCGATTTAGAAACTCTAAGGTGCTCAAACCCACGGAACGAGGAAGGAGACGAAGTGGAAGCAAAGGACTTTGTACATTCCATGTCTCGAGCCATTGGTGAGCAGGTAAACAAGGAACACGTGAAGCCCTCCAGTCGATGTAGTTGACCAGAAATCTGATTGCCTGACTTGCACTGACAGAGGTACAATTTTGGATAGAATGGATACACCAAAGAATTCTTCTTTTCGCGCATATCTGCCAGCTGCCGAATCTTTGAGAGGCCGAGAGAAAGAGAATATCTTTTCACACACAGAAAAGGCATTTGACACAGTCCCGGTTCTCCAACATCTTGTGAACAATTGGAATGAATTATTGTCCAAGCCATTTCGAGGAATCACTACCGATGGTGGGCTCGTCTCTCCTTTACTTGCTTGCACATACTGATTCACAGCCAGGAAACCCAATTCAAGGTCTATATACCCAAGAAGATGACGCTGTCGATGTTCAATCGATTGTCCATGCAATGAATGAACCAGTTTCTGGCCTTGCTAAGTCACGAGGAAAAACAGCTTGTCATGTATCCCATCGATGCGCCACAGAGGCGAGCTTGGGCGAACCCCGAACTCTACCTATTTCGAAATGGAATCAGGCTTGAAAATGTAGACGAGACAGTGAGGACAGCTGTGCATTCGGTGATCCAAAGTACCTTTTCGCCAGAAGGATTTCAAAAGGCGTTGTCGGCCATGAAGACAAATGAGTTCCTCGGCGAACTGGTGAATGCCCCCGGGGTGCTCAATATGCATTCCTACAATTTCCTCACCTTTGGAAACCCTTCAACAACCGAGCCATTTGGGTGGCTGCTTTACGGGCATCATCTCTGTCTCAGCGTGTTCGTCTGGAAGACACAGATCGTCGTCGCTCCAACCTTCGTCGGTGCAGAACCCAATGTGATCGACCGGGGCCCCCATCAAGGAACTCAAATCCTCCAATCCGAGCAGGATCTAGGCTTGCGATTCATGAAATCACTCTCGAAAGATCTCCAATCCAAGGCGCAAATATTCAAGACGTTACAACCGCCCGAAATCCCAGAGGATCGATGGAACCCCGCAGACCAGCGGCATCTTTGCGGTGCGTGTCAGGATAATCGCATCGTGCCGTACGAAGGGATTTCCGTGGGCGGACTCGAACCAAGCCTCGTCCAACTACTCCTGCAAATCGTCGAGCAGTTCATCATCTACCTGCCCGCACAGGCACGGAAGAACAAGCTCGCTCAGGTTGAACGACACATCCAAGACACTCACTTCTGCTGGATTGGAGGATTCACCAATGACGACCCGTTCTACTACAGGATACAGAGTCCTGTTATTGTTGTCGAGTTCGACCATCACTCTGCGGTCTTTCTCACCAACACTGAACCCGCTCGGTTTCACACTCACACGATTGTACGCAATCCCAACGGTGGAGATTATGGATACGCGTTGCTGAATAGGGGAAAAGACATAATGGGAAGAATGGTCTATGACTGTAAATCATAAGAATAGTATTATTGTTTGTAGTAGCCCTGTAATTCTTATAAAAATGACGACGGTGACTTTGCTGCAGCGTTCAATTTTCATCTTTCGGCTTGTGCTTGTAAACAGGACATAAGAAATATCGGATAAGAGTCGTAAAATCAATGAAAGTTATTCTACGCGTAGGTAGAGAGTTGCATGTGTGCAATGGATCACATATTTTACCGCAGAGTACCGTGACAGAGAAGTAAACACAGCATGCAGGGTGTTGGCTCTGTGAGCGAGAAGTAAATTGCAGAGAATGCTTGTAAGATTTGTGTCAAAAGTCCAAACCTTTGGTGATTTAGTCAAATGCCATTTTTCTATAACAATGATTTTATTCCTGTGAGCTACACGTGGGCTTTCAAGAACTTGAAACCCTTCTCTATGATGGCGAATTTCTCATCGCCAGGCTTCGCACCAACATCAAAACCGTGAGGGGCACCATCAACTATCACGAGTTCCGTCTCAACCCCTTTCTCCTTCAGCTCCGCGTGGGCTTTCTCCGAGAACTTGGCGGGAACACCGGTGTCTGCAGCGCCGTGGATGAAGTACGTCGGAGGAAACGACGAGGAGAATGTGGCCGCAGGATCCACTCTATCATACTTGCCGTCTGGTATGACCGACTTCATGTAAGTGCCGCGCTTCATACTGTCAAACAACCAGGCTGCTCGATATTTGCTGAAGTCAGGTCCCTTGGGACCAACTGGAGGCGGCGCACCGTTGGGTGGGGGATTTTCCGCATGGATCTTGTTCAGAAATTCTTGAGGAAATTCCGGAATCTTAGCGAGGGCTGGATTTGGGGTGTGGTAAAAATCATCTGTCAAATACTTCATTCCAAAGATATCCAAGATGGCCTTGGGGGGCTTAGGGCTCGAGGCCTGTTATGGAATGTTAGTGTCAAGCTGTGTATTTCGTCAGGTGATCACTGACCGTTAATAAGGCTAGAGTCCCTCCTGCTGAATGTCCAAAAGCCACGATCCTTTCGGAATCCAGTTTCACACCCGTATCCTGAGCAAGTTGGGCTGGCAGCTTGTTTACTGTCCAGTCGTAAGCGTCCTTGGTATCTGTCACCGCACCATCGTATGCTGAGATAGTTGGGCTGAGACGATAATTTGGAGAGACAACAGCTCCGAACCCTAGATTCAGTAGCGTTTCTGCATAGTCCTTTGAGAGCAAGTCCTTGTGTCCCACGATGAAGTTTCCCCCATGAACATAGAACACTAACCTAAGGTCAGCTGCGAGCTAGTGCAAAATTGCCTACCAAATGCTTACCAATGGGCTTCGCGGCGGTTGAAGTATCTGCTTTGTACCATACCGTCGCGTCGACGCCTCCTGCACCGGCAACTTGCTTGAAGATGTACTCTTTTTGCTCCATGTTGATATAAGAATGATAGAATTTTGATTTTGAAGTAGATGAACAACTCAGAGAAGATAGAGAATGACCGGGACTGCGAATTGATTTAAAAGTCCACCTTTCTCTCAAGACCGTGTGACGAAACATATGGAGCGGTCGGCACCCGCAAGGTTTAACACTGGAATCGATAACATTGTTCGCGGTCCAGTTACAGTAGTAGCATGGAACTCGCGCGCTGAGTCGACGCGGGGTTCCGCGGAAAGTTCCTCCCGCGGAAACCCAAACAGAGTTTGAGCTTAGGTAGGTATATATTTTCGGCAAATCCGCTTGCTCGTCGATGATCACGTGTTCTTCCGCTTCCAAAGGTTCCCAATGGAATGTTAATAAGGTAGTCACTGGAATAAGGAATAACGTAGGAACCGTCGACTCGGTGAGAACGAGATGTTCGTGTGCAAGGATGCATACAGGACGCAACCAGAGGGATACAGGGGTTGAGCGTCGAAGGACGCTGAGGCTGACAAATCATGAGGCTTCTCGCCTTCTCGCTGTCGCCTCTCAATTGGGTCAACTGGGCCGAAATGCTAGGGAAGTTACAACATAGAAGGAGAAGATAATTGATTCCTTACTCGGACTATTAATAAAGTATATCTGCATCTAAAATATCACCTGAACAGTGTCCCGTACCTGCTACTCCTTGCATAAGCAGTGTGGAGAGCCAAAAATTACAGTCCCCAGATATATATAAACATGTACCAGAGAACAACCAATCCTCTATGCTGCACTAGCAGGGACTGTCTCTCTAGCTTCCCTCCTTACCAATTTCAAGCTATCCAAACACACAGTCAAGAGGTCAAACTCAGAAGTAAGACGTTAACTCGAACTGATCGACTTAATCACCACGCTCATAGTCGGATGGTCAAGCCATCCGATTAAGCAACTCATACCTCTCCTTCGCGAAATTCCTCCTCCAAAAAGGTACTTTCCTCCCGCCACTTGTCTTCTTACCCCTCACCACCCAAACATTCCACGCCCACCAAAGCAACACACCAACCACGCCTGCAATCGCAAAGCCAGCAACTGTCAATAGCAGCCAGTGCTTCCCCATCCAGAAAATCGTCTGTGCGTCCTTCCCATGCCAGCTATTTCCCTTCGAGATGTTGAAAAACGACCACGAGAAGCCCTTATATTCATCCGGCATCAGGATCCTTACATGCTCTAAAGCTGGCCGCGCCTCGCGCATGTATTCTACCCAGAGCACAGAAAGGAACAGCGGACCGGTACTATACATGACAGTGATGTACGGCATGAACCAGTTGCGATTGTAGCCCGCCAGACTCTCAATAACTCGAAGGAAGAATGGATGTTGAGGGACGGAGCCCATAGCGTCATTGCTGATTCCTGTGGGGAGGGTACGGCGTGCCCAGGCAGGATAGCTAAGGAGGGGGTCAAGACGGCGGTTGCAGCCGTCGTCCAGGTCAATGTAGATGCCGCCGTAGTAGGCGAGGATAAAGTAGCGGATAGCATCGGCGCGCTGGATAGGGAAGTTGTAGCTGTCGAAGTTGGCGAGCGCCCAGGGGTATTCGGTCGCTATAAATTCGCGGGATTTTGCGTCGGTCCAGAGCTGTATTTGAATTAGCTAGTTATTCTTTTTTCTCCTGTATCAAACGCACGTCGAAACAGGGAGGTAGAAACGGGAGGAGAATCAGACATGACGTTTGATACTGCTCTATGGAAGAAACAAATCCGGGTATAAGACAGGGCTAGCTTACGATATATTCATAATCCTCATGTAAATCAATACAACTCTGCTGGCCCGCCTTCCATCTCTGCGGAATCGACTCATTGATATACGTCTGATGTATAATCTTCGGTATTAGCTGTGTCCTATTCTCAATCATATCTGAGCCCGGCGCGGGGATCTCAGCGCGGTGGATGGCATCTGCGGCACCAGTCTGGAAGAGTAGCGAGATCAGCGTGCTAAACGCGTTTAGTAGGAAGCCGATGATGATCAGGTTTATCACCAGGAAGATGATAGTTCCGCGGCGCATAGTGGTGGTTGTGGTGGTTGTGGTGGTTGTAGTAGTTGTGGTCGTGGTTGTCGGACGAAGAGTGACGCGGATAAGGTACGAGTACTTTAAAAGTATTCAATAGTAAGGTGACGTAAGGAGTTAAACGCGGGTACTGCCCAGAGGCAGGAAGGAAGGTCGAACACAGCGAGACGGAGATGGAGCGTTGTCAGGCCTGCATTGAGATAAATGAAGCCCTGCCAGAGTAGAATACCTTGTTCGAGGTCGAGTCAAGTTTGTTTGTACCCAGTCGGTGGTCTTCAGTCAGGACTTAGGAGAGCGTGGGAACTAGAACTGTCAGCCTGTCAGCGTTGCAGGGATTGTGATGCCAAGCTATGGGGCGGAGCGGAACTTTTGCTTTCCATTGCTACAGTAGCAGATTCGATTCGATATGGGGACAGTCAGCATTGGTATAATACGGTTAATACCTATGTGAAGTGAAGGTATTTATTTGAATACTTGATAACTAACGCTAGTTACAGTACTTGTACGGCGACTTTCTTTGTGAGGCAGCGATATCTTTAGAAACCTGGAAGATGAACCCTTGGCCTTGTTAGTTAACATATAAGGCATGACTAAGGTATTTATTATTTCTACATTCCATCTGTTCCAACTCTCATTCCGTCTATTTAATAGTAATCGTCGTTAAGCTCCTCCGTGATCTTTCCACTGCTACCTTATCGATAGCCTTACCTGGACCCCGATCCGATCCCCGGCAAAAAAAAACAACCTCCCGAATTTCTCTCGCTTGCCTGCTGCCTCGCGAGCTCGGCGAGCTCGCCTATCGCAGACACTCCGCTTCACTACAGGAACCTCTTCACTACTGCAAAAGCAGATATACACTGTCCATCTCTCTCCTCCCTCATGCAGTTGTTTAGACTAAAGACATGACTTCTGTCCCAGTAAATAGCCGCAGTCTGTCAATCCCGAGGTCGCCAGAAGGCGCCAATTCCGTTTTCAGGCTTCGAATCGCAAGAAGCTTCTCAGAGGAATAAACACGTGATCGGCATATTTTCGGCACTTCTGATACTGTAAGCCGATAAGACTATGAGAACGACCTGTCTAAATATCTTTGTTGACACTACTTTTTGTAACGCCTTATATTACCTATATTGCCTGCTATCTCACTTCCGATTCACAGCCTAAAATATGTGACAATTTGTCGCTCTCGTCATTGTCAGTCACCATTCTGGACGAGGGGGCACAAGACAGAAATGGCTGAGAAACTTGCAAGCCTCAAGTTCTATATTTAAGCACCATGGCGTACTCTGAGAAACTTGCTACAATCTGCAGTAACCGTAAGAAACAAAAGAATGAACAAGTGGTTTGTAGTTCTCGGCCCATCGTCATTCGTGTGGTCACGATGATTACTCAATCCGATTCAAAGAACCATGCACACTTGGTTGTATATCCTTGACTGGCCGTGTTAATCGGGGCAATGGCTGGCCGGGATTCGGATTATCGACCCAGTTGCCGTGGACTTGCATGCGTGATGCGAACGGCAACTGAACCACAGCAACAGGCTTAGAAAAGTCGTTTGTGTCCAAGATGACCAGCTCCACTCGAGGTCTGCTAGGCCTATCTGTCCAGCAGATAATCCACCCATCACCCTCGGGAGCATCCTTCGATCGATTGACAAAGACTGGCTCTGCTACACGAGCGTCTGGAGCAGGGGCGAAGACCATCATTTCTTTCGTCTCCGTATTAAGCTTGACGATGGAGTTAAAGTGCAACATGCCGGGCTTGGCCTCTTTGCCTGCATCACAGGAAATCAAGAACACGATTTTCTGCTTGCGGGTCGAGAAACGCTCGTCGGTTTTCGGGAAGTCGCAAATGTAAGGCATCAGAATCTCAGGGGCCGCAAGTCGAGTACCTGAGGGCTGCTTTGGATCCACAGTCCAACGGACCCAGTCTCCTGAGGGAGTCTGAGGGGGCCTCATTCCCGGAGGGTTAAAGTCAAAGAAGACATTGAACGACACGAAATGGCTCTCAAGTCGAAGAGTGCCATCCTCCTCTTCCCAAGCTGCGCCACAGTGAATGATTACCCCGTTGTTCCAGGTGTACTTTCGTACTTCGCCGACCTTCCAGTCCGCCGCACGAGGCGTGCTTGCCTTGCGTGGAGCCAGCCAGAAGGCCGATGGACGGTCTGGGACAAATTCCCAGTGGTGTGCCCCAGCCTTCATATCCTCATCCGAATTCACTTTGAAGGGCATGGATGACAGTATGAGCCAATTCTCAGTAAGCCATGCATCATGTGGCATACCGTTTTGATCTTCCTTGAACCATGTCTCATCCTTGACCTTTCCCGATGAATCAATAGCATAATAGCAGATATCAGGGGTCCCAAGACCCTTCGCCTCGTAGCCATATGTTACAAGCTCGTTATTGAATGGGTCGACTTTGGGATGGGCGGTGAAGGTCTTCGCCTTGACTTGGCCACGAAAAGGGTCGAAGCCTCGAGTTTCCAATGTGTCGGGATCCATCTCGTAGGGGAGGCTCCGCTCACTCAGTGCCAGTAACTTTCCACCCCAGTAGACGATGTTTGTATTACCTGTGGAGTCGTCTGCCATGCGTACACACGGATGGGTGGTAAATGGGTTGCGATAGGTACCGAAGAGCCGCTTGCCTGCCTTTCGTTCCACAAGGTAACGCTCGGTTTCGACATATTTGACCTTCATATGAACACGACCATCCTGGAATTGGAACACGGTAAGGTTCCCGTCGCCTTCAAGAAACGGATTTTTGGGATGAGGCGGGACGGCAGGGTCAATGGTCATACGGTAGAACGTTCTGTTGATCTCCTTGGGTATTTCTCCGTAGACCACGTCGTACGTCCAACTCTCCTTGGAAGCGGCCATGAGGAGCAGTGTCGGCAGGAATGTAGTAATTCGACCACAACGATGTGAGACCATAGTGAGGCTCTTGCTGGTCTTTAGCCCAGTCGAGAGACTTGGATGCGTCCAGTACTGAAGTCATGATTAACAGGGAGATTTAGGATAGAGTTAAGATTCGGTTACCCAGTGCCAATGGAAGTTGTGAATCAAAAGGATGTTCTTTGGTCCTTTTAAACCTTGCAAATACATAAAACAGTTTCCCAGGAGATCAGAGCGACCGCCTCATGTATTGCGTAAGTTCTCAAGGACATTCCGTGGCTTTACTGTACAGGAGTACGATATTGTCTGCTGCTTATCCGGGGCTCGCCTCCACAAAGATACCCCACCTACACTGTTGATAGCAACAAATGTGGTACCTAGCGACCTTGTAGATAGAGCCGAACCAACAATAAACACTTCCACAGCGCCTGTTAGATCGTCAGCAGACATACACTTAGTGAGAAGACGTGCCAGGAGGTCAAGAACATACACTGCTCCTCGCCGAACTTGGCACAAACGAGAGTCGGTTTCGCAGCAGCGTGAATTGCGTCCAGCTCTCCAGACTCCTTTCGCCGTCCGGCAAAACATTCTTACATTGATCCCAAAATGTAAGCAGCAGGACTCTGACTACGACAGTCGATAATGATGTCGGTGCCTATCTCCGTCGTCCAGCCTGCATTCAAAGGAGACAAGTGAGAAGATCCAACCAAGCCAAACCCCATCCTTTGGAGTCGGTTCTATTGCTCTAGCCAACACTGACCAAGCCGTTGACGACAAAGTAGAAGCTACATGGACGAGCACAAAAAATGAAAGTGCCTCTAATTGCGGACCCCTTTGAACTGCGGGTCGCGCGCCGAATCTTTATTATTATCAGCAGGTTTCTCTGGTGAGGGCAAGACTCACAGCACCACATCCCGTGGCATCTAACCATTGACTATGAAAAGGAAGGATGTAGAGAGAAGCAGACTTGCGTAAACGTATGGTTCCCTGAGTGGTCATTAAGCAGAGAATATACTATTAGCATGTAACTGATCTTTCCGTTTGTATAATCATGCCAAGGTCCCAAAAAGGCATCAAATTTATAACAATTTGGGATTGCTTGCATGCAAGCTTGTTCAAACACACCCCTTACAGATTATATCCAGTCAACTCCAACATCCCTATTGCGAACCTGGAAGACGCCGCTCCTTATGTTGCATCGAAACCCATCCAAACGGCCCGCCCAAATCCAAAAAAAATGGTCATTTCTGTTACACTCGCGCCCTCATGCCATCACCTCCCACTCACGCATAATGCATATTCTGCTGTGGTTTAGGAGCCCCCCGTCCACCACCACCACCACCAGGTGGTCCACCTCCCCATCCAGCCGGCGGACCTCCTTGCTGCTGATGCTGCAACGGTACGCCACCGCCACCCACCCCTCCACCATCCTTCATAGCAATAACATCCTGTCTATTCGGCAGCGGCTGTGCGAAATTGCAAATCGAGCAGACGACGTCTTCATAGCCGTGGATACTGAGAGGCACGACAGGGATAAAGCAGAAGGTGAACCATGGGTTGCGCTTGATGACTCGCGCGGAGTAGTTGCCCTGTTCGCACCACTCTTGTTAGGACATTTGTCCGGGAGGGGAGGGGGCAGTAAGTAAGAAAGGCGGCGTACGCAGTTATGGCATTGGCACAAGACGCCTTCGTAGCCTTGTAACTGTTTGGAGAACTCTGGGAAAAAAGACGTTAGCAAGCCGTGATCTCAGAGTTGATCCGGAGGGGCTGAGATTGTAGGAAGACAGGGGACGCAGGGACGGTGGGGTGGGGGGATGAGGATGAGGATGAGTTCGCATACCGTGTTCTCCGCATGTGAAGATGAAGCACATCGTAGATACTGTACTGTACTGTACTGCTCGATGCGACTGTTGAGAAATCCGGTCTTCAGTTCGTTTTCGTGGGCGGGCGGACGGGCAGTCGTGAGAAGAAATAGCTGTCTGAGGTTGAGAGGTTGAGAGGTTGGGGGTTGGATTGCGCGTCACCACAGTAGTAACTCACGTCCAGTTCATGAAGTTGGAGCGCCAGGAGTTGAAGGTTTCCCGGCGGTGGCTGTGCCCGCTCCACGTCCGTCCCAGCCAAGAAAGCCCCAAGGCTTCCCGTACCAAGCCCCGAGCCCCGGCCATCTCGAACCGGCCTTCCGACGTTGATCGGCGGTAGGATCCTCATGTCTACCTTTATTAACTCATCGAGCTCATGTCACAGAGAAGCTATGACCGTATGCATGTTAAGCAGTAGTCATATCAAAAAGATTTCACGATCGAACTACTCCCCTTCTTCTTCTTTTCTTCTTCAAGCGCTGTCTCCATCAACGCTGCGTTTCTGTGCTCAATGTGAAATGTGCGAATCAAACATACTCCCGTCCTCGATTGAACGATCACTCCATGGCATCCCAGAAGCATTTCGTTGCCTCAATTACGAATCTCGTACTGTGCCCCGTATACTGCAATCCGATCTTGCGAAAACATCGATCTTCTTTACCTCGGGCGGCTGTTGCTGATAGCCGGTACATGGGACCAGGACGTAAGTACCGGAGTATCTGGCTGTTCCTAGCCAAACCTTCGACCTCTATACTTTCAACGGACGGAAAGGACCGTATATATCCTCGACTGTATTGAACGGCATCTCGCACGTCACCCACGGTAATAGCGATGTAAATATAACACTGCATATTGATTAGATGAAACTTCTATGGAGTGTAGTATGACTACTTAAATATCTGACATTTTTCTCTGAGATAAGCCAAGCTTGTTGCTCTACTAGTATAATTAGACCTTTCACTTCACTTACTCTAAACCCCCCGCTGATGACGCACCAAGTGCTCTAGATATTCAGGGTCTATAACCGCGTAGAGCTAGTTTGCATGCTAGAGATTACAAGATAGCTGGCATGCCTGAGAAGTATGCCTAAGAAAACATGATTTTATATTATAACTTGATATATAGGTGAGGTCGACGAGAAAAACAAGACGGGGTATAGTAATTACGACTACTAAGAGAAGAGGTGGAGATATGAAGGAAGAGAGTGGCGTGTTGCCAGTTAAAAGTCTTGCAAAGTCCTTTTAGAAACACGGATATGAATATACATTCAAGAGCTATCTCTACGCTTAAGTCGTGCCTCTGAGTGTTAGATTTAGTCAGGTTCAAGGAAAAGGGAGAAGAGGATGTAGAAGGAGCTAAATTACGGGTTTCAAGTAAGCAATAACAACAATATCCACGAGTCATGAGTCCGAGAATAGCTCCCTAGGATACAACGTGATTTATGATTTCAAGTGAAGCTATTCTTTGGGTATCTGTTCAAGTCCATCTAACCCTAAACTCCTATACTCCCTGCTATGTACAATGCGCCCAATTTTGTATTTACATCAAAAGATATATGTCCCCATCCGCGCGCCCCATCCGTTGTCCCTCGGGTTGATCACGATCTGGTACGGAAAAGGGTTTGACTCGCTTGTTGTTATTGGCGGGATATGATCCTTCTCCCTATTTACCGTCGTGACAATCTTCATAGCAGCCTTCAACAGCATGGCCTCCATAGCTTTTCGAACCTTAGCTCGCTCTGCATCCACGATATTAGTAACTGCACGTTCCATATAGATACCTGTGAAGTATCCCGGCTCAGTAAACATACCACTTTCGGTCCTCGGGGTAGCAAGCGTGACATCCAGCGTCCACTGCTCCCAACAAACCTCCTCCTCGCCTTTGGTGAACCAGGCCTTCCTCCTCTTCCTCTCAAAAAACTGCACTGCCATCGAGCCCCTCACGCCGGTATTCCTGGCGCCCATATCAGAACTCGTATCCAATTGTCTGACGAGCGTCGTAGTCCGCTGATCAATCAGGGTCTCCAGCTCAACATCCTCTACAAACGGCAGCGTCAGGTCAAGGATATCTCTCGTCGTCGGTCTCAGGGATAGGAAGAATCGGTGGAAGAATATCGTGTGCAGGATACCTATTCACATGGCAGAGTTAGATCTTTGTCTTCTCCTTGTTCAGCTAGAATGTGCATTTTGCATGCGATGTTCCTTCCATCTGTCCCGCTATCCCTCCCGCGGCGCGCGCTGCTCAAAAGCATGGAAGCAAGCGGAACTTTGGAACTACCTACCTCGAACAACATCCTTCACCGAGGACGGGTCTGCGAATACCTCGATGATGTACTCGGGTGGTCTGCGCTGCTCCATGTTGAGGTGTCTTGTTGTACGGGTGCTGTGTTTATTGTATCCAGGGAGGAATGAGGTGGATTGAGGTGGGTTGAGGGAGGATGCGGTGCGATACGGATGGAGGGGTAGATTCATGCATCCAGCCAGGCGAGCCAGGATAGATGTGCTTCTAATCCGACAGACAACCACTGACAAAGATATGCACTACTAAGGTAAGGAGGTACAGTAGAGTACCGAGAGTACCTAGGTATGCTTTGTGCTTGTCCACCCGACGGGTGCTTATCGTCAGATCCACTTCATCCACTTCCAGCCTGCCAGCCTTTGATCTGTCCTATCGGCATCTGTCGGCGTCGGCCATTCAAGCCGACCAGTCCGCTTCATTTCATTTCACCTTCACCTCATGGATATAAACATAAACATTTGTGCCACTCTATTAAAGAGTCCGGGCTCTAAACTAAACCCAGTAACAGCTGAAGCATCATAGCACTTACTTATATTCACAGTTCCTTACACTTAAACTCAGGATAACCTGTACAGGCTTTAAAGAAAAAGAAGATTTAAATCGAAAACCCCTGGCAACAGTAAACATGCTCCCCCCCCCTCCCGCCGCCAGCCCTTCCCCCACCTCCTCCGGTTACCACACCTTCAACTTCCTCCTAAATCTCTAGAGCTAAAAAGGTTGACAGATAGATTGGGTCAAAATCGCGGTTAAGGCATCTGAACCTGCCTGATTCTCAGGCATGTTTCTCAGGCATGCCAGCTGTCTTGTGATCTCTAGCCAGCTCCACGTGGTTACAGACCCTGAATGTCCAGAGCCCTTAGTGCGTCATTGGCGGGGAGTTTGGGTTTCGACAGGCTACAGGGGTGCCGGTTGTTTGCTAAATCATGTTTGTTGATATGTAAGTAAACTAACCATCTGCCACCTGCGCTCCTCCCATGACTATCCGGAAACAGAACAACACTTCCGACTTCCTGTTGTGCGTGGAGTATTGAATCAGACTGCGCTGCTCCTAATTTTCTAACATACTCTCCTCAACTTCCTAGCTTCGATAATCCACAGCAGATTAGGGTTGCGAGCGCAGAGCAAGATGACTACAAACGGTGAAGTTAAAGTTAATGGAGATGCGATGTCTGGTGAGTTAGGGACATCTAGCACGACTGAAATATACTGAATAGAAAATAAAGGATCTGCCAGATTAGCTGCTAAGGACGTGCAATCATCATGGTCCGTGGAAGCAGTCGTTGCAACCATTCCCGGAGGGCCACCACAAGCAGACTCTTCCTCCCCCGTCCCATTCTTCCACATGCTCGAGCGACTGAAGACAACCAAGCGTGAAGGGTGGCGCAGATTCGGCATCATCCAGTGAGTCTCCCTCCTGCTAGAAAAGAAAATCCACCATCTGACATCGACATCTCTACAGCGGCGAATCCATTTCCGACCACATGTACCGAATGTCCATCATCACCATGCTTGCGCCTCCCTCGCTCTCCTCCAAACTCAACATCCCACACTGCACAAAGATGGCACTCGTACACGACATGGCAGAGGCTCTAGTCGGAGACATCACGCCCGTCGACGGGGTAGCGAAGCACGAGAAGAACCGCCGGGAAAGCACAACGATGGACTACTTCACCCAGACCCTCCTCGGCCGCGTCAACGGCGGCGTTTCCGGACAAGAACTCAAGGCTATCTGGCAAGAGTACGAGGATTCCGAGACGCTGGAGAGCCAGTTCGTGCATGATGTCGATAAGATCGAGTTGATACTGCAGATGGTCGAGTATGAGCGGGTCCATGAGCAGAAGATAGATCTGGGGGAGTTCTCTTGGGTTGCTACGCGCATTGTTATGCCCGAGGTTAAGGAGTGGAGCGATGAGTTGTTGAGGGAGAGGGAGGAGTTCTGGGGGGGACAGATGCATACTACGTATACGGATGACGGGGCTCAGGTTCGTGCTGGAAGTTTGGAGTACTATTCCAATCCGGCACGAAAGACCGGCGGGTCTGCTTGAATAGAGGTTTAGAGGGAGGGGCGTGATGGTACATTTTGATGCGGTTCATGATACACTAGGCGTTGGATACATACACAATAGACTGGAGGGGAGGCTTTCTTAAGAATAAAGTATCCCAGAACAATCATTCGGACTGCCTTCGGCGAGGTGACTGTCTCCAGCTTTTGGAGATGGCAGTACCCAGACTCGCCGTGACAGTGGAGGAAAGAGCCGTGACAGTGGAGGAAAGAGGTTCTCAAATTGGACGTGTTGAATCCTCGGATAAACGATTTGGTTGAGTTCGTGTGGCATGACTTGGTAGCTGTGGAGGTCTGGGCCAGCCCCAACCTTTGTTGCTTTCCCACTATCATTCACTCCACGTAACTACAGGAAGCCAAACCCATTTTTGACTCCTCCAGTGTCTTTCCGTTCTGATACCTGTTCAGTCTCTCCAGATATTCCAGCCTTGCACCTTAGTAGCCACTGCGTTAATAACAGCAAACAGCGCCTGGACTTAGCTACGGAAAGGAGCCACATAATATAAACAACCTAATATTCTTAGATAGGAAGAAGCATAGTTATAGAGCTTTTAGCACGTACTAGGTAACGTTGAGTGGTATATTAATAGCAGGCAGGCATATGTCTACTGTGCGTTTCCAGGGGTATTTCTAGAAATGCCGCCAGAGTAAGGTAGCAGCGAGCTACAGCTGTAGTCTTTCTAATCCAAGTACGCCCGATAAAATGTACGCCAAATCCCTCCGTCAATACTATCTGTATCCTGCTTCACTTCACTTCACTTCTCCCATCTATGCGCCTCGTCGCCTAAACTCCAATCCTTTTCTTCATACCCAAGCTCCTTCTTGACCTTCTTAACTGTCTCCTGATCGCCTGTATTCTTGCCGATATTGTCGCTGATCTTGATCGCCTGGTTGCCAGCTGCAGAGCTTAGCTTGATGACGATATTAAGAGGGGTAGACTTCTTTCCAGTCTTAAGGTGGAGAAAGTCGTTTGTGAAGAATGTCCCAACGCCGAATGAACAATCGAAGCCTGCTTCTTCAGAGATCTTCTTGTACTCGAGACACAGGTCGATGTTCAAGGAATCTGAGAAGACAATGGTCTTCTTTGATGTGATACCTGCCTTGTCGTAGAATTCTCGCATTACCTTGACGAAATTAGCTGGGTCTCCAGAATCTTGCCGAACGCCAGTGAACACTTCTGCGAAAGTATTAGTAGAAGCCTTTACAGGAGCAGCATCTGATATGTCTGTGCTATCCGAGATTGCTGGCTTGGGAAGTTCCCCAATAGGCTCGTTAAAAGCCCTTAGGAAGATCGGTGTGCCAAATGTATCGGTGAGAGCAATTCCTAGAACACCCTCTCCAAAGCACCCAACCCAATAACTCAGCGCAGCTTTTGTAGCTGCCTCGTAATTTCCAGTTATTGCTGCAACCCCCATGAACCATTCATGTGCGACAGTGCCAATTGGAGGAATTCCGAATCGCATAGCTAGATGAACGTTGCTTGTTCCAGCGATTTGACCAGTCAAGCCCTTGGCCTCTCCCTCCTTCTTTGCCTTCACAAGCCCTCGAAATACCAGCGCCTGCGTGTGGTAATCTCTCCTCCGCCGCGTGCCAAACTCCGAAACAACGCAGCCTGCCTCCAACAGATGCAGTCCCTTGTCTAGAGCCTTCTCTTCCTGGCCGTCATATGTCCAATCCGTGTCCATGAACTTGAAGTATGCTTCACTAGTTAAAGCTAGCAAGGGAATCTCGTAGAGAATCGTGTCTACCCATAGCCCCTTGATCTGTAGGTCTACCTCTCCAATATCGCTCCCACTCCCAGTATCATTCTCAGCCGTGAACGAGGCTACCACTTGCTCGCGCGGATTCAGTCGAAAGTCTTTAAGGAAGTCGAGGTATGGCTTGTTCAGATATGTACACATCGACTGCAGGAAGCGTAGTTCATCTTTAGAGAGAGCAATGTTTCCGAGCTCTATTTGTGCAGTTAGTAATCCGATCGCAGAGTAGACCAAAGGGTAGCAAACTGTTGATTTGGGTCTGCAGCCAGAGGAAAGCTTCTCGTGATAGCTTCTTCTCTGGAGTTCTGTTCTTAAACGCGTACGTGACTTCGACGTCAGGGAAATATCTTAGGACAGCGCATTGCATTGTGAGCTTGTACAGATCGGTATCCAGGAAGGATATGACTCCCTCCGGGAAAGGCGAGGAGCTGTTAAACTCCATTGTAGAGGTAACACGTAATAGTCAGTCTATGAAAGTTCCAGGATTTATTTGTGTGCTTTTTGGAAGGCGAGGACAGTCTGAGAAGGACGCGCTGATATGGATATAGAGTGGAATAAAGACATTAGGTGGGGTAGGCAACGAGGCTCCAGCTATGACCACAAGCAGATGAAAGCATCCAAGACCTTTCCTGTTTGGGCGATACAAATAGAATCCCACGCAAGGCTACCAACATTGCAGCAAACAGTCTTTGGGATCTACCTAGGTCAGGAAACTGTTGCATAGTGTTCAAGTCTAGTATTTACAAGTTTGATACTGAAGTGACCCTGTCACTGCGAATCGTACCTAGCGAGCCTACTCGGTGATGTTTTTGATGAGGGCCAGGCACTAAAAACAGGCGAGAATACCACCGAAAGTCGCCTTCTTCAACACTTGATATCTTAAGATCTACTAATACTTAGAATTGCCTTTGTATGTAAATTTTCCTGATGTTTACAATCAAGATTGATCTAGTTAGGTAGGCAGTAAATTTATATTATATGTATATAAATGGGCGAATATCTTTCTGTCATAGGAATTTAGCGCGGTGTCCCTCCCTAAACACCTCAGGTATCACCAGAACCAGGGTCGGTACCTAGGTACCTTACAGGAGAAAGCAGGTTCCGCCCCACCGTTGGGAGGTGCACTTTCCTAGGTAAAATAACAACCTCTCAACTGCCAAGAATTCCTTATCTCTATCAATTGACTGTCAATTGACAGTTACCAAAATTTTGTAACAGTGATATGATTGTTATTCTAGGCAAGTGCCGTGCCCCTCCCACGGTGGGGCGGAACCTGCCTTTTCCTTTAAGGTACTTGTCCTACCTAGGTACTTAGGTATGTATGTAAGGATGATCAGCCACGTGACTCGCATCCTGACTGCAGGTGGACCTGAAGATCCGGGATCACGTTTGCCTTGGCAAGATCTCCGTGTTTCCTCAATGGTTACGGTTCCGCTTCCGAGAGGAAATACCGCACTACTAAAAGTATCTGGATGGACATTTCCCGAGAGGTATCCTGGTCTACTGATTCGAGACTTCGGTTTTGGGTTTTCGCCGTCGTACTGTATAAGATGGAAGTCAAAAATGGGTGTCTGGGAGGGAGCTGGGGAAGAGAATTAAACTCCGCAATGAATCGCTTTCACATTTGGGGAAAGCTATTTAACCGGTTCTGAAGACCATCTTCGTATCTTTGTAACGGCCCTCCAGGTCAAGATCCGAGGCAGCTCAAGATAAAGAGAAAAGGCTGTCGGATCTTTCAAGAGACCAGACCAACACCAGACCGCCACCAGACCAGACCAGACTAGACCCTGAAAGCATAAGTCTCAACACTGCAACAGCCTACCCTTCGTTGGCCTAATTTCGTACCTAAGATAGGCTTCGAGCTAGTCAGGCACATGTTTGACGTGTTTTTGCTTTTCTGACGAGTGTGATAAGATTCGCCTCACCGTTTGTACGGAGAGGAACGACGATTGGCGGCCTCTTAACCGAAGCCGACGATTAGTACAGTAGATCGTGAAACGGGGAATATAATTCTTGGTGGGTTCTAGGGTTTTTCTAGAGGGAAGTAAATTTATGATTGATTGATTGATTGATTGATTGATTGATTGTTTGTTTGTTTGATTGATTGATTAAGCGATTGATCGAATGATTGATTGTGTCTCGACCGCGAGATTCTATGGCTTCACTTGTCACTGCATCAATCCATCCATCCATCCATGCATCCATAAATTTGACCATGCAAAAATCGTTCCTCTGCGTAAGTCCTCACTCAAACATAGGAGTACCGTACTACTTGTGCAGAGTAAAGACCTCAAAGAGAAAGCAGAGAGATGGAGCCCAGTCCACCTCCCCGGCCGCACCTCACCCCCGATCCACAATCTCCTCCACTCCGAAAAATCAATCAAGGGGTCATCAGAACTACAACCACAACCACACCCTAGCAGCCCCAAACTAAGTCGTTGAGAAATCTTTACAGTATTATTTTCCCCAAGCGAACCAATGCCCATCCGCCTGAATCAGTACAGCCCAATCACACTGGGCAGCGAGTCAAGGGGTCTCGTCTTGACTGTGCCTGATCAGGTTTAGCGAGGGACCCTTCATGCAGATGCCGTCGCACCGTCGTGTGTGTGTGGGTTTTTTCCCCGTCCCTTTTGACATGTGGGAGGGCTGTGAAAGAAGGTGCTGTGCTGATGCCAGTTGAGTTGGTTTTTCCAAGGGAAAGCCAAGACAATTGAGGAGATGGCGGTCTGGAATGGTTCAATGGTACGGAATGGGGAGAAGGGGGATGGAATGGGTCTGTGTGGGAGATGGATTGCTGGATTGGATTGGATTGGATTGAGAGATAGGGGAGAATATGATATGGGGGGGAGGGGGGGGGTTCAATTGACTGATTGATTGACGCTACTCGTAAGTGTTAAATGTTTAGTGAGAAACTGATGAAGAACGAGATGCACACTCGACATACACATGCACATGCCAGACAAACAGATAGTAGCTCCAAATATTCAAATACCGATGCAAAGGACAGCTCTCTCCTCCTGTCTATCGCAATGTTTCAAGCCCCTCCGTCTCGCTCCTGTATCCACAGTCAAATGCCGACCAATCCGCAGCCTCAAATTGCAGTCGTGGTGGTCTATGCGGAAAAAGGGTTGAGGAAATAAATGGGCCCGACCCTAGGAATCTCACCTTAGGTGTTCTAAACTTCTACCCGGACCCGGACCCGGACCCTTGTGGCAGTGAGATAGGCCAGTCCAGCCAAGACGAGCGTGGGCGGTATTTCGAGACAGATAAATTCGAAAATAAATATCCCCATCTTCCTTCTTCATTCCTTTCGACCCCCCTCCCCTTTTGCTTGCACCCTCTCTCCTCACCCATCCATCCACCACACCACCCATCATGGCTCCTTCAGCTGCCAGTCCGGCACCAGCAGCTACAACGACCTCGACCTCGACCTCTTCGAAGTCGTCGTCGTCCGTCCCAGCAGAGCAATTGACCCATCTCGACCTCCACGGCAATGTCTTCGAGCTCCCCTCCTTCACCATGAAGGAAATCCACGATGCCATCCCGGCCTGGTGCTTCAAGCCCTCAATTCTCCGCTCCATGGCCTACGTCGTGCGCGACTACTTCTACCTCTCGGTACTGATCTACCTCGCCGTAACCTACATCCCGCTGCTGCCCTCCCCATACCTCCGCTTCGTCGCCTGGGCCGCATACACCACAGTCCAGGGCTTCGTCTTCACAGGGATCTGGATCCTAGCCCACGAGTGCGGACACGGCGCCTTCTCCAAGTCCAAGTATCTGAACTACACCATGGGACTGATCATGCATTCGTTCCTGCTCGTGCCGTTCCACAGCTGGAGATTGTCACACTCGCAGCATCACAAGGCGACGGGGAATATGGAGCGGGACACGGCTTTTGTGCCGCACACGCGCGACTCGTGGATCAAGACAAACTTTGGGGCAAAGGCGAAGGCTAATATGGTTGAGTTTGCGGAGCTGGCGGAGGACTCGCCGATTGCTGCTCTCTGGCATGATTTCGTGCACCAGCTTTTTGGATGGCCTGGATATCTGCTGTTTAACTTGACGGGACAGAAGTATGATGGGGCCAAGGGTGCGAAGATTTCGCATTTCTATTATGGAGAGGATAGTGTGTTCTTCAAGAAGAATGAGTTGCCGTTGATTATGCTTTCGGATTTGGGTGTGGCGGTTATGATTGCGGGTTTGGTTGTTGCGGGACAGATGTTTGGGAGTTGGAATGTGATTGTTCTGTGGGGAGTTCCGTGGTTGTGGGTGAACAACTGGATTGGTGAGTTTGATTCCCCTAGGCCCTCCTCCCAATCGCAGATTTCCATGAAAGAGAGGAGGGAGGAAAAGAGATGAAAACTACTAACGAGAATACCTTTTAGTGGCCATCACATTCCTCCAACACACTGACGCAGCCATGCCTCACTACGACAACAAAACCTGGACCTTCGCCCGCGGCGCCACCGCAACCATCGACCGCGACCTCGGCTTCATCGACACCCACCTCTTCCACGACATCATCGGCACCCATGTCTGCCACCACCTCATCTCTACCATCCCCTTCTACCACGCCGGCGAGGCCTCCAAGCACATCCGCCGCGTCATGGGCAAGCACTACATCGCCGACGTCAAGACCCCCTTCTGGACCGCCTTCTGGAAGAACCAGCGCACCTGCAAGTTCGTTGAGGAGACCAAGGGCGCGGAAGGCTCAGGCGTCTATATGTTCCGCAACTTGTATAATCGCGAGGGAGAGACGCAGCCGCTGGCTTTGGCGAGTGGAGCTGGAGCTGGAGCTGGAGCCGCGGCCGGTGTGGAGGGCAAGGAGAAGAGTGCTGGAGCGATGGCGACGGCCATGTCGAGTTCGAGGAACTTGGACGCCAGGAGACGGCTGTCGCAGTCGGCTCAGCTGAGAGCTAATCTTCCTCTTTTGGCTGATGGTTAGTTGGATGGGTATAGACGGATACACGAATAGACATATCGGGTACGTATAGACGGACATCCTTGGATATAGACCTTGTATATCAATCAGATCGCGCATTTGAGTGCATGGCGGGCGATAGATGGATAGATACACGATAGATGGTCTTGAACTGGATAGAGGATCGTTTTATGGAATCTGGCGCTTTTCTCCTTCTCTGGACGCAATCATTTGTTCTATTTGGTTCTGATTCCGTTTCAACGTTCTTTTATGCATGGGACGGTGTCTCCGAGGTGTTTCGTTCTTGATACATGGATGGATGGATAGACATACATGATTAGACTAGACAGCGGTTCTGGACTATTTGAATGTTTTGTTTGTTTGATCGTTTGTTTGAAATGGAGATACCACAATACAATACAATACAAGAGGATATGCCCCCTCCCCTCTTCACGCCCTCGAATCAAATAATTTGCCTTATCCTGAAATCGCGGAAGAGGTTTCAGCTCTATTGAAGTTTTATTGAAACCCTCGCCACTTAGTATTAGCACTTTACCAGCAACTAAGTGACAACGGAAGACGGCTCGATCCGTCGTCGAGCTTGAGTCCTGCCTGTTCAGCTGGCTGACCTTTTGGATCTGCTGTAGGACTTCAGCTTGCCAAGTGGCAATGTGCTCGATTTATTAACTAAGTATACACAATCTCGTCGACGCCTTCGTTTTCTCCTATTTCGCCCTCCAAAAGTTACCCACTTCCTGACTTGTCCAGTCAAAGTCATCTTCACAGAACTGGAAATATTTCTTGCTCGCGAATTTTCTTAAATATTGCATCTTTGCTTACTTTTACAATTACCTGAGCCAGCGAGTAAACCATACCTTGATGCTTCTACCAGCCCGCCCATCTTGTCCGTCCGCCTGCAAGCATTCTTACTTCTGACTTGCGATACAGAGATTTGGGTTGCAGGTGAGGGAATGAGTGCGGGGAAGATGAGATGATCTGGAACTTTTATGGGGCTTTGAAGGAGGGGGATCCTGATCTTGATTTCATTCTAGGATCGAGTCCCAAGCTTTTCCTTCTTCTTATCAATAGTCTGCCTCGCATCAATCCTGCTGTAGCTTGTGCAAGTGCGACATCCTCGAAAGTCGATTGTAGAGGGTTGGCTGGTAGCAGGTCGAGTCAGTCAGGTCAGCTCACAAGAACTGATACATTGAGACTCGAGAGGGGCTGGAATTCTAGCCCCTATCCACATCAATTCGATTCTCAACGCGGTGAGATATCTACACATATTCCGTTTCCAGCAGTTCGACGGACCAGTCTGCCGTCGTGGGACTTCACAAAGCCAGACTTCAGGCTCAGCCCCTGCTTCAGCTGAATAGTGTCATCTGATAATTTTGGATTTCCAATTCGAATTCCCATGCAAACAGCCTCGTCTGAACCTTTTCCAACCCCCAATCTCACATCATCTACGGCACGGGACGAGACATCACATGCATGAACATACAGTAGTAATCAAGAAGCTAGATGCATGTCATGCCACACCTGTGCCGGGTAAATGAAAATCAAGCAAGCGGGTGCTAAGATATGGGGCTGAAAGCGGCAAAAGGTCCCTGAAGGGGCTGGAACAGAGGGGTTGTGTACCTAGGTACCTATACGAGATGTACAGACGTTAGTAAGTGTCAGCGTCTCAATTCTGTGTTACTCTCGCACACATCCTGGAATTGAGGCGGTGTCCATTCGCTGAGTCTTAGTTGGCTCCTGGTGCTCAACATGCGCTCACTAGCCTTGAAGCGCGGCTTTGTACCACATGTGGGAATACTAGATGCCAATCAGGAAGGCATTGTCTCAAAAGTTTCATTCTCAAATCGATATATATAATGATCATCTCCGTCTTCTTTTTCTTTCGATTTCTCACCAGATTCACCGAAGTTCAATCCCCTCCCCCCAACCCAAACTCACCTTCACCGCTATCAGAATGCACATCTCATTCCCGCCAACGCTGGCTCTCCTCAGCCTCAGCCTTACCCTCTTCACAACGCAAATATCCGCCCGCAGTGTACCAGCAAACATCCAGGCGTTGGTTACCAATGTGAAGAAGGCGGGGAGTTGTAAGAGTGTTTTGAAGACGGGGTTTTATGCGAAGGATGATCCGCCGAATAGTAAGTTCACTTTTTAGATTGTGATTTGGCGAGAGGGAGATACTTGGAGAGAGAAACTCGCGAAGAGGGACAGCAAGAGAGAGATCAAAAAGGGATTTAGCTGATCCCTGAAATTGTAGCTTTCTCGTACTGTGGCGATCATCTTTCCGAAGGTGTTATTTACCTCCAGGGAAAGAATGGTGCGTTGGCGGATATGGATATCGTACGTCTTTCTTGACTCTCTTCCTGCCTGAATCGTCCCCAAGAATGAACATAAATCAACTTCCACCTCAGACAAGTCAACTAACCTACCACTCGTCACAGGACTGCGACGGTATCCAAGACGGTCCCGCCGATGATGGGCGCTGTGGTAACTCAGGAGACACTCAGGCTCACACCTCGTTCGAAAACACCGTAAAGTCGTACAACAAGGGCGTCTCTGGTCTTGATGCTTTTATCCACCCTTACGTCGTCTTTGGAAATGTTGGGACTGATCCAGGGTTTGTGAATTATGATCCTAGGAAGAACGGGGTGCGGGAACTGAGTTTGATGGCCGTTGTTTGTGGTGGGAAGATGGTGAGTTGCCCTTCTTGCTCTCTCTCCTTCCTCTGGAACGCTCAATCCAGACCTTCATATCAGTGCATTCCTTCAACTAGTATATATGAATCTCCCGTTAACACTTCAACCCAGTTCTACGGCGTCTGGGGCGACGAAAACGGCGACGACGGCCCCCGCGCAGTCATCGGCGAAGCTTCCATCTCTATGGCCACACTCTGCTTCGGCACCTCCGTGAACGGTAACAACGGACACGACGAAACAGACGTCCTCTACCTCGCATTCACAGGCGCAGATGCTGTTCCAGGCGCCAATGGAGCGAAATGGAATGCTAAGAGCGCTGTGGAGTTCGAAGCTAGTCTTGCTACGCTGGGTGATAAGCTTGTGAAGAGGATTGCTGGCGGGGCGACGCCACCCCCAGGGACGACGTTGACGACTACGGCGAAACCTCCGACGGCTACGTGTGCGGCTTGTACTTGGACAGGGCATTGCGCTGGTAATTATTGCTTTATATCTTCTTCATCTCACCCATCTTGAATCTTTCCATCTTCATCTCCAAGCCCCTCTTCATCCTTCCATCCTAAACTCACTACATCTCATAATGGAGATAATCCTAGCTCTCATCCCCTTTTGCACACACAAGACTAAAACTCATAACTGAACTGAACTAACCGAACTTAGGAGCCAGTTGCGCAACCGCAGATGACTGTGATGGCGATTTGGTGTGTACAGGTGGGACATGCGGAGGATGTACGTGGGCTGGGCACTGCCTGTGTGAGTTTTCCCATCCAGATTTTGAGAACCGAGGAGTTATGAGGAAAAGGGGACAAATTTGGCTGACTGTATGGATAGGCGCGAGTTGCTCGACTGGTGATGATTGCGCGGATGACCTTGTCTGTAAAGGGGGAAAGTGCTCGAAGCCGTGAGGAATTTGCGCTTGGATACACGGGAGGTCGAACACTGGCTCAGTCAGACCGTGGCCTCATGAAGCAAAAAGAAGTTCGACTCGGCTATCACAACGAACGATGCCAGTCTTTACAATCTCGCTCCAAATCAATTGACATGCCTCAGCTGTCAACCCCATGTCGTCCAGTTTGTCCAATGATTATATTTACCTTATATCGTGCACCCGGCGTACCTGATAGCGCACCTAAGACGCTCCCGTGAGGAAGATGACGCTTAAGTATTCCCGATATGGCCTAGCGCACGGACCAGGCCGCCTTAAGCGAATCTTGGCGAGTCTACTAAGCAGAGACTCACCTTCGAACCTCTTTATTCGACGTGTATCTTCTTCAAATTACAAAGTATTACTAATCAACTCATCCTTTGTCATGATACCATAGCAAGATCTTCTCAGAAATGATCTGTCCAGGCCTGCGAAATATTCGACCCTGTCAAGTTCTAATGCCATGAACATAACAGCCGCAAAAGTCATGATTCGAATATCCATTTTCCGGACCAGTTTCTGCTCCTCAGCCCATGTCCACCTCTCGTCAGGATCAAACCGATGAGTGTTCTCACATAAACCTGGGGGTCTCTATTCCTTCAGAGTATCCGCATCGTTGAAGACAGATGGTTGAGTCGCGACTGCGTCGGTAATATACGCAACCGCCAGTTTCCGGAACCTGAATCTTTTTCTTGCTCCTGTAATAGCTAAGTCCCAGTCTTGATTTCTGTCTTTACACAGCAGCTTTGTTGTTGCACGACCATCATCTTCGCACACAACTTTAAAGTCTGGGAGGACGTTGACCATGTATCCCAGACTCGGCATCCTTGAAGTCGGAGTCTTGCACGGCGTCGGAGGTTCAAGTACTCGAAGACGTCACAGGTACGACGTACTGGCGTCGGGTTTCAATGAAGCGGCGCATTTTTAACTCTTTACTTCATACCATACCAGATGAGCGGAGTGTACGCTCTTGTGGATAGTGAGATCCAAGCATTTCAGTGTGCAGCTTTACTCGTGATTAGTCCGGGTACCAGAGTCATTTAGACTCAGATACCTTCTACTAATACTGTTCTGTTATGATAGGTCGTAGGTGCAGTAGTACAAAGATGTAGCCGTCAACATTTAGCAAATAATAGAAGCTTGCAACTTTGCTGAGATTCCTTGCGTACTTGCGGCCTGCTTGTATTCCCGTAACTACTTCCCTTGCCTTATCACTGGAACCTCGGATCGACCTAGGGGACATTCGTACCTCTAGCGTTGAAGGCTTCACGGCCTACTAAGAAGTTATTCCAAGGCTTCGTCTAACATTAGAACCACGCTCTAATCATATGCAGATCATCCGTTCGTGCAGGTGCGCCAGTGAAACGCTATCTTCGATTCGTACCCGAGAGCGGGCCGTCGCTGTCACCCTGACCCGGAGTACTCGGTACTTGTCCCCTTATCTGCCCCGCTATCTTCCTCTTCTCAGACCTGCAAGTGACAGAAACCTCCTAATTGAAATACAAAATCTATAGCAGAAGAGATCCAAGTTTTCTCTAATTACAGTGTCAAAGTCATCACTTTATTGAATTTTCCAGAACATTTTGATTTGTAGCCTTGCCCGTTACGTCACGGATCGGAAAAACGTCATTCAGGTGCCGACACGCTACTTGGCTAATCCCTCTATTCTAGCTTGTGATTCAAAAACATCGCTGAAGCTTCACTTCAAATTAGATCTCTACGCCCTAAAATGGCAGAACCTAAAGTTCACGATGATCCTGATGTTCCAAAAGGCCGCAAGGCTTTTGTTCCTCTTGGTAAGCAGCAAGCTCGTAGTTCTTCCTTTCATACCGGAGGGGCATGCTAACAATCTCCTTGTAGAAAACAACCCCGAAGTAATGTCAGCTTTAGTCCACAAGCTTGGCCTCTCACCCACTCTGTCTTTCCACGACGTGTTCAGCATTGAGGACCCAGAGCTTCTCTCCTTTATTCCTCGCCCTGCAAACGCCCTCCTCCTCGTCTTCCCAGTCAGCAAAACCTACGAGAACTTCCGCGTACAAGAAGATGGTAGCAAGGCTGAATATAAGGGCAAGGGGGCTGATGAGCCGGTTATATGGTATAAGCAGACCATCAGGAATGCTTGTGGATTGATTGGTATCTTGCATGCCGTGAGCAATGGTAGTTCGAGGGAGTTCATTCGTAAGGAAGACCTGTAAGCTTGGTGAGGCTTGCGCTGATAATCGGAATGTATAGTACCCGGTTCAGACCTGGAGAAACTTGTCCAAGATGCTACGCCATTAGGACCCATCGAGCGAGCAGACCTGTTATATAACTCTCAGGCTCTAGAGAGTGCACACCAAAGTGCTGCCAGCCAAGGACAAAGCGCTACACCAGATGCCGAGGACAACATCGACCTGCATTACGTATGTTTTGTCAAGGACGAGAAACATCACCTGTGGGAAATGGACGGACGAAGAAAAGGCCCTCTTGATAGAGGAGTGCTTGGGGACACAGAGGATGTTTTGAGCGAAAAGGCACTGGATATGGGACCAAGGCAGTTCTTGAAGAGAGAAGCAGAGGCTGAAGGTGGTGAGCTGAGATTTAGTTTGATATCTTTGGCACCTAGCCTAGACTAGTTATAACTAGGACAATTGTAGCAAGTTCCGATGTTTAGACGTGTGGAGTTTGAGCCTTGAGTTTACGATCGAGCCTCTCATATAGACTGCAAGGCTATCATGAGATACACCTAATTGTTGTCCCTGAATTGCCACGACTGACACCGGGTCACGCTCCCTCTTCAAGCAGCCGCATGCATTGCCATCTCAGAAACCATTCTGTGCAACACGCTTCGTGGGGTGAATGGCCTTGACACTTCTGCGTGAAATGTCAAGACCAAGGCAGACTAGGACAACGCAGTGCTATTAATCAAATAGAGGTACGACATCTGAGCAATATCTATTCACAGATCAAGAATACTTGACTTATCATTGGTCTGGGGAGAAGATTATATTTGGGGAAGTACTTATCTTTTCGAGGCCGAAGAACCTCGCTAAAGCTCTCTAGGCAAATAGAGGGGTAACCATCGCCAGCACGATGGCTTAACAGAGAGCATCAAAAGATGGCCTCCTAATACCTAATAGCTGGTTCACGTCTTGGCTACATCCAATGATTACCGATATTTCCTACGGGTTCCTCACTACCTAAGGTACTTCAACCCACTCCGACTCTCCTCCAGGTCATGTGGAAGTCTAGACCAGCTGTGAAGTCCTAGAACGGAAAATTACCCCGCCAGTCCCCGTACCAAGGAACTCGGGCCATCATTACAGCGGCCGACGGACAATTTACTTAACGGGCAAGGTCCACTTCCATTGTGACGCGCCCCAAAAATATCGCTTGGTCGGCGGGGAAAGTACTGTAACAGCATGGAGCATGGAGCATAAAACCATACGTGGACCTCAATCCTCCAAACCTTTTTAAATTTATTGCATCCAACTTCTACCCTATCCAATTCCTCTATCTAACTATACGCAAATTACATTTTAACACTCTCAGGAAGAAATCAAAATGGCAGACACAAGATTCAAGCTTAATACCGGCGCTGAGATCCCAGCTTTGGGTCTGGGGACCTGGCAATCTGGTCCTGGAGAGGTGAAGAAGGCAGTTTCGTATGCGCTAGCTAATGGATACAAGCACATTGATTGCGGTATGCAGCTCCTCCTCTTACTTGGTATTTGCATAACTGGGATACTGATTCAAACAGCATACTGTTACGGCAACGAGGACGAAGTTGGTGAGGGTCTCAAGGAAGCCTTCGCAAACGGTGTCAAGCGCGAGGACATCTTCGTGACCACAAAGCTATGGTCGACATACCACTCTCGCGTTGAGCAGAACCTGGATATGAGCTTAAAGAGTCTGGGACTCGACTATGTTGATCTGTACTTGATGCATTGGCCCGTCGCCATGAACCCTAACGGTACGTCCAAAATTGCCCAGTTGTTTGCGAAAATTACCCCACCATACATCCATCCACTTCACCCCGCCAAGAATCCCGGTCCTCCCCAACAACGAACATCAATCAACGTCTAACATTTTCCCTTCCCACTACTCTAGGCAACCACGAGAAATTCCCCAAAAACCCCGACGGCAGCCGTGATCTCGTCGCCGACTGGAAGCACACGCAAACATGGCAAGCCATGGAGAAGCTCGTCGCAACTGGTAAAGTCAAAGCCATCGGCGTGGCCAACTACTCAGTCAAATACCTCGAGGAGCTCCTCCCGACCGCGACCATCGTCCCAGCCGTCAACCAGATCGAGAACCACCCTTCACTGCCCCAGCAAGAGATTGTAGATTTCTGCAAGGAGAAGGGCATTCACATCACGGCATACAGTCCGCTGGGCAGCGCAGGGAGCCCGATGATGAAGGAGAAGCCGATCTTGGAGGTTGCGGAGAAGAGGGGCGTCTCGCCTGCGAGTGTGTTGTTGAGTTATCATAGTATGTGCTGAAAGAACTCCATGGGATAATACAGGTGAAAAGAACCTGTTCGCTAATAATTTGTTCCCTGCAGTCGCGAGAGGTAGTTCCGTCCTAGCTAAATCCGTCAACCCCGAGAGGATAAAGGCAAACAAGGAGAGCATTATCAAGCTCGACGCAGCAGACATGAAGATCCTCGATGATTACGCAATTGGTCTCACAAAGTCGGGCAAGGTTGTTAGATACGTGTATCCTGCGTTTGGTGTAGATTTTGGTTTCCCAGATAAGTCTTAGATGGTTCAGATACTTGGGAAGGGAAGGGGAACGGAGAAAAGGCATGGAGTGTGAAAAAGTATTTAATAGAATCTGATTCTTCTCTACTGTGTTTGATTCTGATTGATGTGTTCTAGATGTTCAGGGTATTTTGTGGTTCGTTTTTTGGCCTTTGCTGTTTTTCCTTCCTTCCACATGCATGATATTATAATCCACAGCCGTGTACTTCTTTCTCCTGGCTCAGATCTAATACTCACTCCCTTCATCCTGGCCCTTACTAGTACTTAGAGGCTTCAAGTGAGCATGTTAAGCCCTGTTTTATCTGAAGTGTACCAGAATTAATCGTTTCTTAGCCTGATGATGATATGGCCCTAGCTGTTTAATGGGCTCAGGATCGCATTTAAGACCAGAACTACCACCAGAATCATATTTGAGCTGAGAAAGATCATAGCTTACAAGATTTCTGCCTTCGCACTCCTTTCATTCTTACTCGACTATGCTAAGGCGTCACTCTAGAGGGGAAGCCGGATGGCCAGTATCAATAGGTCTGCCTTGACTCGTCTATTACTTTTCTCGCTTTCAATTGAGATTACCAACTTCAAAGAGAACTCAGCTCGTACTTCAAACGATAATGAGTAGCCCAGATATGCTAAACATGTATATTACTTTTAAGCACCTATTCCCTAACAAACAAACCTGCCATTCCCATACCTGTCCCGATACACATAGAAACAACACCAGTTTCCAGACCCTGCCTCTCCATCTCTGGCAGCAGAGTAGCCAACATCCTCGCACCTGTAGCACCAAGCGGGTGACCCAACGCAATCGCACCACCCTTAGGATTGACTCTCCCCTCCTCTAACCTCTTCTCCAGTCCTAGCTCCCTCAAACAGTAGATAGCCTGACTAGCAAACGCCTCATTGATCTCCCACAGTCCAATTTCCTCCGTCTTTAGCCCGGTATACTCCAGTAGCTTGGGAATAGCAATCGCAGGACCAATACCCATCTCGTCCGGTTTGCAGCCTGCTACTTGTGTCCCTGCCCAGCGTCCGATGATCGAAGACGTGAGACCCAATTCCGTCGCTGTGCTCCTGCGCATCAGAAGAGTCGCAGCAGCACCATCCGATATCTGCGACGAGTTCCCAGCCGTCGACGTTCCATTCTCCTTGAAAGCCGGCTTCAACTTCTGCATGCCTTCTACACTGGCATTCGCTCTTATCCCGTCATCCTTGGTAACAGTAACTTGTTGCACATCTCCTACCTTCTCGCCCTTCTTATCTACCTCCTGATATTGTGTATGCACCGGCACAATCTCCTTATCAAACAAGCCCTCCTGCTGTGCCTTCAAAGCCCTCTGGTGAGACGCCACAGCAAAGGCATCCTGATCCGCACGATTGACACCATATCTCTCGGCGACATTCTCGCTCGTCAACCCCATTGGCATTATACAATCCCTCGCATCCTTCACCGTGCTCTCCTTCAACTCCGGCCACAGCACCGTAGGAATAGCCTTCGACCCGTAATTCCTCGTCATACTCTCCATCCCCGCACCGATCCCCACGTCAATCATACCCGTAGCGATCTGATGCGAGACATTCGTGATGGCGCTCAGACCAGAGCTGCAGGCTCGATTGACCGTGTAGAAGGATGTGCTTGTCGGTATGCCGATATGGTTCATAGCCATGCGCCCTGCTTTCGAGCCGCCCAACTCGGATAGGACGACGCCTACGCCGACATCTTGGATGAGTGATGGGTCGAGATTAGGGTTTGCGGCGAGTGTTGCGCGGAGGACAGTGGCGAGGAGTTCTTCGGGGTATGCGTCCTTGAGGTGGCCTTTGTAAGAGCGGGTGATAGGTGTGCGGAGGGAAGAGAGGATGACAATATCATTTGCCTCTTTCTTGAGGATATTGGAAAGGCCTCTCCGGACTGGATTTGCCATTGTGATGGAGTGTCAGTTGGGAATCGGTGTTGAAATTGTGGCCGGGGAGGGGTTCGAAGCAGCAGACAGCCAGAAATATATGTGGTTCAACCACTGAAAGAGTATATGACAGCGAAGGAAAGCAGATTGAAGTGGAAGAAGTACGAAGAAAAGAAGTACGCAGAAAAGTACTCGTACCCTACCTAACATACAACTTTTGTTGACAAAGCACAGCTCAAGCTCTCATGGCATCCGAGGGAATTCCCGTCCTGACGATCCGAGGCGGCTGAGTATTTATCCGCCTACCCTCCCCCAAGACATTCCCCCACCTCGCCTAATGCCCCCCTTTCGGCAGCTGTCCTTCACTAACTAGTATCCCATCTCGATTGCGATTCTAGACCTTTAGATCTCTAGGCTTTGAAACTTTCTCTTCTAAGTTATTCTCATTGCTCGATATGAAGCTACATGAAGCGTGCTTTTCCTAAGTATCTATTTCGAAGTCAATCCTACCAGTTCTCGTCAATTGGATATTCAAGTTCATCTCGAGCTACAGTAACGCCTCCTTCACTTCTACATCTTCAGAAAAGAGGGATGAAGCACCACTTGATGGTGGGAACATGGACTCCCCCAGGAGCGATCTTCACTTTCGAATTCGACGATGAGACTCTAAGTCTAAACATGATAAAGAGAACGGAAATAAACCATGACGAGCCTATCTCATGGATGACTTTTGATGTGAGTTGTTGGTGTTTGTAGTGTTCAATCTTGAAACCTGTCCTGCTTGATAGAAGTTTGAGATTAAAGAATAAGACTGATAAGATTATGATAGCATGCAAAGAAGAACATCTACGGAGCAGCCATGAAGAAATGGACTAGTTTCTCGATCAAGAGCCCTACAGAAATCATACAAGAAGCCTCTCATCCCATGACACACGAACGTATGTACCCTCACTATCCCTATTCCTATATCTACCTCACATGACTTCAACTTCTCTTTCCTCTACGCCAATCCAACTCCCAGTGAAACCAAATAAACAAACAACTAACACCCACCCCCCAGCCGAAGCCTCAAGTCCTACCACCAACACCCGCGCCATCTTCGTCCTCGCCGCCAAACAACCCCCCTACGCCGTCTATGGCAACCCCTTCTATAACCACGCCGGGCACGGCAACGTCTTTTCCGTCACGCCTACTGGGGCCCTCTCTACCAACATCCAAAACTATCCGTACTCCCCCAGCACTGGAATCCACGGCATGGTCTTTGACGCCAGCGAGACCTACCTCTACTCAGCCGACTTACGTGCTAACAAGATCTGGACACACCGGAAGAGCGAGGATGGACAGTTGACACTGGTAGGGTGTGTGGATGCGCCTGATGCGGGGGATCATCCCAGATGGGTGGCGCTAAATGGGGCGTATTTGTATGTGTTGATGGAGGCAGGGAATAGGTTGGCGGTGTATGTTATTGATGAGCAGACGAAGTGTCCTGTGTTTACGCATATTACGTATCCGTTGATTCCGCCTGGTATGTTTGTTTACTTCTTTCCTTCTTCTCTCCTCTCAGCGCCCAAATCTCTCCCAGTTCAAATCCCTTGTTATGCTCTGACCTCACTTCCACCACCACCACCACCACCACAAACCAAATACCAATTTCTAGCGAGCGAACTTCCAGACCACACCCACGTACACACACGCACACACACGCACACACACGCACACACACACACTAACACACTCCTTTAAAATAGGAATCCCGAACCCAAAAACCATGTACCGCTCCGACGTGTGCGTCCTCTCCCCCTCTAAAAAATACCTCTACGCCACCTCGCGCGCCAACTCCTCCTCCCTAACCGGCTACATCGCCGCCTTCTCTCTCGGTCCCCAAGGCAACATCCTGCGGCAGATCTGCCTGAACCCAACCCCAACGTCTGGTGGACACTCTAACGCAGTCAGCCCGTGCGATTGGAGCGATGAGTGGGTGGCGTTGACAGATGACCAGGAGGGCTGGTTAGAGATCTATAGGTGGGAGGGAGAGTTTCTTGCGCGAGTGGCGCATTGTGATGTGAAAGAGCCCGGTTTTGGTATGAATGCTATTTGGTATGATTAAGGTGTGTCAGAGAAGGGGTAGAGAAGGATACGAGAATTAAGGAAGAGGGAAAGGGAATGGAGTTTCATAGTGTTGTTTGAATTTGTTTTACAAGGCGGGAGCCTACGTTTATATGTATATGCCTTATATTTTCGAAGTATTTTCTCCCGACATGAAAACTTTTGAAGGCATTGTGAACTAGAGGTTCTGCCTAAGGCGCTTTAAACAAAGCCAGTGAAGAGAGAAAATGTTAGGCGAGACAATAGGCTTCATGTCAATAAAGGAACTATCCGCCGGGCTGCTGCCAGAATTACCATAGACCGTGCGTCGGCTAATTCTGACTAATGAGGGAGCCGCATTTCAAGGGAAAGGTACAGATATTTGTTAAGAACTATGAAATTCTTCAAAACAGGGCCTTACTTTACAAAGGTAAACTACGCATTCTTTACAGCTAAACCAGCTGAGATTACCCTTAGGAGAGTGAGCCCGATTTGCTGTTATTTCTCCTAATGCAACTCTTTTCTGTGGCCGGTCCTCAAACCTCTTTCCTTTACACGTAACGCACTACCCTCTCTTTTCCATCTTAATATACCGGTGTATATGTGGAGGTATTTTATCAGCTTCCTAGCTCATAGTAGAGACTCTCTTTTTAGGGCTACGGTAAGGAGTAGCCCTAGCCTTTGTAAGAAGATCTTTAACGAGTATCCTCCTGAATTCCTATTAGCTCCGAAAGGTCAATTTGCATAGTAATTCTACCTCCGCACGCTCAGCGAGTAAATAGGAGTTAACAAGGACAATTCGTAGTAACCAGTGCTCAATAGCTTAGTAGCTACCTCTCCGAACCTCACGTAAACCAGGCTTTTAAGCAATCAAATAGTCTCCTTCATCAACAGCCCCCATCTTATAGTTGTATTTATCAGCAACTTCGGGGATAGGTAATATCTTAATAGCTTCGCCTTCTCCGAAAGGTGCTCGTGACGTCTTTACCTTAGAACTTATCTCCTTTAGGCGTTTCCTTTCCCTCTCGATAATCGTATCACCTGATAGAACTAATATCATAAAAAGAACAAAAGCTTAATCCTTCCAGCCGATTTACAGTACTTTACCGTCTTTTATAGGAAAGGAATAGAGCTTCCCCCACAGGATAACATCGTTCTTATCTAACTTCTTGAGATCGAGGAGTTCTTAGATAATTCCGGAGTTATTTCAACATATTCCCGTGACACTAAAACCTTAAGTTCTAGCAAAAGCAACGAACTTAGCTAATACAAAGAGGTTATTAAGGAAAACATGATATCCATAGCCTGTCAAAGGCTCTGGGAGTCTTTGTAGTAGCTTGATTACTACAGCCTGCGTCTTGTTACCTCCATTTCCGGCCTTCTTTATACCTCCAAGGGGCACTAGCGTACGAGTATCCACAGGGCCATTTCCGGCCCCTGGGATATGCCAATTCCAGCAAATCATAAAGCCCATGCAAGCAATTACCCATACCTTAAAGCCAGTAGGTATCGGCTTATTTAGTACTATAGTAGCCTCCTTTGCATGCCCCTCAAAGCGGACCATAGACTCGTCGACAGCAACATCCCGTCCTGGAATATATACTAAGAGATTCACATCCTGGATATGCTCTAAGAGCTTATTTACCTAATAGAAGTTAGAAAAAACAGTGCCCGGTATTAGATAATATAATACTTACCCTCTAGTACGGTCCCGAGGCCTCATCCCCGGCTAATCTCACACGCATATAGAGCTCTTAGAACCGATCCCTTGCTATATACTTCGATATATCGTGATAGGCTATACACTCTTTATTTGACCAATAGTCAGATATCTCGTGTTGAATATTATACGTCATATATATTCGTATAGCAAAGTAGACGTAAAGCTCGCCGGTAGTAGTAGGGTACTAAAGGAGTAGGCGTGCCTATAGTAAGGAATAGTCCTGAGTATCCCGGACACGTGAATTCGTCTTCTGGACTATCCAATCCATGATTTCCGGGGTAAAATATATAGAGAAAAGGGATAAGAGATCGTCTGGATCTACTCCTTCAGGTATCCGGATCTCAGGGAGATAATCTGGCAACTTCATTAGGTAATATGTATCACTATGGGTTTTCAAGGGGGCAGTATCCGGTCTACGAGTACCTGGATCCGTAGGATCAGCCTCTGTATCCTCTAGCATTATAGTGATGACAAAAATAACGATTTTAGGTGGGAAATAGGGGTCTGTTTACATATCAACAATGCGCTGGGTTTTGGTGTTCCTTCGGAACAACTGTTGTTCCGCCCCGGGACCCACGGTAATTCTGGCAGCAGCCCGGCGGATAATCTAATGCGGCTGTGGAGGCATAAGGCATACATCAGAGGGACAATGTTGGTATCGTACCGGTAAACAAATAACAAGTGTATATCAAAATACGTCAAAATCAAAGGTTCAACTCAAAGGTGTTCAAAAATGTGTATTGTAAAGAGTGTCTAAGGGTTAGAATATATACCACTCCCCAATTGGCCCCCGGCTAGCCTCCGAAGGGTCCGTACCTCAACTGGGATTAATGTACCCGTCCCCCTGATTGCCCCGTATATTATATTTCCACTGTATAGGTCTGCGGACCAACAGTAAGCTACAATAGAGTTCATCACCTCGTAGAGTATTTCTGATTGAAGGATAAAGTAACTGTGCAGTAATTCACTTTGATTCTGACTACGAGTACTGTTGACCCTGACCCTGACCCCTCACTAATAAGGTAAAGTATCAGCCGAGCCCGAGCCGCCAGTTGGAGCTCAGCTTCGGATTAGTACCGATACTCTAATTCCACATCTCAAACCTCAATATCCAAACATTCCGCTATAGTTTGTTGTACTGCTTTCTAATCGTCTTGTAGCGTCGGATCCCACATCTCCATAACCGCGATACCTGACCTTTCACTCCTTGCGCAACAATAATAGCATCTCCCTCCGCCATCCCTCCCCGACACAATCCCCGCATGGAATTGCGACTTCCCCCTGTGTGGGGCCGATGCCTTTCAGCCTTCGAGATTCAAATGTCGTCCCATCGACGCTTCCCCCTCTGATCCGATGTCGTGACGTGTATTCTCAATGGTATCACCAGTCGCAGTTCCCAGGTACCTAGTCTACGTACTGGTAATCGTGGGAGCCGTCGCTTTACAACAGATATATACCACCTTTAGGGAATCTCAATCGACCAGCGATCAACAAGAAAGACCAGCCAAAATGTCAATCAAGAACGTTGCAGTTATTGGGGTACGATAACATCTTCCTAAAACCTCTATTATCTTCTGCTAACAATTACCTTCAGGGAAGCGGAAATCTCGGCCCTGCAGTTGTCCAAGGCCTCCTCGACACTGGCTTCACAGTGACTGTACTCACCCGCCTCGAATCCAAAGCCACCTTCCCCCCCGGCGTCAAAGTCCACCGAACCGACTACGACTCTGCCAGCTCCCTCGCCGACGCCCTTACCAGCCAAGACGCAGTCGTCTCGACGATCGCTACCGCCGCTCTAGGACAACAGCTGAAGATCATTGATGCGGCGGTCAAGGCTGGCGTGAAGCGGTTTATCCCTAGCGAGTTCGGAGTCAATACACAGAAAGTTACTGGCAACATTGCTAAGATCCTGGGTGCGAAGCTAGCGGCTCAGGAACAGCTAAAGAAGGCTGCAGCGGAGAATCCAAACTTCTCGTGGACGGGCATATCTACGAGCATGTTCTTTGATTGGGTAGGTTACTTTACGCACTACCACCGGTGATAAAGGGGTTGTGCTGATGTAACTGCAACAGGGCCTCAGAGTCGGATCATTAGGATTCTCCGTCAAAGACCAGACTGCCACGATCTTCGACTCCGGCAACGAACCTTTCACAGGCACAAATCTCCCTACCATCGGTCTGGCAGTGGCATCCGTTCTCAAGAACGCAGACACCACGGCCAACCGATACATTGACGTTGCGTCCTTTGTCACTACACAGAATGCCATCCTTGCAGTTTTCCAGGAGGAGACTGGAAAGAAGTGGACTGTTATAAATAAGAAGACGAGCGAGAGTGAGAAGATTGCGGACGAGAAGTTGGCTAAGCGTGATTTCTCTGCTTTTAGCGATTATTTGAAGGTGGAGTTATTTAGAGACGGCGAGGGAAAGTCGCCTAAGTTAGAGCAGTTGGCGAATGAGGAGCTGGGTGTCTCATTCGGCGATTTAAGGGCCACTGTTAAGGCTGTTTTGTAAGCATGGGGAGCGTAATAGAGGGAGAATGATAGACTGATCAAATGATAAGGCTGACGTCGCAAGGCTATATTGCCTTTTATTTGTGATCTCGACAGCTTAAAGGGTGTATTTGTTTACTAGTACTATACTGACAGAAAACTTTTCTAGGCAAATAAACCTAAGATCTTGATCGCTCTTATTAACTGCTTCTACTAGTTCTAAGTGCAGTATCCGCTATTTAAAAACTACTAAAGCAAGTTCGCTCTCCGTCAAAAGCCACAAATATTTCCACCAAGTGACAGCGCCAACGACAAGTAGAGTGTAATACGCAATCGTCCAAATCACACTCAACTCTCTATCATCGTCCTTATTAGGCCCGTCCTCACTCCGCTTTCCTTCCTTATATCTCTCGATTATAGCCGACTCACCTGCCATAACCCTTCCCCAAACACGAGGCAAACCTATCCAATTACAGAATGCGTGGACAAGAATAACACCTAGCAGACTTCCCGTCCTCATATATAAGAACGTAACATATCCTCCAAACAACGTAGTATAGGACAGTTGTAACACCGAACGTGCGATTGCTGCAATGATAGGTGTATCAGGGTGTGTAATCCTAAACTCGTAGAAGTGATGGATATGCGCTAGACCAAAGATCACAGGGGTCAGGAAGATTATAGTCGCATTGGATGTCTGAGCGAGCAGAAGGAGGGGTACTGATGCAGAACGAAAGAGGACCTCTTCAGTAATTGGGCCCTACAGCTGTCTGTTAGATATGTTCACGTAGAATCCTTGGGATACTTGCCGCAACATAATTGCGCCATCCTATCCACCCACTGATGACAGTATTAAGCCCTCTCAGCTTGACCCAATCGCGCCATCCACCCTCAGCGATACCACCTTCAAAGAGGGGTCCCATAAACAGAATTGCCGTAAGCCCTACACTCTTCAAAGCTTCTAGTATGCCAACCGGGAACCATCCCATTTGATGTATGCTCTTGAATAGACTGCCACTTTCTACGGACGAGAGCAGGACGAATGTGAACATGGAGCAGATCATACAGGAAGTCGTGACGGAACGTATCCGGCCACGAATAACAGATGGCGCGTCGCGGGACAGGTTTAGTGAGGGGCGCGTAGTGGAGGATATGTAGAAGGGGGCGACATAGATGATAGTGTATGCGATCTAGTTCATTGTCAGTTGGAGATCTTATGCTTCTACTACAGAGGATATACTAGTAAGGCTACTGCGGTAGCTGTGCTTAGAGGCGGTAGTTTAGGCTCTGCTTTTCGTTAGTTTTACATAGCAGATACATCACCAGGCCTACTGACCCTGCTCCTTGGTATAGAACGCCTTCAGACGAGAGTAAATACCGGCTGGGGCCATCCTGCTAGCTGGTTCTGGTGTTTAATAGAGAGGCATCGGAAAACAGCGAGGCTGGCCTAAGTATAGAACCGTCTTTGTTCGCCCGGCTAACGGAATCTGCTCCCAGATAGAATTCTGTCTAGTATTATGTTGTAGGCAACATAAGAGCTGGAAATAAACGGCCAAATGACGTGCGAGGTATCTCGACCTGATTATTGCTGGAAGTTGTGTGCTTGTACTGTGCGTCTGCACTCCGACTTGACACTGCGGACGCGGATTAAAGTTCTCGGCTTTACCCTGGGGGTTCTTTATGATGGGCAGGGCGCTGAAGCGAGGCGCTAAGGGTGCCGCCTGGACGACAACAGTTCGGCGTTTACGAGTATCTAATACCATACTTATACTACAGATTGGTGGCATCCGCGATAACGATAAGCCCTATATTGGAAAACCAAGATGGCAATTCCACAATCCCATCAACATCAACATCAACATCAACGCCATCACCGTTGCAAATAATGCCGCCTAAACGTCGCCGCTCAATCGCGAGCCTCGATGCCCCTCTCCCAGTTATTAAGAGGGCTCGCGTTCAAGCTCCACCACAAGCATCAACGCTTACTTACAACCACATCGACAAGCTCTCCGACGAACTCCTAATCCGCATCCTCCACATCCTCCCTCTCCCAACCCTCCTCCGCAGCCAACTCGTCTCCTATCGCTTCTATCGGCTCTCATCCGACTCCCAAATCTGGAAGAACCTCTACTACTCCCGCTTCGTGCTCCCTCGCGCTCTCCGTATCCCCGGAATCAAGAACGTGCCACCGCGAGATGAAGCGCTTGTTTTTAGCTCGCGAAGGAGTAAATGGCTGAGTGAGGAGGGCCTGGTTAATCGCCGAGATGGAAAGAGTACGGATTGGAAGGGCAGGTATAAGTTGAGGCATAATTGGAGCAGAGGCGTTTGTGAGGTCAGGGAGATTAAGTTGAGGGAGGAGAGAAGTACCGGGGTGCTCGTTAGGATGGCGGAGGGGGTTGTGCTGACTGTTGATGGGCAGGATGGGTTGAGGGGATGGGATTTGAAAGGAAAAGGGTTGATTGCTAGGTTTGAGCTTGAGTTCGGGGAAGTGCCGACTTGTCTGGCTGTTGATGAGCAGGAGGGGAATGGAGAGCTTGGAGTATCAGTGGGGTTTGAGGATGGGGGTTGGATGACTTGTAAGTTGGATATTAAGGAGAGGAGCTTCATTGAGGGTCATCGACACCCGGCTTCGAGTAATGGGACTTTGAGTGCGATTGCGTATGCGTACCCGTACCTTCTTACCATTACGCAGGAGCAGCTTCTCTCGTTGTACTCGTTCACTCCGATCATTCCAGAGGAGACGGACATCCCTTCGACTCCAAGCCTTCTTGGTGAAGAAACTGACGACCTCGAGAAAGATGATGATATTCCCGAGAGAGAACCAGTGCCGATACCTCAAACTCCTCAGGAAACCGGACAACCATTACTATCAGATCAACCAAGTCAACCACGTCTCCTAGCATCCCTCAAATCCCACACCTCCTGGCCACCACTCTCCCTCTCAATCCGCACAACTCCAACAACACTTATCGCAAGCATCGCCTATACCCTCCAAACCTACACCTCAGGCTATACCGTCGGTCTCCAAGAACTCCACCTCTCTCTCACAACCGGAAGCGTAATATTCTCACGCCTTACATCCGCCCTCCCGCAAGGCTTTACTTCCATCCTCGCACCCTCGGCCTCACCATCTGCAACATTAAGTTCTGAAACATCCTCTGCAGCCAGTGCCAGAAGCGAGGCCAGCTGTCCGACTTCTCTCTCTTACTCTCACCCTTACATTCTGGCTACACATCCTGATAACACATTGACCCTGTACCTCTGCACATCTACGGCCTCCACACTGAGTATAACATCTGGTACGAAGCTCTGGGGCCATACCTCGTCCGTATCCTCCGCTGAGATCACGCCGCGGGGGAAAGCAGTTAGTGTCTCGACGCGAGGTAATGAGCTGCGCGTGTGGGAACTGGAGGGTGGGCTTGGTGCAAGTTCATCATCCAGTGAGCCCAATGCCGGGTTAAGGAAACAAGGGCGGCGGTCGGGGGTGGAGAAGAGTGTGGTTGTTAGACCAACCCCGAGGAAAGACGATAAAGACAATTTAGATTATGATTCCCTGAGGAGAGGTAGTCTGGATCTCGGGACGGAGGATGAGATGGAGGGGTGTAGGAGGTGGGTTGGGTTTGATGAGGAGGTTGTTATTGTGTTGAAGGAAGGTGGTGGAGGAATTGGGAGACAGGCTCTTATGGTTTATGACTTTACATGAACATAAGAGATATTAACAACTTAGAATAGTAGACATTTAGAAGTCCTATTCACGATTTCTTCAATGGTATCCTTTGTTAACTTTGTAAGCGAGCCCTTTTCAGGCTCCTCACAAGGTCTGCGTTAGGTCTGGAATCTGAACTTCATAGAGGCTGCATCACGACTCACTACACCATTCGCATCTCTTTCTATCTAACAAGTGTAGGGAGAACTTGAGCAGACAGAAGTAAGAATGTCAAAGTCATGAAAACCAAAATAATGATAAATGCCATAGGATAGTGCTGCTTCACCGCCTATGTCAGGACAGTAATCAGCGCAATCGCATTATCGATACAGTAGCTCCCACCAACATTTCCCCTGAATAGGACTGCGGGCCAACATTCTTAGTGCTATGATTTTATTCAAATCAGCAAGACTTTCTTGTTCTACCTCTGGAAATCTCACAGGTCGTTCCCTTAATTCCCCGAGTCATCACTTAAGAAGAAAGTCCCACCAAATGTCTACCAGGACCTTAAATAGTAGATAAACCTGTCCTGGAATCCAACGGCACGGTCTCTATCTAACCAACTAGATGGTGGAAAGTTAGAGAAATTGCAACTTGCAAGTTAGTCACCGACAATGAACAACAAGTACAGGAGATTCATGAACTCGAACTAGATTGCGAAAAGGGTATCAGCCGAAGTGTTCCAGGTATGGCAGCATAGCGCCTTATCAGAAGCACAGAGAGACATTACCACTATTGATTGTATACCAAGTGTCGTTTGCAACCCATACGCTGTGGGCGGCTTTAGTCCAAGCATAACATCCTGCGGAGAGAGCGAGGGTGGCAGGAAGTAGGATTGCAATGAAACGCATATTCGAGGATGGGAGGGATGGATGGAAAGATGAAATTGGCTGCTATTGGTTCCAGATCATTTGAGTTTTATAATCTGGTTAGGGGGAGGACGACGTTGGTGAAGAGAAGAGAGAGGAATCTCTGGGTTGTCATCCACTCCTTATACCTGCATCTTCAGAAAGGGAACGCTTGTTCGCCTGCCAATTCAACCTGACATGGCTACCTTTCACGAATGTCGTGCTGTAACGAATTCCATCCCGATCAATGTGGACCAGTACGAAAGTATCAATAGCATTGTCCAACCCGTGTAGTGAGGAGCACGAGGTGGTAGTGATCGTTCCTTCGTAAAATGCACAGGCCTCAAATGGCTGCGAACTGCTAGATAGCCCTTCGTTCCCCTCAGAAACACTATTCAGAGGACCGAAAATAGCCAATAAGATAGCGAGAGCCGCAAGTGCTAAGTATACGGCCTGGAGTAATGGTATGGGCTGTTGCGTGGATTGTCAAATGTGTGGTCGGAAAGTGTATAGATACCGTAATACTAGGGACAGCATGGTGCTTTCACCTCATGGTCTATCGTAACTCATTGTATCAGAAAATCAATAAAGGGAAAACGAGTGGTGAATGATACGAATAAGAAAGACAAACTCCACTTGGCGCCATCTCCTCTTTTTCCAAGAGATAAGATAACAATCCCTGGTGTTTTCAAGTATCTTGGCGTCTGAGGATTTCTTCGCTTTGACTGATCTCCACCATAGCCTTACTGCGCTCCCCCAGGATTTTTCTCCTTTAGAATAAGATCATACAGACAGATTGAAACATTTAAACTTTATCTGAGAAGGTTTCTGCGCTCTCTCGGAAATCGGGATTACGGTCTCTCTTGGGTAATAGCTGCAGTTGTATTTATACTACCCTATGATCGATATTGTAATACAGGCAGGTAATGGAAGCTTATATAAAACAGAACGATCTCCGTTCATAGGTACTACTTTAGCATAGGATTGCGAGCTAGAGTGTAAGTAAACAAACAAGATAAGTGGGGAAAGCATGAGAAAATGAAATGGTGTTGGCATAGGTACAGAAGTCCGAGGCATCCCCATACGCTAAAATGCACACTAAAAATTTCCCCATACCACGGAGCGAAACAGCTCACTTCTCCTACTCGACTCATCTTCCATCCCGACCTGACTCCTTTCTCTACCTCTCCTCTTCCAACATTCTTACTTAAGGCTTTAATTGTCCCTTGATATTCGCTCCGCATATCCAACGTCATGTTGTCCTCAGTGCGAGTAGCAAGCCGACAGGCTGTGTCCCGTGGAATTGCCTCCAAAAGCTCCGTAGCTGTCGCATCCCGCCAAGCGTCGACATGGGCTAATGTACCCCAAGGACCTCCTGTAAGTCATAGCCATCTGCGGAGTGACGTGCGAAGTGTTTACTAACAATGCAATAGGATGTAAGTACTCGACTCGACATACAGCCCCCAGAAGACTAATCAATTGCGTGTGTAAAGGCTATCCTGGGTACGTCAAAGTAGAGTGAGAAAGGAGGATTTACTTTTTCTGACATCACACAGGTATCACCGAAGCCTTTAAGGCCGACAGCTTCAAGGAGAAGATCAATCTTGGTATGCCAGCCCATCCAGCCTCAGATTGGCAGTACTGATGGTCTCCTACAGGCGTTGGCGCATACCGTGACGATCAAGGAAAGCCATACGTCCTCCCCTCCGTACGAACCGCGGAGGACAAAGTCGTGTCCGCACAACTGAACAAGGAGTACGCTGGAATCACTGGTGTCCCCGAGTTCACCAAAGCTGCTGCTCTCCTCGCATACGGTCCTGGATCCAGCGCTCTCGACCGCCTCGTCATCACACAATCCATCTCCGGAACAGGCGCTCTCAGAATCGGCGGTGCTTTCCTCGAACGTCATTACCCAGGCGCAAAGAAGATTTACATCCCAACCCCATCCTGGGCAAACCACGCTGCTGTGTTCAAGGACTCTGGATTGGAGGTTGCCAAGTACAGATACTATAACAAGGATACTATTGGTCTGGACTTTGAGGGTATGGTGGCAGATATCAAGGGCGCTCCACAGGGTAGCATCTTCTTGCTCCACGCATGTGCACACAACCCCACTGGTGTCGACCCAACACCTGAGCAATGGAAGGAAATCAGTAATGCTGTCAAGGCTGGTAACCACTATGCTTTCTTCGACATGGCGTACCAAGGCTTTGCTTCGGGAGATACTGACAAGGATGCTTTCCCAATCCGACACTTTGTCGCTGAGGGCCACAACATCTGCCTTGCTCAGTCATTTGCTAAGAACATGGTACGAACTCCTTCATGAAGAAAAAGGAAGAGATCTACGCACTGACAGAATTTAGGGTCTTTACGGAGAGCGTGTAGGCGCCTTCTCTATCGTCGCCGCCGACGCCGCCGAAGCCAAGCGCATCGACTCACAAGTCAAGATCCTCGTCCGCCCTCTCTACTCCAACCCACCCGTCCACGGCGCTCGTATCGCCTCCGAGATTCTCAACGATAAGGCCCTCAACAAGCAATGGCTCGGCGAAGTCAAGGGCATGGCCGACCGCATCATCACCATGCGCGCTCTCCTGAAGAAGGAACTGGAGGCATTGGGATCGAAGCACGATTGGAGCCATATCACAAGCCAGATTGGCATGTTCGCTTACACTGGTCTGACTCCGGAGCAGATGGACAAGTTGGCGAAGGAACATTCTGTTTATGCTACTAAGGATGGCAGAATTTCGGTTGCCGGTATTACGTCTGGAAATGTTAAGAGACTTGCTGCTGCTATCCATGCTGTTAAGCCTTAGATGTAGGGGAACGCATAGATGTACGGTATCTTGATCTGATGACTTTTTGAGAATAGAACAAGGGACAGGCTAGAGTGGTTGGCTATACCTTAGAATAGTCTGCCAATGTATAAACAATGTTGCTTAATGAATACATCACATCTTTATCATCACTCATTTCTCCAGTGGACATTTGATATGCCATGGATCGGGCTTCAGGCCCTGCTCAGGTCATCAAACCGAGCTCCAAGTACCTCATTCCAGGCCATATCTTGAGACCATCTCTAAGAACCCAGATACCTAGCCATCACCTCCCCCTCAGCCTCTGCACATCCCTCCCCACCTCCTCGACCTCCTTACTCAACTCCCCATAAACCCTCGCTATCTCCCTCAAAATCCTCTCCTTCTCCTCCCCATCTTCCCTCCCAATACCATACCCCCAAAGCGTCCTCTCAGCCTGCGCTCTCCTCTCCCTCCCCCTCTCCCTCCCACCCCTCAACTCCCCGACATAATTCTCCAGCGCGCTCCTCACCTCCTCCGTATACACCACTCGTTCGCCCCTATCCCTTTTTGCCCTCGCTTCATATAACACCTGCGCGGCTTTCAAGGAGAGATACTCGCTGCGGGCTTTAATATAGCGTGACAAGGAGCCGTGGGTGGACTGCTCGAGGGTGCGGATCACGAGGGCTGTGGCGAGGTGGTGGAGGGTGAGGAGGGTGGTGGTGTGTGATACCAGATCTCTCCTTCTCTTCGCCAGTTCGACCCTTCGTTCTTTGATTAAGCGCTGCTGATCTCTTATAGAGGGGTATAGTTTTGGGATCTGCCGGTGCAGGAAGGACGGGTTGGTGGTGGGGGAGAGGATGCGGCAGAGGGCGAGGGCTTGAGTTTGGAGGTGTGTGGATAGTAGGGAGCCGATCTGAGGGAGATGCGTGGGGAGGCTGGCCCAGAGGGCGGTGCTTTGTAGAGTTCGCGATTGGGAGGGTGAGAGGGCGGGGGAGGAGAGGCGTGAGGAGAGGACGATGATGAGCTCGAGCAGCTCAGGTGGTAAGGATACTGGAGTTTGGGACTGGGGCTTCGATTGCTGAATTTGGGATTGCCGGCTAGATTTCGTCGTGGTCGTTCTGCTAGTAGATGTAGAAGTGGATGGAGGAGGTGAGAGGTCGAGGTGCTGTAAGGCAGATTTGAGGAGTTGGGACTTGGCGCTTCGGAGGCGGCAGGCATTTAGTGCCTATTGAGTATCATTCCCATTAGCATTTGAATACATTATAGTGACCTCCAGACTGGGAAAGTTGTAGGGGAATCAGACCTCAGACACGGCATCCCGCTCTTTTTGCGCGGGGTGTATTTTCGTCGAGCCATTGGGGTTGAGGATTTGTTTCGCGAGGGTGCTATACAGAGCTGAAAATCGAGGATTCGATTGTAAGATCGCGTCGTCTATGGGAGGCAGCATGACTGCGTGGCTGGTCGTTTAGTTTGTGTCGAGGAAATGGTTGATGTCGTCAGGAGGGGAGTTTGTTTACATACAAGTTGTGGAGACGCGGCCAAACCTGAGACTGAGACTAGCTATTATACCTAAAGAACCTTATTTCGTCCTGGGTGATATCAATGTCAATATCAACCACTAACTCTCGTCACCTATTGAATCTTGTGGCTTCCTTTTGAATCATTCGTTTCTCATCTAATTTCATATTCCCGCCACAAGGGATAACAGAATTGTGGAATCGAGAGTGAATTCGAAATATCCCAGCCTCGGGGTTATACTGTAAGTATTGCAAGCCTCGGCTGACACAGGCAGCATGCGGGACAGCTCTTATCTCCCTGGTCCCTCTCCCTCTTATCCACTTCAGGTGTGAAGTCAGCCCGTGCCCGTGCATGTACATGCATGCAACAAACCTCTTACCAACACTCCCCCCTGTTTGTTTATAGTATTCCGTTTCATCGATCTTGGACATCTCTACTCTCGGGGAACTAAGCACGAGAGGAAATGACCAATAAGAAACCACTAGTCACGTCCAGCTTCAACACTGAATATCCCATCAATTATCATGTCTGTCTCACCACCAACAAGCCGTAGCCAGGCTTCACTCTCCCAATCAAATATTCAGTCCTCTCCTATGACGCATCACGAAGTCTCTCTCGATGCTCTTGTGACGTATCTGCTTGCATCCAAGCGGTCTTTGGCTTCTATTAGTACAGTATGGCGCGCTAATGAGATTATGACTTCTGCTCGTTCAGCTTTAGAGGAGAGTGCAGTGTTGAGTGCTCGTACGGGGTTCTTGAGGAGTGGTATATCGGAACAAGTGAAAGTACTAAGAAGGGTTAGGGGAGGTATAGAGAATGTGTATAAAGAGGGACAACGGGATTTCAAGGTAGGACTGCTTAAAGCTTGAGGAGACGCAAGGCTGATCATAGTAGAACACCATTCGAACTCTGGATTTGGCAAATACGAGGCTGGAATCGACGATGGATATTCTGCGAACTACAATAGTAGAAGCTGCGTTTAGGCCCGAGAAGGAAGAGCCTCGAAGTCTGCTGGATTTCGTAGACGAGCAAGGTGTAGAAACCATGCGAGATACTCTGAAGGAATCTATACGGGAAGCAAAGGTACATATATTTACACCCTAGATCTGGCCAAATCATTCTAACCTCCCCTAGGAAGCACAAACCGAATTCGACTCTTCTTTGCTCTCCTTCGACGATGATCTGCGAACCCTCAAAGTTGCAATGAAAGCCTCTCCCCAATCAAGTATCTCTCAGTCCAACGACGATCTCTCCTCCCTAATTCCAAGCCATCTACACACTCTCGAAACAAATGCCCAAGAAATGGCAGCTCTTCTCGACTCTCTAGTTTCCCACTTCGACCTCTGCGTCAATGCTATCCGCCACACAGAAGGAGGCTACGCAGCCGTCCGCAAAGCAGCATCCTCTCAACCCCCAGAAGCAGAACCCGTCTCCGTCTCAGGCGTGATGAACACCGAGAACGACCCCACAGCCGACAACCCCATCTCCGCCAAAGAACGACAAGAGATGCTTGAGGTCCTCGAGAAGGACGCCGGGCAAGTCGAGGACGTAGTCATGGAACTCCGCGACTACCTCAACGACATGGAAGCCAAGCACGACGAGATCATCGAGCATATCTCTGTGCTAACACGCACTCTCAACGAGACCACGGCCACGTACTCCATCCTCGAAGCTGCTGGCGCCAGACTCCCAGGCTATATAATCGCTAGCCAGAACTTCCGCCTGCATTGGGAAGAGACAAAACTCAACATCCAAGAACAACTGTCCGAACTAGAATCCATGCGTGTCTTCTACGAGAACTACTTCTCCTCCTACGACAGCCTTATCCTAGAAGTCTTCCGCCGGAAGCAGACCGATGAGAAGGTCCAGAGTATTATGCGGAAGGCGGCGGAGCAGATCGAGAAGGTGTATGATGCGGATATGAAGGAGAGAGAGGGGTTCAGGTTCGATGTTGGGGATTATCTCCCTGTGGATCTTTGGCCAGGGGTTAATGCGCCGGCGAGAAGGTGGGATTTCGTTCCTATAGAGGAGAAGGAGTGGGCAGTAGGAAGTATGCCTGTTCTAGACAGGATAGTTGTTGAAGCAGCAGGGAGGAGGGATAGGGAGAGGCAGAGGAGGGGGGATGTGTAGACTAGACACTGGAGACTCGATAGTGAATGGATGTATTTGGATATGAGATAGGATGTTAAAACAATCCCTTAACCTATTTTCGTTTCTGCTTTCACCACGTCTTTATTTTCTTATCTGTCATTCTTATTTAGACTGAAGGCTCTATACGAGCAAGAACTCTAGTGGATACAATAAATCAAACGTATCTTCACGGTAAAACCTCCTTCTCCTTGTCGCTTGTATCATTTAGCGTTAATTCGATACATTCCGCCTCTTTCCCCTTCTCTGTCGGTCTCTCCCCTTCTTTTAACATCCAACTCCAGGCTAAACCGCACACAGAGACAACAAGTAGATAACTCCACCATACGATTCCCACTACGCCTCTATCCATACCCCATCCGAATATCACGCCACCAATTGCTGGCCCCAATGCACGACTCAGGCTACTGAGCATGTTTCCTACGCCGTGGATAGCACCTAGCGCTAGTGGTGAAGGCGCCGAATTAGTGAGAAGAATGACGCTGCTCGGTATACCGAACGTGCGGGCTGTGACTTGAAGGAAAAGAATAAAGGCAATGCTGATAGACTGCAGGACATAACGCGAGCTAGGGATCAGGCACAAGTATGGAGCGAGTAGGTAAGCCAAGGGGAAAATAGCTAGTGCAACGCGGTAGCTGCGCAGGGTCCCTAGCCAGGCTTGAAGCGATGGGTAGATGCATAGCTGGATCAGGATGCCAAAGATACCGAATGCGGAGAGGAATAACCCTATCGTTGGAGATGAGAGGCCGAGACCACCGTTGAATTTGATGGCCGAGGTGGCAGGAAGCTCGGAGGGAGGTGTTGAGAGGAAGACAGGAAAGACTTGCATGAACGCCGAATTGTGGAGAGGAAGAAGCCCGAAAGATACAATAGTGACAGCAACTTCTCGAGTCCAGATAGCTCGAGACGTGATTGAAAGTTTGGGTTTTGGTCGTGAGGCGCTTCTAATCTCCATCGGGGCTTCGGTTCTTGGGGATTGCAAATCCATCAAATCGTCGTCATTTTCCTCTTCATCTACAATTGTATATCCAGCAGATCTTCCTCCAAAGACACGCTTCAGTCCTCGTCTCATAGCTGCTCCGGCATCAATCCCATAATCCTTCCTGTCCTCCAAACCGGGCATCGTTTCCTTCAGTCCAAACACAGCTAGGAACAAACTGCACAACAATGCCGTAGCATTACAAATCGTAGGGAGCGCGAACGGAAATGTTTGCATCCAGGCCACACCGTGGGGATCATCTGCGAAATTGAAGATTCCTGCTGGACCGAAAAGGGAAGGTAGATTAACGATAGGATCAGCCAGACACCCTCCCAATGCCAGGCCAATGACCACCCCAGAATTAAATACCAGCGGTAGTAACAGGAATGCTCGACTCTGGTACTTCCTTTCCACTACAATCTCAGCCGTTATCGTCCGCATAACCCCAATGTTCCCATTCCCAATGCCTGCCAGGACCCTCCATGATATCACCGCTGGTATTGTCGTCGAGAATCCAAATCCAATGTTTGACACGATCGATAGGACGAGACCAATGATTATCGTAGGCTTTCTGCCATAGTGATTCGCAAAGCTCGCCCATGGCACCGAGGTGGCGAACTGTGAGAGGGCGAACAGAGAGACGAGCAGCCCCGCCTGTCTTGAGATTGAAGCTTGGCTGGTCGTGTCACCGGTTTGCAATGACCGTACAAGGTAGTAGAGGTATGGGAGGAGACAGGTGTTGGAGAGAGGCTCGGAGAGCCGGCAGAGGGCGAGGATGAAGAGCTGAGGTTTGTTCGGGAGGGACATCCATGTTACTGGAGGTCCCTTGGATGCCGGAGGAGGCATCGAGGTGTAAGAAATTATCCTCTCTGCGACCGTTAGGACTCTCACTCTGCCACCGAGAGAAAGACCAAGATGGCCCCTCTATAAGCCTCGACGCGATCGAAGGCGCGAAGTGGGTGGTGGTGGTGGTGCTGCTGGATCCGTGTTGGGAAGCTCGGTACCTATGGATCCCCGCCAAGAATTCAGGGGTAAGCTTAGATGATCCAGTCTCTCTGTACAGTATTATATTGCGTACAGTACACAAGACAAAATAAATTCAGTCTATTCTGAACATGTTGCGTGAAGAGAAGGACGTGTTCTCAGGATTCAAGAACAATGGAATGGACGTTGGGGATGAATTTAAGAGGATAAATGGCTCGTTCAGGCGATACGGAGTATTATTGATTTCTACTGTAGGGTATTTATCGATTTTCCCCGTTCTGGACATGGCTGGCAGCTGGCAGGTGCTCTTGGCGGACATGCTCTTGGCGGACACGGCCCATCCGCTTGCCCCTTCGGTATATCAATACAAGTATTTGGTCTCGTTTTGGTGCTTTGAGGACCGGCGGGAGGGGGGGAAATCCCCGTGCAAGGATAAATTTCCATAATTCTTGTATAACTTGGTTAATATTTTATTATTATATATAAATTAGGTACTTCTTGTGTAAAGATGTATAAACCCCCCCGCGGGGGGTGTTAAAAAACCCGCGGGGTTCGGTGCTGCAGCCTAAATCTGAGATTTACTCCTCAAAAATCTCCCTTGTATCTCGTGGATATTTCGAAATTCATCATGATTAAAGTCGTAATTGCTGGTGGTTCGGGAGGTATGTCTTGTCTACAGCCTGCCAGGAGGGAATTACGTACTGAAATACATCAATAGAGCTTGCTAGGGAAGTCATTGACTCCTTGCTAGCCAGAAAAGAACATGAGATTATGGTCATCTCTCGGGCTGTAAGAGCTTCTATACATCCCAGCCAGATATTGTTTTACTCATCAATGATAGCAATTCTCCTGTGAACCGAAGGATGGACTTCGCTGCCGTATTGTAGACTATCAGAACAGAGACAGTCTAGTTGATGTTCTCCGAGGATATCACACAGTTCTCTCATTCATCAACCAATCTATCGATCACGGCAATGCTTCTCAAAAGGCTCTCATCGATGCTTGCATTGCGGCGGGTGTCAAAAGATTCGCTCCCAGCGAGTATGGTTGACTCGACTATTCCTATCCCTTCGAGCTTTATTACTCCTTTATTACTCCTTCTGTTTCGGTTTCGACAGTTATTACAGGTAAGGAACCTATGACTAAAGTAAGGTAAAAGCTTCCTTTGATTATACAAGAGCATAGCTGAGTCGAAGGCACTTCTGGAGGGTCTTGCGGAGGCTTTTGCGGAGGCTTTCCTAGGTCCGTGGAGCTCTCTCGAGTATCCGAGTCGTCTGAGCTTTGATCCTCCCAATCCTCCTGTGTATCCTCCCTATCTTTGTAGCCCTCCGGATCCTTAGAACCCTTCCACGGACCTGTCCAGCTGCTTTGCGGATCCGTATTCTCTCGAGGTTCCGTGTACCCCTCCTACTGCCGGTACGGGCCTCTCCGCCATGTCTTGCTCCCGTGGAACCCCTCGAAACCAACGTGCCTTCTGTTGTTCCAGCCTTAATCGATTGCGAAGAGCTCTCTCGACTGCTTGCTGCTTATTAGGATTATCGAGCAGCTTTAGAATCAGACAGCGGCTTGCCTATTTGAGCCTGATAGTCGTCTTGAACGTGTATAATACACGCGCGACACGTTGCTAAGGGTATCCCGTCAACTATATCAAAGCTCGTGAGCTATTAATATCTGTTACACGTCGAACAGCGAGTCGGGCAGGTAATACAGACAGGTTTAAGGTCAGGTAAGCGTTGCCGTAGTTGCGCGCATAGTCGGAATCGCCTGCAAAGGGCACATCGAGCTCTGTCATCTGCCATATCAAATTGCGTAGTTGCGTAGTTGCGTGGAGGTGCGAGAGGTTCTTCGTAAGGTAGAGATTTGATGTTCCCCCTGATCACGTAGCGGTGTCTTTTTACTACGGAAGATCGCACAACAGAAGATAGAAGCAACGGGACCTTATAAGAACGATGTCCAAATGATAAGGTGAGATTTATCATCTATATTTATATGTGCTTTATCTTCTAGACAGCCCTAAGTGCTATGTAGGTGATACAGACTCTCTACTCACTGCTAAGGATTAGTTACTATGTCTATAGAACAGCATGAGGATAGACATCATTCCCCTTACTTTCGTTATTCCAGCCCTCAATATTAAATTCAAACTTCATATCCCCCTTTCCCCTCTCTATCGGATTCCCCATCACATCCCAAAGACTCCTCTCTCTAAACGTAACCTTCCCCTCCCAATCCACAATAACAATAGTCTGTCTCTGCGTTCCATAAATCCCTGTCGTCACGTTCGGATTCAGATTCGGCGGGTCCTTAACCGGCGCAACAGACCCTATAGAAGGGATAAATATCGACTTCCGCAGCTCATACAGATACGCCTCAAACTCCTTCCCCTCCTGTTTAGGGAGCGTATTCGTATCCAGCACCTCGAACAACCTATTCACCAGATCCTCCTCCCCTACGGCCTCCTGCACAGCCTGCAGGACCTTCTTACGCCCTATCTCGACTTTGGGCCAGACATCAAGATCGTCGAAAGACGTATTGCTGAGCCCGTAGACCTCGCCTCTCCTCCCTGCTATCCACGGTACATGACCCAGCGTCTCGCAGCGATTAGAGATGATAGCCAGCGGTTCCAGATCCCTTTCCCTTTCCCTTTCCCGCTCCACCTCCTTCCTCCTTCTCAACCTCAACTTTCCGCACAGAAGGGAGAAGCCCCCCACGCCCTTGACACCATCCCCCGCCATCATACGCTGCACGAACTCCTGCGTAGTCTCCTCCTCACCAGCCGTGAGCCAAGCCGTCACCATGCCCCCTCTGCTCCTTGTGCCCTGGACGGGGTGCAGCGCGGCATCGCTAGTGTCCGTCTCGCGGTAGTTTGTGAGCACGGCGAAGTTGCCGGTCTTAGTGATGCCCAGCCAGGTGCCTTGCTCTTCGCGCTGGAGGTCGCGCGCGGAGAGGATCTCCTGGGACGTGGTGGGGGTGGTCCACCAGTGTGGGCGGCTGGTGGGGCGGAGGATGAACTCGTCGCGGTTGTCGAGGATGATGAGTGCGTAGGAGGGGTGGGCGGTGGTGGCGAGGACGATGCACATGGTCTGGTAGCTGGTACAAATGCGTACCTATGCGTGTGTGTTCGTATGTGTGAATGAGTTTAAGGATAGGTTTGGGTGTGGCCTGGAGAGGCACGCAGGCGGCAGAATTTATGGCGGAATCTTGGGCTGCGTCAAGAGCAAGAGAGAGGGTTCAGGAGATTTCAAGAAAGGCGGGAAAGTGCGAGGTAATGGCGACGGCAACAGCATTCTCGTCTGCGGCATCGGAAGCACAGATGCAGCAGTGGCTTGTCATGGTCTGATGGTGATACTTATATGGTGCCAGCAAGCTGTGAGCTCGGTTGACAGTTGATGCAGCCGCTGTATGTATAAGTATAAGTACAGTACGTGCCGCGTATTGAATGGTTCCGTTTCTCACCGACAGCGAGGTAGTAATGCAGGAACGCCAAAGGAGGATAAATGTTCCGGACCCTGCATTACAGTATGCTTAAGTTCATAGACTTACGCAGTACGGAGTAGTACTATGTACTTACGATAAGATCTACAGCCTCGTATCCTACTGAACCCGGCTGTTATGTGTAAGACCCCGTAAATTGATCATCGTGTAAATTCAGAAGCATATGCACGCCAGCAGGCAACGCTCTCATAAACTACTAGACCCTATTCCTATTCCGCGGGACGACTGCTTTCTTCTTTTTTCTATTTCTTGTTCGCTCCTCTTTATAGAGTCATAGCTACACAAGAAATCTTGAGAGTTTCACTGTCTCTAACTTCACATGTGATAGAGCTGTCACATACCAGAAGTTCTGCCCCTGGGGAGGCTCTTGGACTTAAGGACTTAAGTCTATTGGATGCAACTTTTTGCTATCAAAACTCACCTGGTATCCAATTGTATCCAAACAGTGTAAGTGCACCTTCCAGGCGCGAAAGACTTGTCTGGAAAACAAACATTACATTGATCCCATGGTATCGTGACTTTTCTGTACCAGACTACCCAAATGTAAAAGCACCATCCTTTAACATGCTCCAGCTATAAACGCCAACATAGAATGCAAGCCAAAGCTATCCCACATAATCAAGCAAAAGAAACGGTCTTCTTCTTTAACTTCAGAGGCTTTGTTCCAGTGGCCGCCTCTTTCGTGATCTTGTCGCTATCCTCCCCAGTAGGCCTCTTCCGCTTCTTTCTTATCCCCTCTTTCGTCTCGTCCAGCTTCGCTTTTCTCATCTCTTGCCTCTTATCTGCCTCTGCCTTTCTCGCCTCTCGGATTTCCTCCATTTGCCTAGCCTTCATCATCTTGCTTTCAATCTGACCATCCTTATCCGCATTGACCATCGCAAGAATTGTCATCATACTCTCCTGTAACATGGTCAGTAAACGCTCTTCTCCAATTGACAAGTATAATCTAGACATACCCTATCATCCACAAAAACCTTCCCCTTCTTCTTTCCTTTTGGCTTCTCGACGCCCACAGGTGTAATCATGTTCAGCGCTGGGATACCTAATTCCTTCTCTGTATACACTCTCCTCTTCTTCTTTAGCGTCGCTAGATTTCCAGCGCTCTTCTGAGGTTTAGGTGGTGGACCTTTGCTCTTGGGTTTCTTGTTTTTCGAAACGCCGTCGCCTTGCGGTTTGTTGGCCGTTTTACTATTTCGGATTCCTGACTTATTGGTCGCATGTTTGGACTTTACCGTCGACGTACGTGAGGGCGCCATTGTGTGAAATTATGCCGTGTAGGTGACTTCACTGCGAAAAGAAGTCGAGGGGCTAGGTGAACGCGATAAAAGATTGATTAAATTCAGAAGCGGCCGCTAGCGTGAATGTGGGGTAAAGCTATTGCAATCGGCGACAGCTTCGATTCAAAGTCAGCCTCGCAGTAAATTTCCCCAGCTTTGCTTCCGACTTAGACAATCCAGCATTCCTGCACTTATGGCCTCCAAATCCGACACAAGAGTCCGCTCAGCAGCTCTTGCCCGCGATACCAACGAGACCAGTATCGTACTTGCCATCAATATCGATGGCGGGGAGTTCCCCTCAAATACCGACAGTCGACTCATCAAGTCGCTGAACGGGGGAAATGGCCATGCCACACAAGCTTCCAAAAGCCAGACGATAGCTATCAATTCCGGAATCGGATTCCTGGACCATATGCTCCATGCACTGGCGAAGCATGCAGGTTGGAGTTTGGCGCTCAATTGCAAAGGCGACCTACACAGTACGCTACATGTTGTCCCATTGACAAAGGATCATACTAACAATTCTGCTTCTTAGTTGACGACCACCACACCGCAGAAGATGTCTGTCTTGCTCTAGGCAGCGCTTTCAAAGATGCCCTCGGCGCACCTACGGGCCTCGCACGCTTCGGATCCGCCTACGCCCCCCTCGATGAAGCCCTCTCCCGCGCCGTCGTCGACCTCTCTAACCGTCCCTACGCTGTCATCGACCTAGGTCTCAAGCGCGAGAAGATTGGTGACTTGAGCTGCGAGATGATCCCACATTGTATGCAGAGTTTTGCGCAAAACGCGCGGGTGACGCTGCATGTTGACTGTATACGTGGAGAGAATGATCATCATAGAGCGGAGAGTGCATTTAAGGCACTGGCTTTAGCAATTAGAGCTGCGATATCGCGGGTTGCTGGACAAGAGGGTGAGGTGCCTAGTACGAAAGGAACTTTGACGACTTGAGATTGGTTATGAATATTTTTGATAGGTTAGACTTGTATACCAGGAGTTTGGGTGTGAGACTAGATGAAGCTAGACACATTTAGTAAAGTACACAATTGCAAGGCTTTGCGTACTAATGTGTAGCAGTTAGATTTGCATTCGCGTGTTTGTAGCTATTGGTAGCCTGCGTATTTTATTCTCTGTGTGATAAGACAGAATCACAGAATTCTGTGAACCACTGTTGCTCTGGTGTGGGTGCACCAGGGTGTGTCTGGCGGGAGCTGGCTAGAACACGGTAGGGGTGGATTTAGCGTCTAGTGGGAAAAGAATTGGAAAGCAGGCTCGAGCGAGCGGCCGCCTTCGGCTTCGGCATTCCCAGCTATTTGTAACAGTCATTGACTGACTCCCTTCTCACCTAGCTGCGTTTCATTTTCATACAATCTTTACTCTTGAATATTTTTACTAGTTATGGCTGTAGAGGGAGAGAGACAAAAGATCGTGGTAGTAGGAGCTGGCCCTGTTGGTGCTCTTGCTGCTATTTATGCGGCGCAAAGAGGTCACGATGTAGAGATCTACGAGCTGAGAAGCGGTACGTTAACTGTTGTTATTTACTGCTTGGCGCTTGAGTTTTGATACTGCGTTTCTTCTCTTAGTCTTCGCACTTTCAGTTTCCCACGCTATTCTACTCCTCTTTTGGTAGCTCGGCCAGTGCCTCCCTTGGTGTCAGATATTTTTCTCAGGCACAGAGCCATGGAAGGTCACGCGACCAGAAAAAGGTTCCCTTCAAGAAAAGATTCCTTTGCTCTTCATTGACAGATTATCCTGAGATATAGATATCCTGGGTTACCAATAGGTTACTCGCTGTTGTCGTGTTATTTGCCTGTTCCAGACTGTTTAACGATATTGCGTCTACCACTCGCTTCAATTCTAACTCGGCTTCAGACCTTCGAGACCCATCAACAACACCCCTCAACTTCTCAAGATCAATCAACCTCGCCCTCTCAGAACGAGGAATCAACGCAATGAGACACTCCGGTCGTACCGATCTATTAGAGAAAGTACTCAGCGAAACAATCCCTATGAGAGGTAGAATGATCCATAGCAAAACCTTATCAGGAGAATTTATCGAGCAGTCACAAGACTACGATATCTATGGACGAGTATGGCTCCCTGTTCACAATCGCCTTCAAATACTGACAGCTATTTAAAGGCACTCCACGCAGCCGATCGAGGTAGCCTAAACAAGACCCTCCTCGACGAACTTGAGACTATGCCTAACGTCAAATTCTTCTTCAGCCACAAACTCACAGGCGCCGACTTTAAGGCCTGCAAAGCTTGGTTCGAGATCTCGCATTCCGAGTCTTCCAAAGACACTACAGGAACGCGAGCACGGGAAGTAGAGATTGAATTCGACCTGATGATCGGTGCTGATGGAGCTCATTCCGCTGTACGGTATCATCTCATGAAGTATGCGAGATTGGACTATGAGCAGACGTATATTGATACGCTCTGGTGTGAATTCTCGATTGAGGCGAAAGAGGTCCAAGGGAGTGGGGATCCATCAGACAAGTTTGCCATCTCACCGAATCATTTACATATTTGGCCTGGGAAGGATTTTATGTTTATTGCCATTCCCAGCTCGGTACGTTTCTCCCCTAATAAATGCCCTCTGCTCATATTCGCCACTCTCTTCCTGATTCCCTCTCCCCATCTTCAACCTTCCTCTTATTCCACCTAGCTAACGCCCACTAGGATGGCTCATTTACATGTACACTCTTTCTCCCCTCTTCTCACTTTAGCGTCCTCGAAGCAACCCCTTCTACTATCCCCTCCTTTTTCGACGCCCACTTCCCGGGCGTAACATCTATTATCCCGCCTTCCAGCCTAATCCAGTCCTTCACAACCAACCCGCACCTTCCCCTTATCAGCATCAAATGCCAACCCTACCACTACGGCTCCTCAGTCGTGATAATCGGCGACGCCGCCCACGCCATGGTCCCCTTCTACGGCCAAGGAATGAACGCTGGTCTTGAAGACGTCTTTGTCTTATTCTCTATCCTAGATTCTCACTCCCCCTCGCCTTCCTCCCTCGTATCTACCTACTCCCTCGGCCACGCACTCGCCACCTACTCTACGCACCGGCGTCCTGACGCCCATGCCATCAATGACCTAGCCTTGCAGAACTATACTGAGATGCGCGCGTCTGTAATCTCCCCATTGTACAAAGCGCGGAAATATCTTGAAGAGCACCTATCTATTTGGCTACCTGGCCTAGGGTGGAGGACAAAGTACTCGAGAGTAAGTTTTGGGAATGAGAGGTATAGGGAGGTGGTGAGAAGTGACGAGAGGCAGGGGAGGTTGTTGATGAGTTTGCTTGGAGGGTTAAGTGTTGGAGGTCTAGGAGGGCTGATTGGGCTGGGGATTTGGGGCTTAAGATTAGTAAGGGGGAGGAGGGGAGGGGAGTTTTAGATTTAGTGAAGATTAGGGAAGTTTTCAAGTAGTTAAGTAGCTGAGTGTTACTATTAGATTAAGAGTAGGAAGCAGCTGGTATAGACGTTGACGAATGTTGGTAACTGAGGGATACCTATGTATTTGTACTTTACGATCAGTAAAATCTTCTAGAGACTCTATTTATTTATGCTCAAAGGCAGTGTGTTTTTATAAGAGTATTCGGAAAATAGCCATGTATTTGATTTTGTCAAGGCACTATTCGTCCATAAAATCCACATTGATGTTATATAAGCTCAGATCATTCCCAGCTTAGCGGATGTTTTACTGGCGGTAGTAAACAATCATTGGCTCGACAAGCAATGAAACAAACCTCTTAATCTTAAGTCTATCGCAAGCTTGTCGTCCAGTTAAAAGCCAAAAGTCAATGTCATAACTCAAGGAGTCAAGAAGTCGAGATGTCAAAAGCAGGAGCAGCTAGAATGCATGTGGAGTGCAGCAGACATATCTGATCCTGCCTGCTATAACCCTGACTGCGAATGCCCGTCTCTCCACCTTGCCCTCTGTCTCCCTCTTATAAAGGTCTACGGGCCAACATTGATGCTCTGTCTGAGGCACGTAGGGCATTGTAAAGTGCTAGTATTATTGTCGCAATTAAAGCCAATATATTCGCGTGTGAGTGATTTGGAGCCTATATCTACGACACAGCTTCAGTAGAATATTAAAGAAAGCTTCGCCGAGGTAGAAGTTTGAACAAAACGAGATCTATATTCTTAAAAGTCAAGGGGATGGGCAAGTTTTATACTGTCATAGCACGACAGGCTACATGGCACGTTGCATAGAGATTCCGGTTTTTGCTTTAGAGTCATATCTGAGCTGGTCAGAAAGGCGAGGGCCCGATTGTCCGAATGCCGCGGGACAGTGGGCGATAGCAGGGCAGGGCAGGGCAGGGCAGGGCAGGGCAGGGCAGGGCAGGGCAGGGCAGGGCAGGGCAGGGCAGGGCAGGGCAGGGCAAGGCAGAAGAACAGCTGTAAAAGCGTTGCAGGAAGAAGTGAAGTGAGGATGAGCAGGGAGTGGGAGTGGTCTCCTGAAATGTACTGGGCCAAACCTGTCCCTGACGACGTGATGCGGGAAACTCTTCAGAACTCCCTCTGTTTCGGACTCTACAAAACCCAAGACAAAGCCGAAACCTCACCCCAAACCTCAGACTCAAATCCAGCCCATCCGGATTCAAACAGCACTACCACCGCCACCCAATTCATCGGCCTCGCCCGCCTTGTAACCGACAAAACCACCTTCGTCTACCTAACCGACGTGTATATCTCTCCCTCCTCCCAAGGCGCCGGTCTCGGCACGTGGCTAGTGAAATGCGTGCAGGAGGTTATTGGGGGTATGCCGTATCTGAGGAGGAGTATGCTGTTCACTGGGGACTGGCAGCGTTAGGTGCCGTTTTATGAGAAGATGTTGGGGATGGGTGTTGTGGCTGGGAAGGACGGCGAAGGGTTGGCGTTTATGGAGAGGAGGGGGTCGGGGCATCCGCTTTGGGAGGGGTGAGATGGATGGTTGGATGGTTTGGGGGAGGGGCTGATAGAGTAATAGATGAAGGACCGGGTGGCATAGCAAGCCAAGTCTTTCATTTACTTAGATTAGAATGAAAGAATGTCAACCAAGAAAGATAGCTTATTCGCAGACCGCTTTCTCTATCTACACCAAGGACGCGCCGTTTGGTAACTCTATGAGGAACCCTTTATGAGCTCATCGCAGTGGCTCCTAGAAAGTGAAGTGACCGAAGCTCAAGATGTTGTTAAGAGACCCCTACCTAGTCTCCCGCCTCCTGGCCGCAACCTCGTGAGAAATAATGTCTGCACGAAACAAACATAGCTCCTATATCCGATATCCCAAGTTCTGCAAGATGCATCAATTGTTGACACGCGTGTCTAGATAATGTAATATCATGAATATTCTTGCAGCTTGGGATGTCGCCCAAGTTTCGAGTCTACCTCTCGACATGTCTACCGCTTGATCAACAAGCCAAACGTCAAATCCTTCCTTATTTCACAGAACCATGAGGAAATCTGGATCTCTATCATCCCCAGAACCAATGAATTTGTCGTACTTCCCTGCTCGCTTATCCTGATTGACCTTTCTGCAATACAACACATTAAACAAAACACTGGCGTACATTGTCAGCAAGATATCATCGTATGTCTTCACGGTGCAAGAGAGCTTACAGAAACCAAGCAGCGACCAGCAACGAAAGAACCACCGTATGTCCCTTGTGAAACTGCGGCTTGTCTTTACTAGGGTAGATAAAAGTCGCAACAAAGCCACCGCTATTCGCAATCATCAGTTGCAAAGCAGTCGTCGTAGCCCTCTTGTAATGTCCTGCACAATTATTGGAATTCCAAACAAGCACACAAGGAACACTCGCGTACATCCCTGTAGCCATCATAAACGTCATCCCATATTTGACCTTAGGATGGGCCGCGCTGATATTCGCAATTACCGCGTACCCGATAATAGCGGGAATTAGGACAAAGAGCATGATGGTTCCTCGGAGTTTCATTCGATCGGAAACTATAGCGACGATAACCGTGATTACGGACGCGACGGCGTAAGGGATAACAGACCAGAGTTGAGCTTCGTTAGCGGTGTATCCGAGCTCGACGATAATGGTAGGGAGGAAGAGACCGAATGAGTAGAGGCCAGCGAGGATACCGAAGTACGCGAGTGCGCTGAGCCAGGTCGACACGTTAAGGACTCCTCGACGGACTTCGGACCATTGAAACCTTTCATGTTCATGTTCCCTGATCGGTTAACGATTTGTAGGTGGTAAAAAACGGCAAGAATCACAAACCTTCCATCTTGGCCCAGACGAGAGGGTAGATCTTGGTGGAGTCTGGTGCTAGCGAAAATACGTTCGTCTTCTTTCAGGAATGAAGCTGTTTCGACGCTATTAGGAAGGATGAAGTACGACATAAAGCCAACGGCCACCGTCTAGTTTCGTTAGTGTTGCGCATGGAACGTGGCAATGAGCATACCAGAAGTCCCTCAATGATAAAGATCCAACTCCAACTGTGCAAACCATGACGTGCGCCAATGGTTGTGAGTCCACGAGCGAGCAATCCTGTCCAGATTGTTAAGTTTGGTCATCTAACGGGACGATTGTCTTACCTCCAAAAGCACCACTGAGTGAAGCTGCTGTGTAGAAAAGACCAAGTCTCAAAGCCATCTCTCCTCTAGTATACATCCCTGAAAGATACAAGACCTGTAGTCGTTAGCTAAGTTCGCATAGCAGAAATCTTAATTTACCATGCCTGGCAACAGTCCGCCCTCACATATACCCAAGATAGCTCTCACGGCCACGAACTCATGATAGTTCTTCACGAACCCTAAACACATTGTAACGATTCCCCACATCGTCGTCAAAGCCGGCAGCCAGACTCTAGGCGATACCCTCTTGAGAACAAGATTACTTGGGATTTCACTACGCAACCGTCAGTGACCGTCATCTGTACTGATACAAGCCAAGCCAGCCAAGAGATTGTGGGGTATATACCTAGCGATATATGTAGCATAGAACACTGTGAGTCCCGTATCGTATTGATGGTCTGACATCCCCAGATCATGTTCAAGCTTGTAGGTTTTCGCGTTTCCGACATTTGTACGATCAAGGAACGAGCAGAGGAACAGAAGCGCGAGTACTGGCAGAATTCTGGGGATGATTAGCGAGGAATATTAACAACTCTTTAGGTAGTATCATACCTGACATCTAGCTTCAACAGTACCTTCGCTGTCATAGCGGAATCGACGGTAATTTGAGCATTTTGAACAGGCTGTTTAGCCACATCAACATTCTCGTCCTGATAAGCCACCTCATCCTTCTCGTCCTCCTTGTGGCGTATATCGTGAGTAGCCATCCTGTCGAATATGGGAACGATACCAAGATGAAAGGCTTGGAGTATTGCTTGGAAGATGACAAAAGCCCTGGGGAAAAAGAAAACAAGCTTCTGGGGAAAATCTGGGCAAGCCTACTTTTGTACTGTAGTACGAGTAGTGGCCGGTTCTAGCTCTCCGCACCCTTGGATTACAGAGAGGACAGCTTTCCCTGCAGCGCAGGGTTCCCCAAAGAGGGGGAGGGGAAGTAACAGTGTAACGAGGGGAAGACGGGGTCATTCGGCTAGTGAGGCCCACTGAAATGTGCTGGAAAGTCAGCGCTATCAGGCGAGTTTTACGGACGGTTCAGTGTCTCGGCCTTTTTTTCCACGCCGAGGTCCACTCGGTCCACACGCTTTCGGCCATTCTTTCAGCGGCAATTCTTTTTCCGCCACTCGCTTCCACGACGTGCGTGCTCTCCATAAGGTATCTTATCTTTCACCATCATATACTGAGTTCCTCAACCCACATGTCATCAACATCTCCTCCTATCTCAACTTCCCCCGAGTGCACAACAACATGATCATAATCGCCAACCGCATCCGCGACGAGCTCCAGCTCGCCAACACAGCGTGGGTTAGCGGTGGCGGTCAGCAGACCACCGTCACTATTGCAGGCTGAGATTCTGCGAGTTTGGTGTCGTTGACGAGGCAGTTGGGTTTGATTATTATTAACTTGAATGGGTTGAATTAGAGCAGATTTCCAGATGTGTGGAGTTTCTTGTAAATATTCATGAACGAACAATGAAAAATGTATCTCTCTCCATGGCGTTGTCCGCTACCAGGGCTGATCTGCGCTCGTGTATCTGAGGTGTTCAAGTGCTTCAGGTTGTCAAAGCCTGGAACGAAAATATCAACAATCCTGGCAACAGCTCACGGATAGGCGAATAGATTGGGCGAGGTGTTGCAAACCGACAAATGACCTTGAAAGGCAAGAGTAGTAGCCGTTTCGGACAGTCTGCTATTGATGAAGGCCCATATCGATTCAAATGACTCGAATCGGTTTGTTGGCTTCTTATAAACCTTAGCTGGAACTGGGCTGACCTAGCTGTACACCACCCATTGAAGCATTGCCCACTATATCAACCTTCGGTCCACTCAAAGCTGCCCTTCCTACATCACTCTTGAAGATATCCACCGCACAGCTAACCTCCACAAAATCTTCCAACTCCTCACTAACAGTTTTCAACTTTTCTTTCACACTTGCTACACCCTCATATCCCACAATATGCCTCGCCGGCGGGTTCTCATGCCCACCAATCGCTGTCAGTGCATGTACAGACTCAAGCACCAGTTGCTCTTGCGCCTCGCTTGGAAGACGAGGATATCGGGATACAATGGCGTCTTTGCCATTCTTTCCTTTCTGGTCACTAGGATCGATTCGTGTGTCTGGGTGACTGTTCAGTACATTCGTGAAGATGTCTCTTAATCCTGGCGCTGGGTTATTTGTGCTCTCGTACTGAGGTAGCTGAGGAGCAAAAGAGATCTTGTTTGTCAGAACTGGGATTTCCTTATTTGGCTGTACAATCGTGAGTTTGATATTGAAGGGTGCGATTTCGTATGCTAGGGAGTCGCAGTAGCCTTCTATGGCCCAAGTTGCAGCACTATACATGGGCATCCCAGGGGTTCCGATGTGTCCTGTGATACCAGTGAGGATTATGATGTGGCCATTGTGGCGTTTCCGTAAGAGGGGAAGAGTTGCTTTGATGAAGTTTACTTGTAAGAAGAATACTGTTTCGAACTGGTCGCGAACCAGATTTTGTGTTGCGGAGGAGGTGGAAAGTTCTTCGACTGTACCTACGACAGCTTTGTTTTTGTTAGATGGTGTACACGCGATTTATTTGAGGGATTCGGTACCTTCTGAAGTACAGCATAGCAATATATCAATCCGTCCGAACACCTCTACAGCTTCCGCAACTGCTGCACCACATTGGCCTATGACTCTCCCATCACATCGTATTCCACGTATCCTATCTTTCCAACCCTCTCTATCTTTTCTCCCGCTCTTACATTCGTTTATCAACTCCTTGAACTCAGCACTCCGATCCTCGTCCTCGATTTCCACAGGTGGAAGACCAGCTGCTACATAGTCGCCATGCGCAAGTAGCAGCCTCATCAGCCGCACTGCTAATGGCGATAGCGCAGAAGTGAGGAACCATATCCGAGGAGAATTGTGTGTAGCTTTGTACCGTCAGAGAAGGTCAGCGTATCTGGAGAGGAGTGCTCACGGAATGATGCCGGCGGTATTTGGACCTTGGAGCCTCCAGGTTCGGACAGCTTACGTTCGGCCATAGCAACTGGCACTCCTCGAATTGTGCATCAATCAACTCCTTGGGACATATTTAACACCGGCGGTCCTCATTGAATATGGCAAATAGTAGGTCGGTAGTGAGTGTTGTTGTGCGAGGCTGAGAAGGGTGCACAGATGTGGTGGGAAATCCTCGGCAAATCCAGAGCTTATCTTATCGCCCCATTCATCATAGCTGTCAAGTCGTCAGCCTTTCCCCCAACCTCTCTTCCTCTCTCATAACACCTTGCCAGTTCTACATATCCTGCATAGCTTCAATTCTTCGACCCCCAACAGTAGCGCTGAATCTACAATTATGGCTACACCAAAATTTAATTCCAAGTCGCCCACTATAAAACGCATTCGTAAGCTCGTGTTTCCCCCCTCCACATTTCATACCTGCCGAACCTACTACATTACAGCAAAGCACAGCACAGCTAACCTATCTTCTCAGTTCGCGAAGCTCAAGAACTAGCCAGCGCCCCCTCCCCTGACTTCCACGCTGCGCCCGCCTCTGATGCCGACCTCTTCGACTGGCACTTCACCTTGCGTGGGCCCCCTTCCTCCGCCTTCTCAAGCGGCATCTATCACGGGCGCATCGTATTGCCACCTACCTACCCTCTCCGCCCGCCCTCCTTCCGGTTCCTCACACCCAGCGGACGCTTCGAAGTCAATCGCGAGATCTGCCTGAGCATCAGCGGGCACCACGAGGAGACGTGGATGCCAGCGTGGGGCGTCCGCACTGCGCTGGTGGCGCTGAGGAGCTTTATGGAGACGGATGTTAAGGGCCAGCTAGGTGGGATGGAGTGTAGCGTTACGGAGAGGGAGAAGATAGCGAAGAGTACGCCCGGGTGGAAATGTAGTGTGTGTGGAAAGACAAATGGGGAGATTATGAGGGAAGCCGCGGAGGCGGCGAACAAGGAGGGGGATGTGGAAGAGGTGGAGGTGCCGAAGGAGCTGAGTATGGGGTATAAAGATGAAATGAACGAGAAGGCGACGGAAAGGAAAGAGAATCAAAAACAGGACGCGCCGGAACGTGAAGGAATCAGCCGCCATCCGAGTATGACGGAATCCGAGGCAGCACTTGCGGAGGGGTTTGTGGCTACTGGTCTTGATGGTACCGAAGATCCAAATCATGGCCCTACTCCTTCGACATCTACGCCGGCGTACCCTCCCGCCAGACCTGCACAGACTGCCCCTAGACCGACAGGCGACACCATGCCAAATCCACCAAGAGCCGCGGTTGCGCATGCATATCCGACTCAAATGGCACAGAGAGTATCGAATGATGGTGTACCAGTTTGGGTGGATAGAGCAATCGGAGCTATCACATTCTGCCTTGTAGCTCTGTTCTTGAAGGTCTTGCTTGGATTTTAAGTTTTAGGAGAGGTTTCATATTGGGTATACATATGGACTGGCTACATGTGGAGTCTGGCGTTCAGGCATGGAAGCGTCTCATGCCAATGAGCAAATATTGGAATAACTCGGATAATGTCAATTTCACTTTAACTTTTGCTGACATAGATTGTCGCCCACTTGACACATTTTCAATCGTTCGACTTCCCCTCTGGATTGACCGACATCTCCACACATTTTGTTGGCTTCTCCTGCAAACCGAGTCGCTGGGTTAATGTTCTCTTCTTTAACAGGATGGTCTGTCTATCATTTGAAAGGGTGGCTGAAAACTCCATACCACAGCAACGTTGGGATTTGTTTTCAGGGGTGATCAGACAAGAATTGCTTAAACAAAGCTGGGAACTAAAATGCCATTCCATTTCGAAGATCCGTAAGTATAAATAAAATCATCTATATTCAGTTCAAAAAATGCTCCTATCATGCACCCAAAAAGCACACAAATAATCACCAGCCAACCACATGCACTCCCCTTACCCCTCTCGCTTAATCTTCACAATATCAATATCTACAAACTCAACTCCACCTTCATTACTTCCGCAACCCCGTCCTTGATCCCTTGTGTCTTAACCTCATCCAGCCTCTTCAAAGGCCGTCTGGGGTACCCACCATACCCATAGTAACTCTGAATAGCGCTCTTAGTTCCCGCAATCGCTGCCTTGGTCAGCACCCAATCCCCCTTACTGAGTACCTTCTGCATAGCGAACGCCTCGTCCCTCTTCCCAGCCGTGTACAGATCCCAGATCTTTACACAAGTCTTGGGCATAACATTTGCGCCACCAGCAATGATCCCACTGCCTCCCGAGATCAAGGTCTGCGCAGTGAAGTCGCACATGCCTCCAAAAGCCATATATCCACTTCCCTCACTGAACGGAGTCTTCGCATCGGTAGCCAGCGCAACTCGCGTTAACTTACCCGTATTCCCACACGTAAACTTGGTGCCCACAATATTAGGATGTTGCGCCAGGCGGATCAGCAAGTCGGAGTCCATATCAATGCCCGCCACCGCGCCAGGGTAGTTGTACAGGATAATTGGCAGCGGCGACCCATCTGCCACTGCAATGAAGTAGTTATACACGGCCTCCTCGTCCATCAATCCCCGGAAGTATGACGGCGGCAGTAGCAACACGTACTCTCCGCCGGCCTTCTCGCTCTCTTGGATGAGCGCAATAGTACCGCGGACGGAGCCCTCTGTCGCCCCTACGATGATAGGGACTTTTGTGAAGCCGGCAGAGTCGAGTGCTTCGCGAGTTGCGGCTGTGACAGCAGTGCGCTCGGCGGAGGACAGGTGCACAGCTTCGCCATTAGAGCCCATTGTGACGAGGCCGACGAGGCCGGCTTCTGCGAGACGAATGGCGTGTTTCTTGATGGAGGAAATATCGAGTTCCTCGGTTTCAGGATCGAAGAAGGTCATAGTTGGTGCGTAGATTCCTGGGAGGAGAGGGCGGCGGCTGGTTGGCGTTGAAGAGTGCCCATTGCTGGTGCCGTTTGTGGAGGGGGACATTTTGAGGGCTGGTTTATTGAGGTTGAAGAAGAGATTCGTAAGGTGCGTCGTGGATTGAGGATTCAGTATATACTGAGAGGTTCTCGAGTGGAGGGAGGAGGAAGAAAGGAACTCAATGCGAACAACAGAATCGATATCCCAGACAAGAAAGACGGAAAAGCACAAGTTGCTGTAAAATGTGTATGAAGTATCAAAGAACCTTTGAGAGAAGAAGGAAAGATCAGAAAAATCAATGAACCGGGGACTATAGCATCATATAAGTCTGATCAATCCATCGAGCTTTAGACTAGTCCTAGCCCATTGCAATAAATATCCCGGATTCCCGAGCCCACAAGATGGTAATTCCTTGTGGCGTACCCCCTCCCTTTGCCCCTCGAGGGAGCGAGTAGTGGGGGTTTCCGTATGCTATTATTCCGAGAACAGGACATGACTTGTTGGAGGGAAAGTGGACTTACGTTTTAAAAGTGGAAGTAGAACCTAGACCCTGCCACCTAGAAACTGACCAGTTCGTTCGGAATGAAACTAGAGACTGGGCAAAAAAAGTAGGTACCGACTCGGAATACGGGCGATATATCGGCGAGTGTTCCTCCTCGATACTAATCGGTTCGAGGTTCAGCAGTGAGATCTAGGAACTTCGAGTGAGAGTGCAGAAACCACATCAATGGACGTTGAAAGCCGAAACCTAAACCCCACCTACAGTACTCATTCCATCCCTTTGCATCCTCTGTACATCTTACTCTAAACTTACTTTGAACCCAGATAAACAAAAAGTAAACTCCCCTCCACCATGGAGGGGTAACTAGACGTCGTTCCAAAATTCGAAATGCACCGAGATATTTCTGGGATCAGGGTATCCGCCTGCATGGTGTTTAGTTTTTCCACCAATAAAAGCAATCAAAGCAACCTTGAAAAGTCTGGGAGATCATCCGATTAAGAGCCGAGCGTGGGGTATCGGGCGCTATTATTCAGGCTGTTTGTTGTGTGAGATGGATTGCTGCGGGGCAGTAGGGGGAGGGTGACGGGATGGGAGAAACCAGGGATCTGAATCGATGGACGGCTTGGATGTATGCATATGGTGGGATAGGTAACATGTGGTTTGGATCTTGGAGTGTACGATGCCGTGCTACATATCCAGGTCAGTTGATAGAAGGATGCATCGGCGATCACTGATCAGCGGCAGGGTAATAAACAAATAGCCCCATTGGCGAGGATTTATACACTATACACAAACGACCTCCCCCCCCACCACACGCCCCCCCCCCCCCCCCCCCCCCCCTGGTCAGACGAATCAAAAGCTTCAGAATCTCTAGTAATTGCGAAGGTATAATAGCTTGAACAGTAATAAAATCACATATCTCTCACGCTTTAGTTAGTAAATATAACAGTCCGGTATTTACTCGCTGTAAATACAGAAGGCTATAGTTAATCTCTGATAATTAAGAGGTAAGTATATTATATAGATAGGAAAGATAGTTACTAAGTATCGGAATACTATTTAAAGTTAAGTATGAAGCTCCTATTTAATAGTAGATAACTAGTCTTATATAGAACCTTTTGTTACGAACGTACTCAGAAGGAGTATCACGTGTGTCTTAGCCCTGAGGCTCGGTAGCCTTACTACACAGAGAAGCTAAGAACTAGGAACGGATTTACGGGATTATATATTATATAATAGTATAAAGCTTTTAGAACTATAGGATCTAAGGTTCCTAGAGCCTTAGGATCGTAGAATTTATGAGGATCCTTAGAGGACGAAGGTTCTATATAAGACTAGTATATCTGCTATTAAATAAGAGCTTTATACTTAACTATAAATAGTATTCTAATACTTAGTAACTATCTTCTTATTTATATAATATACTTACTTCTTAATTATCCGAGATTAACTATAGCTTTCTATATTTATAATAAGTAAATACTAGACTATTATACTTTAAGTACTTTCTTATTAGAAGTACTAACTTATAAAAATAGTATATTCTCTATTAAAGGATTATTATTAAGTAATAACTTAGCTACTACTAAGACTTTTAATACTAAAAATATACTTAAGATTACTACTCCGGATCTTTATAATAAAGATTAATCTAAGCTTAGAGTATACTTTATATAAGTTAAGCTTTATATAAGCTTTAATAGTTACTAATTTATTATAGAAACTAATAAAGTCTTTTAAGCTTTATTCTTTCTCCGGGGATCTACTTTTAATTAGATTAAGACTTTTCTCTTAGATTATATTTAAAACTAAACTAAGGATAAGAGAGTCTCTATAGTAATAACTAAGGAATCTTAGAAGATCTTTATAACTTTTAAAAGTTTTAAGTATAAGATTAATTATATCTTTAATAATATTAATTAGAATTATACTACTAAGTAAAATATCTAAAACTTAAAATAAGTTAAGTTAATAATTATATATATTATTATCTTCTAGTAATTCGCGAATTAAACTAATTAAAATAATAATACTCTTTAGGTATAGTACTATAAAAGGTTAAAAGATAAAGTAAAAGATAAGATAGTAAGATTAGATACACTTACTAACTTATAAGAACTTATTAAAATAGCTATTAAAATTAATAACCGGAACTATAAAAGAGCACTTAAAAAGAAAAGCTAATACTACTCTAAAATATATATATACTAAGGAAGAGAGAGTAATAATAAGAAACTATTCTACTCTTAGAAGATAAAACTTAATATAATATTCCGGAAGCTAAGTTATTAAGAAAAGCTATATAATAATAAGTTATCTAAGAAAGTTATAAGTAAGTAATAAGAGAAAAAGCTATACTTTAATATTAGGAAAAAATTCTAGCGCTAGGTATATATACTACCTGCTATTTTCACTATTTTTACTAAATAGTTACGTTTTACACGTAAGGCGCTTTAAAATATAAGGGGCCGCTATATATCAGCCTTAAATAATAAAAGGCCGCCTTATACGCCTTAGGCGCCTTTTATAAGACCTACTTTTATATATAAGCTAGACCTAATTAGGAAAGATATAATATTTTTAATTAGAATTAAAAATTAAAAGTTAAGTTTATTTTTAGATTTAAACTAACTAAAAATAGTTAGACTAGCGTAGAATTTAACCGAGAATTTAAAAAGACCTGCACTTTCTACGTATATCCTTAAAACTAGTCTTACTAAGCTTTTAATATTATAAATATTCACGCTAAAAAATTACTAATAAGCTTATAATTCAATTCAGGTAAATTCTATACAGAAGTAAATCGCCGCCTTACTTAATCAGGCGATATAAGCCTAATAATACCCTCTTATAAGATATATCTTTCTTAGTATTCTTAGTATCCTTAGTATTCTTAAGGCTTTTAGTAAGCTTACTAATATGTCTTATATAATATAAAAAAATCGGACCCACTTTTATTTTATACGCTAGTCTTAATTAGGCTTATAAGCACCTATAGCGCCCTAGTCGCTTAAGGCGCCTACAATACTAGTGTAATAGCACGGTTTAGCGTTAGCTAGCACGTGAGCGAAATAACCACGGATCAGGTGATAACCTCTCTATTAGCGCGAATATCAAGCTGAGGAGCCCTTAATTCCGTAGAGGGCGCTTAAGCCTATATAGATAAATTCCCTGGGCTATTCCCGATTAGGTCTAATTACACTTGACATAAAACTTGATATAAACTCCTATAGTACTATAAAGCTATTTCCCTTTATATATATGTTGGTATCGTACCGGTAAACAAATAATAAGTGTATATTAATATACGTAAAAATCTAAGGTTTAGTTTAAAGGTGTTTAAAAGTATATATTATAAAGAGTATCTATAGGTTAGAATATATACTACTTTCCGAATAACCCCCGGTTCGTATCTGAAAGGGGTTTATCCCTTAACCGGGATTACCTGCACCCCTTGATTTCCCCCTATACCTTTATAATAAAGGTCTACGGACTAATACTAGTAAAACTTCTTTTAGAAACAAAAGGTTTCTAATAACTATAAAGGAAATAAAGAGAGAATATAAATATAATAATAGGAACTAAAGATATAACAAAGTAATAAATATCTGACTTATATATATTAGTAGTCGGAATATCTCTAGTTACTATCTAAAAGTACCTCTCTTATTATACGGAGATATAAATAAATCGTAATTTATAACTAAACTACATCTTAGAGTATAGAGAATACGTATAAACTCGTAGAGAATTAAATAATATTATTATTAAGTTAATATAAGGTTCTAGGGAGTCGGAGGGTTAATATTCCGTCTAGTAGTAGTTAATAATATAGAGGTAGAAAACAATAGTAATAGCTAAGTGATAATAGTAAATAATATCGTATTATATCCGAATCAGGCCTGAATCATATACGTCTATCTATATAAAGATAACCTCCCCTTTAAAATCTTTTCTTTTCTCTATTAAATAATAATAATAATAATAACTGTAAGTTCAGAATTAATAGTATTTACCTTAGAGATTCTTACTAACTAGGAGATTTCTTTAAAAGATATTAAATAAATTAAGTAATTTAAGAGTAAATATATCTTATCCTAAGAGCTAGCATAGTAGTAGAGCTCTTTACTAATACTAATTAGTACTAATTCCCTACTCTCCTAGTGCCCTCCCAGCTATGTTCCGTATATAGTGTTATAAATATATCGATCGTTAGAAGAAAGGTAATCTAAAACTATATAAATTCCAGAGTTCTGTAAGCTTGAAATACTAGTATTATACTAAGAATAAGGATAATTACGAACTTATAAGTATCCCCTGATCTAAGTCCCTTTTATAACTCCTCTAATAATAATCCTCTGTAATTAATAGAAGTAGATCCTAGTATACGCGGCCTTTAAGTATTATACTTTCACTAATACTCTTACTAGTAGAGATATAGCTGAACTCCTTGAAGCTAGTACCGCTCTCTAGAATATTATCTCTATTACTAAGGCTAATATACTAAGAGATATACTATTAGCCGCAGAAGTTATATTAGTAGAGGTCTATACTATACGTAATAAGATAGCTAGAATCGTAGAACAGAATACTATAAGTATTTCCCTTCCTTAACTAACTCCCCTTACCTCTCTTTATAAGACGTGATCTAATACCTTACGTTATAAGCGATACTTATAGCGTTATAGAAGTTAGGAACTATATTAGGGAAGCGGAAGGCTCTACTAGATAATCCGAGTCTATTAAAGTATTATATAAGGATAAGTACTTATAATACTCCCGGAGGTAGTTTAAAGGAGAGTTTAATTAGTAGTACTAGTAGTTCTAGTTCTAGTAATAGAAGTAGCTTAAGTATTCGCCTTTTTAGCTTTATTACAATTAATCAGCTCTCTAAGGCAGGGGAGAGTAGTAATAATACTCTAGCACTTAACCTAACTTTTTTACCTCCTCTTCCTTAGAGAGAGAGAGAAACTACTAATAGTAGTTCTAAAGAGAATAGTATATAAAAGTAGGAAGTTTTTAGCCCTATTTTAGATTGATTTTATAATTAGTTCTTTATAGTAGTATCTTCTTTATACTTTTATATAAGAGTAGCTCTCTATAGTAAAACCGATAATTAGTTACTATTAGAGTATTATTATAAGGCCGCTTATTAGCGCTTTAAATCAGAGGGTAATTATCTTAAAATAAAAGTTGTTCTTATCGCGATATCTTACTTAATTATAAAGAAATAAATAAGTAATAAAAGAGAGTTATAAGGAAATTAATATAAGAAAAAATAAGCGAATATATTAAAATACCTCTACTATAGATCCGAATTAACCTTATCTAACCTCTTTACTTATCCCTTTACTTTTACTATTAACTAGTTAGTATTAATAAACTCTTAGAGAGCTTTATTTAAACTAGCTTTTATTATAGCGTTAGTAGAGTTACTTACTCTCTCGATCTATTATATCTCTATTAGTTCTCTATACTTATATAATTAATAAATTATTATAATATTAATTATTAAACGCTTTTCTTTCGTAGTACCGAGTTTAATAATATATTTATAAAGAGATAAAGAATTAGTATAAACTATAGTAGGAAGCCTTAGGAGGCCTAGCTTATTAGTTATTATATTAACTATAGTCGCTAGAGATATTAATATATTAATCCCTACTATTATAGTATATAATTCTAAAGCGAGTACTACTTAAGTAACTCTCTTATACTTTATAGAACTTATATATATTAAGTTACTAGAAAGAGAGAACCCCTG